GCATTTCCGACCGGGAGACCGTATGGAAGGAGAAGGAGCTCCACTGGAGGTTCTACAAGGCTCTACATGAGCTTTTGTAGACACAGTCGCCTCCCTCCACTGGCTACGTTTCGGTGACCTCTTTGGGGAAACCGAGGGTTTTGTCTATGCGATACAGGATCAGGTTATTAAGACCAAAAATTATCGGAGATACATCCTAAAGGATGGCGCCGTCGACATCTGTCGAGCTTGTTGCCATCCCGGTGAGTCACTTAGGCATGTCATCTCCGGTTGTTCGGCGCTTTCTAACTCTGAGTACACAGAGTTGCACAGACACAATCTAGTAGCCAGGATTCTACACCAGGAGCTCGCTCTGAAATACAGTCTCGTAGATCGGAAACTGCCGTATTATAAGTACTTGCCGGAAGCCGTGCTCGAAAATGACAGCGCCAGGCTCTACTGGGACCGGGCCATCATCACAGACAGGACTATTCTTGCGAATAAGCCTGATATTGTGCTGCCCGGGCACAGTCAAGGATATTTTTGGTCGACATTACCATACCTTATGACGACAATCTCGTGAAAGCCGAAACAGATAAGCTGACAAAATATCTGGACCTGGCTCACACGGTGACCGACATGTGGGGTGGTCTGCCGACCGAAATTATTCCTGTGGTCGTTTCTGCGAACGGGTTAATCCCAGTCAGCCTCTCGGGTCGTCTGGGGCGACTGGGACTCCGTGGCGGACCGCTCCAGGCTCAAATGCAGAAGGCAGTGCTCCTCGATACCGCCCGCACCGTCCGCCGGTTTCTTTCCCTTTCCCCCTAACCCTTGGCCGGGCTCCCCTGCCGAGGGCTTCCATCTGGTTGGGTTTTTATATATTTATGTATTTTTTATGTATTTTTTATTTTATTGATATTTATGTATGTTTACCATTTTCATTTACAATTATATATTTATACTGCCCAACCAGATCAGAAAACTTTATAGATACCCCAAAATAATAATAATAATAATAAATATTTATTTCATTTCCAATTACATATGTTTACATACAGGAACAAATATGATTACAATTAAATAAAATAACAATAAGTCTAACAAAAATAACATGCTATGATAAGATTAAAACTATGTGTAGCTTAATAATGAAGCATTTACAAAAGAAAAATAAAAAAGTCAAGTCTATAATATTAGCTACCTGCCTGAACTAGGTTGAGTACCTGTGTTTTAGACATCACTTATACAATCGGTTTAATAATGTAGAACACTAGATATATAAATAATTAAACTATATTATATAATAAATAAAATAACTAAATAACCATTATTTGTTACCTACAATTAATACAAACTATTTTAGAATTTCTAACAACTTCTCTGTGTCTTCGTAATTTACTTTATTTAGAAATTCCCTTACACTTATATTACAGTTCTTATAACTTAGACTATATACCTTTAGTGACTTGTTGAGCTTGTTATATAGAAAGGGTCCCAAAAATATGTAAAAGGGGAAGGACCACGCTCTCACAGAATACCAGCGTAAAATAGCAGCTTAATACTGCTGTGTTTCGTATGGTGAGTGTAGAGAACCGGAGACCATTTTTACTGGAAAAGAGGCATTCCATCTTAGTCCTCACGGCTGACAATGCAGCTGCATTTTGATTCGCATACGATGATAGATGTAGATGTCTATGGGCCGCAGCAACCACTTACCATCAGGTGTACTGTGTGCTCGTTTGTCACCCTTATTCTATAAAAAAAAACGGATGAACCGATTTTGATTTAGTTTTCTTTGGTTGAGAAGTGACTTGGTCAAGATTATTCTTAGCTATGACCCACAAAAATCTATTGAGCCGCTCGAAGATCATCAGCTATTTTTGGTGCGGGGATACCGTCTGCAACTATTTCTGCCACCAAGCGGCTGTATTCCTGTCCAAAGAACATAGAGCAAGTACAGTTACAGGTTGTAAGGCATTTTATCTTAGTCTTTAACAGTGACAACTGACAACACATTCGTAGCCACCTTTTTTTGAGTTTTGATGCACGTGTTCATGTGTTGCAGTTGCCACTTACCAACAAGTGGACACGTACGTTTGTCACTTCAGTTTCATAAAATAGGATTTAATGTTGGAAATGACAATGACTGTGTGGTCATGATAAGTAACGTAATCATTGAGATAATGATGCGTCATTAACGGTCTCCCCGTATGGAATGATGGGGCATTAAAATCGTTCACGGTGCTCATATTGCCCTATTATCTAGATCAGATATTCCTAAAATGGGTTCTGCGAAACCTAAGGGTTCCGTGGAAAAGTCATCAGGGATTCGAATTTATTTATTATTGATTGTTAAATAATTTCATACTTTGGTGCAAATATTATTTTGAATTACCGCAAAATATGCGATGAGAACTCATTACTGTTATTTACACACATAGGTAGTTAGCAAGTGTTATATTATAATATTTCAATTGCTCTGTCCAAGATATGTAATAATTTGAAGTGAGAGTTCCATAAAATAAAAGGGATTTAGTATGTGTTCCATTACATTAAAAGTTTGGGAACTCCTGATCTAGCTCGTTTCATTTTACTGTTTACAGACTTTACTCAACATATTTAATGCTTATTTTATAGTAGTAGATGATGTTTGTAAGTTGTAATAAAAATACCTTAGTTTTAATAATATATTGCATTTAGTTTTAAGGTCGTTATTCAATATTACAAAAGTTATAAATAGAGACACAAAGGATTATTATTTGTATTAGTTTTGTATGTGTAAATTAGTAATAATTTTTTTTAAATCTTTGTTAACTATTTGAGAGGAGCATATCAAAAAAATCAAATCACAGCACCAAAGTACGTCCTCTTAGAACAGTTATTAAATTTAAAAATAGATTGTGTACATAAAAGAAATTGTGTTGAAATTTAGAATAAGTACATCTGCTATTTTTTTTATAGGATAAGGGTGACAAACGAGCACACATTCCGCCTGATGGTAAGTGGTTGCTGTGGCCCATAGACATCTACGTTTATCCTCGATTACGAATCAACATCCAGATGCGTTGTCACCCGTGAGAACTAAGATGGAATGCCTCGTTTCCAGTAAAAAGGGTCTCCAGTTGTCTACACTCACCATACGAAACACAGCAGCATTAAGCTGCTATTTTACGCTGTGAGAGCGTGGTCCTTCCCCGGTCCGGTCTAGTTGCAGCATGGCTCTACCACGCTTAAAAGTTTTCATTCATTCATCATTTCATTCCCCTTTACGTTCATACTGTCAATGTCAAACACATAATAGTATATCGCTTGTTTACGTTTACACTGATAATATGAAACACTGCAGTGAACTGCAGCAGCAAATCTAAAGTGAGATAGGACTGTAACTCTTAAATACAGGTTACTAAGTGACCTAGCTAGGAGACTCAGAATTCTACCCATGCCTGATTGTTGAAAAAATGTGAAACAAGTGATAAAATTAAAAAATTTTGTACAAGTTGTACAGACCTCGATCATATTTATAATGGACTGAACGATGGAAATTTATCAACACAGACAGAGAAGCACCAGCTTTAAAAAAAAAAGAATCATTGAAATTGTTTCAACTAAAAAAAAAAGTTATGAGTACACATAAAAAACATACAGTCGAATAGAGAACTTCATTCTTTTTGAAGTCGGTTGAAAATGTTAATAAATGATAACAGTAGAATTTTTCAACGGAAACGAGGTATTCCATCTTAGTCCTCATGCGTGACAACGCATCTACCATTGAGTTATATGTACTACGTACTAAAGAAGCCATTCCAAACAAAAATTGTGTCCTACTCTATGTCTTCGAGCATGCGCGGGAGTAGTAGTCGCGCATGCGCGAACACTTTAATATAAAATAAGATATTAATATAAAATAAATATAAGAATTTAATATAAAATATCTTAATTTAATCTAAACAAACATATTTCTAAATAAAATGTAATAATAATTATTTTATGGAATTCACAAATCTTCAATTTACGCAATATATAGTTTGTATGGATTGCACTACAGTTCAGTTGAACATAGTCGATGTTCGGAATGGCTTCTCTAGTACGTAGTACACATAACTCAATGGCATCTACATTTTGATTCGCAAACCGCGGATAGATGTCAGTCAGGTGGACTGTGTGCTCGCTTGTCACCCTTATTAAATTTTAGCTTTCTACACTCTTTCTTCATATAAACTTTAACTATGCCAAATCTCACATTGTGTAATAAGTTTTCCCTTCACGTATTTATATATAGGCATAGAGATACAAAGTTTGCGTTGATATTTTAATGTCATTCTGTTTATGTATATACATATAAATAAAATTGAAGTATCTGTCTGTAATATTGAAATACATAACTAGCTTCTAATAAACTAAGGAGCTTATTTGCATGCTATTAAAACATAAACAAATATATTTTTTAATTTCTGTCTGTCTGTATGTCTGTTTGAGTTAAAGCAGATTGGCTGAACGGATAGTGTTCATCACTATCCGTTCAGCCTTTACTTTACAAACGAACAGAGACTATTTCATCCGAGATAAGCTAAAGATTTCTTTTGAAAAATCGTAATATTTGTATAATAATGTTTATTGATTGTAAGATGGGCTAATATAAAAAAAAATAAGAAAGACGGATTAAAAAATTATTATATTTGTCTTAATAACATGCAAATAATCCCCCGAGCATCATTGAAGCCAGTTTTTTTTCTTTTTTTACTTTAATTTTATTAAAATTTATAACTAGATTTAACAGACTAAAAATACTAATTATAACTATGGTTATAATATTATAATATTTTAAATATTGTTTCTGTCTTTCCTATATTTTTTTCTTAAAATGAAAGTTGCACTAGAAGTCTCTCCAAAAGTCCTACAAACACTTATTCAGTCTGGGATTCAATCGCGCGATCTTGAGGCATCACTGAGCTGTCAAAGTTTGTTGTTAATTTGAATGTTTTCTTTACAGTGATGGTGTCGCGAATCCCGCTGCTATCAAGATGGCGGCGGGCCGGCAGATTCGGCTGCTACTGTGGAAGGATTACCTCGTGCGAAAAAGAAATCCGGTGAGAAACTGACATGTTAAAACCGAAATTAGTATTGCAGTGGTTACCATCACACATCGGTTTACAAGACATTGAGGAGGCTGATAAACTGGCAAAATTGGCAATTACAATATTGATCCAAATTACACAGAAATTTTAATTAAATATAAAGAGAATTTGGAACATTTTGTAAAGAATATTTTGATAAAAGGTCGCAAGTAAAGGGGATATGGTGCAAAACTATTCTTCTAAAAAGTGCCTTGGTTTAGTCAATGTCTATTGAATAGAAAATGTGTGTATTAGCAATGCGACTTCGCTCGGGACACATTCCGTGCAACAGTTTTGCTTTCATGATGAAAAAAAAAAACAATCTCCAAATAGCGAAACATGCAACGTGGTAGAGCCATGCTGCAGCTATATTAGTAGTATAGTTGTAACACCAATGGGTAGGCTCGACTGGGGAAGGACCACGCTCTCACAGAATACCAGCGTAAAATAGCAGCGCAACACTGCTGTGTTTCGTGTAGTGAGTGTAGAGAGCCGGAGACCCTTTTTACTGGAAAGGAGGCATTCCATCTTAGTCCTCACGAGTGACAACGCATCTGCATTTTGATTCGCAAACGAGGATAGATGTAGAATGTAGATGTCTATGGGCTACATCATCCGCTTACCATCAGATGGATTGTGTGCTCATTTGTCACCCTTATTCTATATTAAAAAGTTTAATATCTAATACAGTTGTTTTTTTTTCTAGATAACACTGGCTGGAATTGTGTGGGCGACGGCAATCGTATCCAGCTTATATATCGTTCGAATTAATGTGGACAACCAAGATTTTCCCACCTGTGAGTAAAACTTTAAAACAATTTAATTGGCTAATCAATAGAATCAAGCATTACTTTGCGGAAATCCATTACGTTAAAGATATATTAACAAAATAAAATGACGTGACTTACCTAGCTTGAAGAGCATCTCCCGCCATCCCTTAATGAGGGCTAATAAATTTTCTGCTCACCAGATGTCGCTGGTTGACACTGAGGTAAAGTTTTTTGTAATTTATTTAATTTGAAGCGTCAGTAGCCTAATGGCAGGGCGCGAACCGCGAACTCGAAAGGTCGTGGATTCGAATCCGCCATTCGACTACTGTCGTGAACCACTTCTAACACAAGCATTTTAAGCTAACCAGAAGTGGTTAAAGGGAATATTAGTAATGTTTAACAGCATTACTAGTATTTAAAAATAATAATTGAGAAGTTGTTTTTTATTAAAAGTTTATCAGTTTTCATAGACGCAGGTGGCTAAGGACTGTGCCTTGTGGCGTTCCTTGGGGGGGCCATGTTCAGCAGTGGACTTGTGAAGGGCTGTAATGAAAATGAATATATTGATACTGTTTAAAAATATCGATACAATATATGACGACATATTTTATTCACTTGCCCATCGGTTCACATAGCGCAGGTTCACATCCACGACTATTTTTGCCACCAGGGCAGCGCCACTTAGAAACGCGGTGAAATATTTGACAAATTACATGGCGGGGAAGTTAATTTGTTAGAAAATGTAAGGGGTAAGGGTTAATGTTTATTTTTGTAACATAAGTTATATTTAATATTAATTACATTAGAAATTAATAAAACACAGTACAGATAATCCCAAAACTAGAAGAATTAATAAAAGAGTTTAAAATGTGAAATACAAGCAATAAACCACTGAGGCATTGTTTTGTGTATTTGCCGAATACTCTAGAAAGCGATAAAATTTTATTAAAAACACAACTTTTAAAAAGACATTTTGTAACAAAAAACTTAATTTCAGTCACTAGTCCCTACTATCGACATCTTGTGATCAAAAGGTTAATTATTAGGCCTCATAAGCGCAGATATTGCTGTAAAAACATACAGTAGAATGAGGGCTTAATCTTCCGCTCACCAGATGTCGCTAGTAGACACTTAGGAAGTTTTTGTTACACAGAATGTCATTAAATCAAGAAGTTAGTTTTAAATAAAAGTTTATTACTTTCTTGAGTATTATAATATTAATACACAAAACAATGCCTCAGTGGTTTGCCTTTTCATTTTTTTGTACACTTTTAAGTAATATTTAAATTTTTCTAGCTTTACTAAGAAATGCGGTTTGGTTTATTTATTTTTAATTCAATGAATATAAAATATAACTAATAGTGCCCAAATAAGTATTAAACTTTACATATTCCGAACAAATTAACTTCCCAGCTATGAAATTTGTCAAATGTTACACCAACTTTTAAGTGGCGCCGCCCTGGTGGCAGAAAAACCCTCCGACTCTACATTTACAAGCATAATATAAAGTTTTTAAAAAGGAAAAGGTGCTTGTTACTTTCTTTCTTCACATGACTCTCCGGTTCATAATTTATGAAGCATTTAAATCCGATTTAAAAGCTTACTTTGAACAAAAATATTTGAGTTTGAATGCAATAAAATAGTATTAATAATTTTCACTCAATATAGAAATTACAAAAACACTTATTGAAAGTCATTTAAGTTTTATCACTGGTTCGAAAAAAACATCTGTCCTGAGAAGATCTAGCAAGAAACCCAGCGGGATTTTTTCCAAACATTAATTAAGTTATAACATTTTATACAATTAAGTATGGAAATATTTAGAAACACTGTGGTAGCGATCACCTCATTCCCAGGGGTTATTGGAATGAAATTCCTTATCGGAGGGTACGAATTTGGAGGATGGGGACTAGATTTTTCCCTCACGACCCCTTCTGAGCTTCTGACGTAGTGTAGGCCTTGGTGGCTATAAGGAAGCGAGATGGAATAACATCCATCTACCTCATACTTTTTCATATCTTGCCATGAAAGAAATATTATTTTATTTTAAATGACGCTTCATTGTAATTTGTATTTGTTAATCAATTATATAATACGTTTATCAATGCTAATATACTACAAAAGGAACTTCGTTCCAACCGAGTGTTTCACGACACCCACGCATGTTTTTTTTTTATCAACCATGAACTCTTTAGTAGTGTAATAATCATGTAATAATCAATATAATAATCAAATGTTTGCTAAAAATATAATAATCAATATAATAATCAAATGTTTGCTAAAAATATAATAATCAATATAATAATCAAATTTTTGCTTAGTAAAATTTTTAAACTTTTGATTATGGTACCATGGAGCTGATCTGATGATGATTCTAGCAACACTTATAAAATCAATATATTTAAAGTCCACTAGAACAACCATAATATTGCCAATCCTGTTTCTTTTTTCTTTTCTAACTTATGACTCCGTCTGGGAGATCACGTCAGGATATCCATCATAACTTTCACAGCATGAAATTCGTCCACAGGCCAGTTTCCAGCACGAGCTTTGCCGAGCGCTGGTATCCTGACATTTCTTCAGTCCTTCATATGCAGTGTCAACAATGAATGCTCTCCAATGGATCAGTTCGAGGAGATACCCTCATATTCTAATTCCAAGTAAGTACCTCATAAAATAAACAGATTAATAATGAGGTAGTAAAGATCTAATTCTTTTTTAGCACACAGTTCACCTGATGGTAGGTGGATACTTTGGCCCATAGACATCTCTACATTTATCCTCGTTTGTGAATCAACATGCAGATGCGTTGTCAGCCGTGAGGACGAAGATCTACACTCACCATACGAAATACAGCAGCAATATTAAGCTCCTATTTTAAGCTGCTATTTTACGCTGGTATTCTGTGAAAGTATAGTCCTTCCCCGGTCGAGCCGAACCATTCGTGCTACAACTATAGCAGTAATATAGCTGCAGCATGGCTCGACCACGTGTAAAGAGACATCTATATCCACGTTTAAGAATCAAAATGTATATGCGTTAACACTTGTGAGGGCTAAGAAGGAATGCCTCGTTTCCAGTAAAAAGGGTCTCCGGTTCTCTCCACTAACCATACGAAACACAGTAGCGTTAAGCTGTTTTACGCTAGTATTCTGTGCGAGCATGGATTTCCTCCGGTCAAGCGGACCCATCCGTGCATCAACCATAATATTAGCTGCAGCATGCATCTACCACGTATATACAATATGTAATAAAAACCCTGTAGTTCCCGTTAAGTACGTTATCAGGATCATTATTGAAACGTATAGAAATAACTTTTTTTTTAAAAAACTCGAACAATATTTTTTTTTATTTAAAAAAATAATTGTATTTAAATTGTATGTAGTTTTATTACCTCTGCATTGTCTGGGGAATAAGAGGATTGTCGAAGACCCCGCTTTACTTAGCTTTAGTATCAGCGAGTGTCAGTAACAGGTAATAACTCACTGTAAGTTTCACAGTACGCGAGCAACCCGGGTTCGATTCCCGCCGGCACCAATGAAATTGTTAATCGCAACTTGAAGTGCTGATTTACGTGCTCGGCGGTAAAGGATAATATCGTGAGGAAACCTGCATGTATGAGAAATAAGAAAAAGAAATTCGAAGGCATGTGAAGTTCGCCAACACGCATTGGGGCAGACCGGCGGACTTTTCCTTGACCTGAAACCCTCTCAGAAATGAGAGGAGGCCTGTGCCCAGCAGTGGGACGTAAATAGGTTGCAACTTTAACTTTTAGCTTTAACTACATTTTTGATAAAAAATTATAATACATTATAACTTTGTCATTTAATGTTTCTGAACAACACCCGCGATGGGAATAGCTGAAAACGAGCAATGAGTCAGACTACGGTATAGTTATATGTTTAATTTTTTGTCAATCATACTTCTATGTAAAAGGATAAAAAAAGAACACTCATTTCACCTGAGGGTGAATGAAAGCTGTGTGTGGCCCATAGACACCTTCATTTTTCTCAAATAAGAATCGAAGTGAAGATCCCTGAGTACTAAGATAGTGTGAATCTTACCAGTAAAAAGAGTATCCGGTTATCATCACTCCCATACTTAACACAGCAGAATCATTCAGCTGTTTCACACTGGTATTCTATAAGAGCGGGGTTCTTTCTTGACTCGAACAATTCATATTATTTTATCTTTAAGGGTTACCTTTGCACAAGCAAAGGCAGTCAAAGGTAGCCCCCAAAAGACACAGGTTAAATAAAGATTTTAAACTTAATAACTCTGAGGACATAGACTAGATATCGATGAGGCGGACATAAAACAGTCAGTTTGCGATGTGTTTTATGACACGGGTGTATAAGGGTTGGATTATGTCTGCCTCATCACCTTTGGCTTACTCAGAGACTCAAAACGAACTGAACGTTCTGGATAGAAAAGTTCACACTGTTGTGACGTTCCAAAGGACGCATCATCCGAGATCGTCAGTAATAAGGCAGTACTTGTCGCGGAAACGTGGTGGACGTGGCTTTTTAAGCGCTCTCACCGTGCACAATCTCCGGAATCGAAGTGTGCAATCTCCGTAATTACTTCCTGACGAAATCGGATGATCCATTCTATAGGGGCGTTATTTCTTGTGATAACGGGCTTACCACTCTATCCTTGACCAACGACCAATGGCAAGATCCGGCAGTACAGAGTTTTTCCGACCGGGAGACCGTATGGAAGGAGAAGGAGCTCTACGAGAGGTTCTACAAGGCTGTACATGAGCCTCTTGTAGATACAGTCTCCTGCCTCCACTGGCTACGTTTCGAAGACATCTTTGGGGAAACCGAGGGTTTTGTCTGTGCGATACAAAATCAGGTTATTAAGACCAGGAACTATTGGAGATACATCCTAAAGGATGGCGCCGTCGACATCTATCGAGCTTGTAGCCATCCCAGTGGGTCACTTAGGCATGTCATCTCCGTTTGTTCGCCACTTTCTAACTCTGAGTATTTGCAGACACAATCTAGTAGCCACGACTCTACACTAGGGGCTCTCTCTGAAATCCGCCATCATCACAGACAGGACTATTCTTGTGAATAACCCTGATATTGTGCTGATGGACCGGGCACATTCAAGGATTTATAATCGATATTACCATTCCGTATGACGAGAACCTCGTGAAAGCCAATACAGATAATCGAACAAAATACTTGATTAACGAGGTGAACGACATGTGGTGTGGTTTGCCGACCGAAATTATACCTGTAGTAGTTTCTGCGAACGGGCTAATCACGGTCAGCTTCGTGGGTCATCTGAGGCGACTGGGACTCCGTGACGGAGCGCTCCGGGCTCAAATGCAGAAGGCGGTGCTCCTCAATACCGCCCACATTGCCCGAAGGTTTCTGTCCATTTCTTCCTAACCCTCGGCTGTTTGGTCTCCCCTGCCGAGGGCTGCCATCCCATTGGGTTTTTATTTATTTATGTATTTTTTAATTATATATTTTATTTTAATAATATTCACGTATATTTATTATTTTCAGTTATACGAGTATATTTATACAGCCCAAACAGATGAGAAAACTATATAAATACACCATAAAAATATACCTGAACAAATTTTAGTGACGTTACAGAAGGCTGTAATCCTAAATACATGCCGAATTGTCAAAAAGTTTTCGCAGTGTGAACAGATGACAATAATAATAATATTTTATTTCGACCGTCATGGATTATATGTGTATCAGTAACTTATGTACCTTAAACCAATTTGTTAGTAAAAAAAACTATGTAAAATAAATAAAATAAACTAAAGCATACTTAACCTAAGAAAGGAACGATTTGAGAGCACATCTATCTATATAAATAAAATAATAGAGGATTGCAGTTGTGCGCGTATCACGGGAAAACTATTGAATAGACAATTAATAGAATCAGGCGTTACTTTGCGGAAGTCCATTATATTAAAGTTGGTAAAAAATTACTTCGCGCTACTAAGTCAGCCACCGCAGTCTAGATTACCTGAAGATGCCTCGTGTAGAGGCGAAACACGTGTCGTATTGTCGTCAGTGGTGTGTCTTTCCTAGTGTAGTGGTGTTGGTAGTAGTGGTGACGGGGATAGTGCACGCAATTGAGGGAGGGCGGGAGGTGCTCTTCAAACTAGGTAAGACACATCATTTTATTTTATCGAGCGGATGTACGCGAAGTAATTTTTTACCAACTTTAATACTGAATAGATTTCAATTAGGTTTTCTGTTTTATTTCTTAGACACTTGACCCTTACCTAAAAAAATATTGTGATATTAAATGAAACTAATTTTTACGGATTTTATCGCGTTTTATTTAATTCCAATTTTTATTTCCCGACGTTTTGATATCTTCATTTCATATAAAGTTATTAAAATTTTAAGAAACATAAATTTTTATACGGTGTTTTGTGATCGTGTGATTAACTTTACGCCGCTTGCTCTCGCGTTACTATCCCAGATAATTTACATATTTTAGTTACAAAGGGAGCAACGAATAACATGGTTTACAAAGAAATTTGATATCTTTGATGTTTTTCCCCCACACATACGAACACTTTATTAATATATCAAGAAACGCGGACGAAATCGCGAGTATCAGCTAGTGAACCATACAACAGTGGTAGGTGCAATCGAACCTGTCAGCGAATGCCTTCAGGATGGATACTGGAGCTGACTCGGACCCTGAACTAAACTGTACCCTAGACTGAAACACTATCACTTGTCTTTTTGGGCACTTGCTGGTACTTACGATACAATAACCAAACCCTGCAATCACTAAAGAACGCTGTCATAAAAAAATTATATGTGAGACAGTTGTGAAAATTTCGATTAAAAGAGACAAGTATATGGATCTATCTTTTTCAGATTAACGCAGCTGAAGCGCCAGTTCTCCTCGCTATTTTCTAATACTTCACTACTGGACACAGCTGTAACAGTACCTGATGCTCTCAAGCTATTGGCGACTCTCTCCAACGTCGCCGATGTTCCAGAATTCGTTGACGTGGCGAGTAAGTAAAAGTATTTTCTTCTGCAACAAACTGTCAGTGGCGGGGTATGAGTCGCTGCCCCCCCCCCTCCCTCCATTTCGTTAAATTATTTTTGAAAGAGGCGCATTCTTTTTCTTTTGAATTCTTAGGTAATGTGTTATATAATAATAAGCTCATGTTATATACATTTCTCTTATACATATCTTTATGTCAGGGAGGTTGATATATTAATTGTGCATATTTACTTCTTAAACGCCGATCCTGTTACTCGAGAATCTTTCTTCGCCATCGTACGTCAGCTCTTCGAGGTATGCTCGGAGTTTCTTTGCGTGATATACTTTGAAATCAGAATATTCGTAATAGAACCTGAGTAACTGACAAAGCCCAACTGATCAGTAAATTCTTTCATAGTCTTATACGCCACCTCTTACGACAGCCATGGATCATAGAGACGGCACGGCACCGTGGCGCAGTGGATTAGCAATGAGTATTTGCGCTGGGGACCGCGGATTCGAATCCCGCACGGAACAAGTATTTGTGTGGCCTACAAATAATTGTTCCGGGTTTGGATGTTTGTCCTCGTGCAATCTATGTTTGTAAACTGCCTCCACAATACAGGAGAAAATCCTAGTGTGGGGGTAACGTTTTAAAAAAGAAAAAATGCAGATGCGTTGTCACCCATGAGGTCTGAAATGGAATGCCTCGTTTCCAATAAAAAGGGTCTCCGGTTCTATACACTACACACGAAAAACAGCAGTGTTAAGCTGGTATTTTACGCTGGTATTCTGTGAGAGCGTGGTCCTTTCCAGGTCGAGCCGACACATTCGTGGTACAACTATACTACTGAAAACGGCTGCAGCATAGCTCCACGATACAGGAGAAAACCCTAGTGTCCCCCACACTAGGGTTTTCTCCTGTAACTTTTTAAAAAAAGAGAAAAAGACATATGAGCTAGTTGATTCGCTAACGCCACTACTGTACGACGATGGCTATAATCATTTTATAATGTAATATACATTTTAAAATTATTCTGGTTGTAAAAAAGATGTTTAATAACTTCTAATGTATCCTTTTCTACATTTTTTATTTCAGAAAATGGCCTCCACGTAAGAGAACTGTTTAGAAATCCTGACAGGGTGAAACGATACTTAACAACTCAAATGAGCCTCGATGATCTAGTCGCTAATAGCTTGTTTGCATCGGACCTTAGCTTCGAAGGCGTAAGTGTATTACTTGGATATGAAAACCTTTTCATGTTAATATCACAAGAAATATTTTAGTATCTGCTCGTGTTTACAAATTTACAATACTTCTTATTAGCTTAAAAATGTGTAATTTTTTGTGTAATTTTATTAAAGAAATGCTTTGATTACGCGCAGGTACATTCTTCTTCATTTTTAATTAATAATCTTATCATCGGCGTTATACAAGTGGTAAAATTAAAAATTGTGTACAACCGACTCAATATAAATTATTAAGGATAACTTAAAAACTACTGGTCAGACCTTGATCAAATCTATATGGAGCCACATGAGGTGTACCAGCTTTCAAATAAAAAATGATCATCAAAATAGGTTAACCTAGAAAAAAGTTTTAAGGTAACATAAAAAACACAGTCAAATTGAGTACCTCTTCTTTTTTTGAAGTCGGTTAAAACTAATAAAAACGTAGTCTATAACGTAGAAGCCATGGTAGCTCAGGGGCTACGCGCTCGATGTAATATCACGTGAGCCAGCCGGCACCAATGAAATTGTTAATTACAATTTTACCACGTGCTTTACGGTGAAAGAAAGCACCGTGAGGAAACCTGCATGACTTAGAATATATATGGCGAAGACATGTAAGGTCCACCAATGCGCATTGGGGCAGCGCGGCGGAATTATTGTAGCCCTAAAACCTTCTCAGAAATAAGAGAAGGCCTGTGTCCAGGAATGGGACTTAGTGGGCTGTAAACTTTAACTTTTAACTTTAACTATAACGTAGTGATTATATATCTTTGGATTATATACTCTTTGACGTAGTGATTATATTGTAATCTTTTTCTAGTTTGACAAATCATAATATCCCATTTTTTAAACATATTGACGATATACTCAACATAGGCCTCCCCCAAGGAATGCTACGAAGCACGGATCTGAGCCACCTGCATCCATCAACATCCTGCATATCTTAATAGATCGTCACTCCATCTAGTTGTAAGCTGCCTTACACTTCGCCTACCGATACGAGGCTGCCACTCGGGAACCTTTTTTTTATAGGATAAGGGTGACAAACGAGCACACAGTCCACCAGATGGTAAGTGGTTGCTGCGGCCCATAGACATCTACATCCATCCTCTATTACAAATCAAAATGCAGATGCGTTGTCACCCGTGAGGACTAAGATGGAATGCCTCTTTTCCAGTTAAAAGGGTCTCCGGTTCTCTACACTCACCATACGAAACACAGCAGTGTTAAGCTGCTATTTTACGCTGGTATTCTGTGAGAACGCGGTCCTTCCCCGGTCGAGCCGACCCATTCGTGCTACAACTATACTACTAATGCAGCTACAGCATGGCTCTACCACGTAAAAAAAAACCTTTCTCCAAGGTTGACCATCCTGAGCTATATGGCCGGTCTAAATAGTTACATTAAAAATTCCTCCACTGTTTTCTCAGCCTTAGGGAGTTTTTGTCCAAATTATGGGACCACCCTTTTACTTTTTAATAAATAAATATTATTAGCGTGAAATGACCCACTGCAGGGCAAAGGCCTCCCTACTCTCTTTCCACTTGTCTCTCTCCAGACCCGCCATAGACCAGTCCTTCATGAAGGAGTCCAGTTCATCCCGTCATCTCCGCCTGGGTCTGCCTCGCTAACGTTTGCTTTTTATAGGGACCCTTTGGCTGTCACTGGCCTATTAGTCATTTGGCATTCGGCAGATGTCACCAGCCCAGTCCCATTTTAAAATAAAAACGGCTCCGTGGCACAGTGACTTAGCAGTATAGTGAAACATGTATTTGTTGTTTTTTATAGAAGATGGAGCAAACGAGCAGGCGGCTACCCTGATGGTAAATGTCTAAGTGGTCTACAAACAATTGTTCCGGGGCTGGATGTTTACATACACATATGTAAACTGCCTTCACAATACAGAAGAAAATCCTAGTGCACCTTCACTACGATTTTGAAGTTTTCTTTTTTTTTAAACAGGCATACAAATAAAGGACACACGGTCGAATTGAGAACCTCCTCCTTGTTTAATTCTGCTAAAAGAGAAGATAAGACTAACATTTGATTATTTTTACAGATTCTGCAAGGAAACTTCAACACATGCAGTCCAGAATCGATCATTAAGACTATTAAAATGAATAATGTCGAACATTTAAACGAATTCGTGCAAAAAATGTGTTCCCTTTCCACCGAGGACGTTCAAAAACTATTCATGGACTTGCTGGTTGAACTTGATTTGGGTAAATATATTCAAATGGTGAGTGGATTAAAAAAAATTGATCTATGCATATAAATTAAGTTGAAGTGTCTATCTCATCATCATCATCATTACAGCCCTTCACAAGTCCACTGCTGAACATAGGCCTCCCCCAAGGAATGCCACAAAGCACGGTCCTGAACCACCTGCATCCATCGACTTACTGCATGTCTTACCAGGTCATTACTCCATCTAGTAGGGGGACGCCCTACACTTTGTCCGCCGGTACGAGGGCGCAACTCGAAAACCTTTTTTCCCATCGGTTGTCGGTTCTTCGAGCTATATGGCCGGCCCATTGCCACTTCAGCTTACTAATCTGTTGGGCTATGTCGGTCACTCAGGTTCTACTGCGGATATCCTCATTTCTAAGTTTATCACGCAGAGAAACTCCGAGCAAAGTCCTCTCCATAGCTCGCTGAGTGACCTTGAGCTTCCTCATACGGCCAGTAGTGAATGCCCACGTCTCAATTCCATAAGTCATCACTGGTAAGTCATGCCGTGTAGTGGCGGTTAAGAATATCCACTACCCCATATCTTGGGGTGGGTGTCGTAAAAGGGGACAAAGGGAAACAGGCAGGAGATGGGTAGCAGCATCTTCCTGATAACAGCAACATCACAATAAAAAACTGCGTTTGTCCACCTGCTCGCCAAGCGTGGCGACTATGGCAATATACCCCCCAAATGGAGTGTCTATCTGTAATATAGAAATAACTGCCTTTTATTGAGTTCAGGGTTTTATTTGTATGTCATTAACACGTGTAAAATCATTTTGAAATTTTTGTCTGTCTGTCTGTTCGAGCTAATCTCCGGAATGGCAGAGCAGATTGTGATGAAACATTATGAACAGATAGAGATTAATGCCAGGAGTGATTTAGACTTTTGAGTTAGGCTGGAGTTCCTTTTTTTGTGAAATTATAAGACAAATGGTAGTACTGCACCGGTGAAGCCGATCTATTCGTTCTGCAGCTAATGCGGGATGGTTCTACGTATCTTACTGCAATTTAATTGCATTAAATTTGATATTTTAGTATCATAATTATCAATATCATTACATCCCTTCACAAGTCCACTGCTGAACATAGGCCTCCCCCAAGGAATGCCACAAAGCACGGTTCTGAGCCACCTAAATTCATTTGCATATCTTACCGGTCGTCACTCTATCTAGTGAAGAGCCGCGCTATTCTTTGCTTAGAATTATATGGCCGGCCCATTGCCACTTCCGTTTACTAATCCCTTAGCCCTTCCCATACCTCACTGAGCGACCTTGAGCTTCCTCATACGGCAGCGGTGAAGGATCTTAGATCGATAAGGCATCACTGGCAACACGCACTGGTCGTACAATCTTGTTTTCAAGTTTTGAGAGAGATTTCAGTATATATCATGTAACTTATATCAAACTTCAACAATTTTCAACAGATAGGTAACATGTACTTCAAATTGTCGAACGACGGAAGAATAACGGAGCTGGGAAAGATGGCAGCATCTGTATTGCGTATGATGTCGCTGCAAAGCTTTCTACCTCCAGAAATAACCGAGATGTTTCAAGGCGAAACTCCTGACTTCAGTTACATTCATTTAGATGTGTGAGTAATGTTTAAAAAATTAAGTATGTTAAGTATGTTGCCTCTGTATGGGTGTCAAAATATATAAAAAGATTCTTAGAGATATTAAAATGCTCAATATCAATATGTTTAAACACAGGTTGTACAAATGGCTAAGTCAGAATAACTTTTATAGCATAGATTAATTTCTCTGTACCAAAAACTTAACATAGATTAATATAGTTATAAATTCTTATTTTATTCAATTTTTATTCGTTGACATATTTGGTGATAATTATTATATTAATAGTATGAATTGACATGTAATCTCATTATAAAACTCAATGTGTTATTTACATGTTATTTTCATTATGGCGAAATAGATGCACTCTGTTCAAACTTGTACCAACTTATAATACTGTGTTTCTAAGCAAATAAAGAAATTATTATTATTATTATTATTATTATTAAAAATTTGCTATTTAAGATCCGTTAATAAAATATAATGACATGTCTTACTTACTTTGAAGAGACTTAGCAGTTACCGCAGAGTCCACTTTACCTAAGGATCGTTGTTTTCGTTCGATCTTTCGCCTCGTTTTGAGGCGAAACACGTGTCGTATTATCAACGGTGTTGTTCGTGTTATCGACGGTGGTGTGTCTTTCCTAATGTAGTGGTGTTTAGAGTAGCGGTGCTGGGATTATTGGTGACGGGGATAGTGCACGCAGTTGAAAGAGTACGGTAGGTGCTCTTCAAACTAGGTAAAACACATCATTTTTATTTTACTACGCAGATCTTAGTAAAGGAGACGACTTATTTATTTTTTTATGGAGAATGGACCCACCACAAATTGTGGCGTAAGTTAGTGAAATATAATATGTCCATTTATCTCTTATAACCTATAGATTACAAAAATAATATTAGTTTTACCGTATCTAACGGGAATATTCAGAAATTAACAATTAAAATATGAATATCACAATAACTTAACAAAAAACTAAAAGCAATTGTCTAATTGTTTTTAATGGTAAGGTATTATAAGTTAAAATAGTGCACTGGTCAATAATTAATAGTATTAAACAAAGTTGTAAAAGTACGTTTAGAATTTAGATTGATGAAAAATCGTTTTAGTAGTTCTTTCTTCGTTACACGCATTTTTTTTTCATATTATATTATTCAGAACACGAATATCAAAAGAAGTATTTTTTTCAGATTTCATGATTCATAATCTTGTGATAAACAAGCACACAGTCCACCTGATGGCTGATGAACTTTGAGGCTTGACAAATGAGTTGTCTATTCGTTTTTACTCGCCTTCGCTCGGCAAGCTATTTCCTACGCGTAAAGACGGCTTTACGTGATAAGTAAAATACCCAGAAAGAAGAGTTTACTTCATGGCGACAGGGACCAGCGTTAAAAGTCTGGTACTGCTATCGCCTGCTCAGCGTGGCGACGTTTTTTTTATAGGATAAGGGTGACAAACGAGCACACAGTCCACCTGATGGTAAGTGGTTGCTGTGGCCCATAGACATCTACATCTATCCTCTTTTGCAAATAAAAATGCAGATGCGTTGTCACTCGTGAGGACTAAGATGGAATGCCTCTTATCCAGTAAATAAAGGTCTCCGGTTCTCTACACTCACCATACGAAACACAGCGGTGTTCAGCTGCTATTTTACGCTGGTATTCTATTTATAAAATCTGTATGCTCTTTACTATGATAACTTGGTATCTTTTTCTATGTGTTATGAAATTAAAAATTACTAGTGGGCCCAAAAACGATTGTCTCCTTTTTAATATTTCTAATGGATTTCGGCAAAGTAACGATTGATTCTGTTCATTGTCTTAAAAAGTAAAAAGTAAAAGACGACATCAATGAAGGAAAGGAATAAAATAAAAGTGGGCTTTTAGTAGTATATGTGGTAGGCTTGTCACAAACTCAATGTAACCGAATGTCGTTTAAATAGTTACAATAAAAACTTAATTTTCCACACCCCTATTTCCCACCCTTGGGTGTGAAATTTTTAATACAAATTTATACGGGACCACCTCTGAAAAATCAAGTGATAATTGTCGAAGATATTGCGTAACATACAAAAGGACATACAGTTTAGTTGAAACCTTTTTTGAAATTTTTTGACGTCAGCTAAAAAGAGAAAATAAACAAAATTTTTCTTTGGTAGGCGAAAAATTACTGGGTGTATTAATTAAGTGATTTTTTATCGTAATTAAAGTAAGAAACAGTTGAGTACAACGTTACTTTAACGAACTTAGTACTAAATTGATCATGTTTGGAGGTGTAAGGCGGCAACAGAGAAAGATGGAAACGTGTTCCTAATAGGAAATAAAATTAAAAAAAAACTGCGGTTGTCTACCTGCCTATTAAGCGTGGCAACTATGGCAAATATTCTTCCTAAACGGCAATCTACTTTGCTAATCTCACAGTTCAGTGCACAATACAAGATTCAAACTTAAGGCGTTTCCCTGACCAAATAACCTTGAGCATGCAGTGCACCGCCGCCCGCACTCTACGTACGCCCATTTATTATAGAATTCACACAATTTTTGGAATTAATTTTAATTAAAAAAGAAAAGCGAACTTTAAAAATTAAGTAAAACGTGAATAATATAGATTTTTAAATTATCTGTCCATAAGTGTAATCCTCAAATGATTAGAGCGTTGCCTTTAACAACAGATGCATGTAATAAATCATTTTAGTCATTTTTTAAAAATACATTTTTAATGTATTTATAACATATAAAAACAAATGAAAACGTGGAATGTGATGATATGATATCGAACATTAATAATGTGCTTTTAGATGTAGTTTATTTCTCATAACTAATGAGATAATAATCTCTGAATAATGAAGAAAAACGCACTATCGCTAGGTTTTGGTCGGGGAATCGCCTTAAGTACAAAGGGGTTATATTCACATGACCGCGCGCCATATGTCTTCAATTGCGACGTTTCATTTTTTTCTCCTTATAAATAAAATAATATAAGTAAATTGTCTCCTTTGCGTCCATTTTCAATTAATGTTGAAGCCAGGAATACCGCGTGTCTTCTGACATGTGAACTCTTCAACCGTGCGTCATGATATACTCAAGCAAAAGCTCTTGGTGCATATACAATTTTAGTTACTAATTATTAATTGTTAATTAAAGAATCTAATAATGTTATTACTTGTTTATTTTATTTTAAGAGTGTTTAATTATGTAATTTCGTTTCTAGAATATCTAATATACTCGACTACTTTGAACCGGACTTTGGTGACACACAATCATACAAATCAGTAAGAAATTTCGCCGACTCTGCTGTAGTTGTCATCCGATATTTACATAGATTCTCAGAAAAGCAAAGGAAGTCAGTAAGTGGCGTAGCTAATGTAGATTCTACTGAGTTTGGAAAGGATTTTAATATGAACTCGACAACGGAGGGCATTTCAAATATTTTCTCTAACGCCATTGAAGTTTTCGATGATTTTGCTGATAATGCAACGACAATAGATGCGTTCAATTTGTAAGTAATAATTAAAACTATTAATTCAACTAATTATCGTTTCAATGAAATATACACAGGCTTTATATTAGTTTGAACTGTATCTACTATATTAATGGAATTTTGTGGTTTAATTTTCCCCCACTTCCAGATATCTGAGTAATCAAATATTTTGGAGACGTATTAAGAATTGATGAAAATACAATCATTCATGAATAATGATCAAATACTCAAACGCTATTAAAATTTAAGACGTCGTTAAATTTCGTGGCGTTTGTTTGCACTTTGGCTTAGTGATAGAGACTTAAAGGTATCTTAAAATTGAGCTGCGTTTGATTATTTAGGGATAAAACCTAGTATTCTCACTGGAATCATCACAGCTCATCAATGCGTAGTGTTTAAATTATATTAATCCTTGATATTTTTATTATTGTTTGATATTTTAACTTGAAACCGAAGATATTTATAGAATTATACATTTTTTCTTAATGAACTGCTCAGAATTTATAAATTGTAAATTTTCATTATTCAATTGCATAAAACTTGTTTTCGAAATTTGTAGATTGATTTGTCGGATACCTAAGTCTCCCCATGATTATGGGTGCTGTGGTGCACAAAACATCTTGAACTTAAAAAAAATTAAACGCAATAAAATTGATTAAAATTATATTACAAATATTGAATAAAATATTAGATATTAGAATATTAGATATAATATCATGCTCAACGTTTAATGTATTTTCTTTACAGAATGCCACAAATTACAAATTTCATTTACAAATGGCTTCCGGACAAAACAAAACATGACGTTCTGTTTTATTCAACACTTATAACGAAATTAATAGAAGGGGCGGAAAAAGTTATCTTTATTAACGTGAATATAGAAGAATTGATCTACAACGTATCTTTGAGGCACCCACAAGGCGTTAAAGTGTTAACGTCATTGCCTACAGAATTTTTCGCACAAGGTTTGGAGGCTTTAGCTGACATTGAAAGAGTTCAGGTAATCCAATTCACAATAATTTTCTAACTTTTAGCATATCAATATTAAGACCAGTGAAAATAAGTTTAAAATAAAGTAGAAGGAAATGTGACCGTGACTTACAGAGCACTAACCCCGCTGCGCTAGGTACCATAGGTCTTTTTTTACTAATTACTATCAAAAACTTTAAAATTCCAGATCCTAACATCGAAACTAGACTCTCCTGGCGAGATGTTTTGTGACAGTAAAAAATTGCAAAAGTTTTTCAACGTGAAAAAGGATATAGCGATGCAGTTGCAAACTAATCTTTGTACCGCCGCCTGGAAGGACTATATTGCTGACTTGATCCGCACTTTTGGGATCTACGAAGTTAGAAACAATGTAAGTTGATTGATGACAACTACGACAACAAACAAGAGCGCAGTTAAATTACAGCATCGACAGAACCACAGCGACTGTAGTAACACTGCTTCAATATTATGCTGAGTCGAATGGCTCTTTGATGCTACAACCCAATGTATTACTACAACCGCTTTTTTAGAGTTCTGTACCCAAAGGCTAACCAACGGGACCCTATTACTAAGCCTCCGCTGTACGTCCGTCCATCCGTCTGTCTGTCAACGCGCTGTATCTCATGATCCGTAATAGGTAGACAGTTGAAATTTTCACAGAATGTTTATTTCTGTTGTGACTATAACAACAAATAATAAAAATAAAAATTAAAGGGATATCCCTACTAGAAATGTGTTTGACGATGGTACGGAACACTTCCGAGTCCGACTCGCACTTGGCCGGTTATTTATTTGTTATTTTCCAATTTCTAGTGAATTTTACTGCACCTCCTTAGTAGTGTTCTCTGCTTACTCACAGGTTGGTTCTCTACCAGTAGTCCGTTATTGTACATTTTGTCCGACGAAGTTTAAATAAATACGAGTAAATAAATGTTCTGTCATAGTGACAAAAAAATTAATTCCTTTATATTATGGCCAAATCCAAACATGTTATTTTAAAATATATTATTTTAATTTGGTTACTTCAACTCTTACTGTATAATGAGATTTTTATCATTTGTTACAAACATTCAGTGATTTAAAAAGAAGAACGACCTCAGTCGGTGCCTAGGAAATATTTGCCTCATCATTAGTGTTCCTGTTTGGATGGGAAATATTTTGCTCCTATTACATGCAGGTTTCCTCACGATATCTCACGATGATCTTCACGACCGTTTAGTTCACATACTATGAAAATTAAGGCGAGTGCATAGCCCCTGAACTATTATAGCTCTTCAAAATGAATGAATGATATTTTTATAGGATCGGGTGACAAAGGAGGATACAGTCCACCTGATGATAAGTGGTTGCTGTCACCCATAGACATCCACATCTTTCCTTAATAAAGAATCAAAATGCAGATGCGTTGTCACCCGTGAGGACTAAGATGGAATGCCTCTTTTCCAATTAAAGGGTCGCCGATTTTCTACACTCACCATACGAAACAACAGCGTTAAGCTGCTATTTTACGCTGGTATTCTGTGAGAGCGTGGTCCTTCCCCGGTCGAGCCGACCCATTCGTGCTACAACTATACTATTAACATAGCTGCAGCATGGCTCTACCGCGTACAAAAATGTGAATGAATGAATGAATGAATGAATTAATAACATAATAAATAATATCTTTGGGAAGAAGGAGTGCCTAAAAATCACCGCTTTATGGAATCTCAGTCCCGTATAAGCAAAATCTCAGACACCTCCAATTGCCTATATTTTATTAAGATCAAGTACTTGGTTTATATGTAAATTTGTTTTTACAATGAGTCAATAAAGTGATATTTATTGAAACGAAGTTCATTATCGGACGGTACGAATTTAACGGATAGGGGCTAGGCGAGAAAAAGTGTAAGTTTTTCCGTCACGCCCCCTTTCTATAGTGCGAGCGACATGGCATTATATCCATCTCCCTCTCACTTTTTCTTATCTTGCCATTAAATAATTATTATTTTAAATGACGCTTCATTTTAATAGACGCTAGTAATTAATTAATTTGTATTTTTTTAATCAATAATATAATACGTTTATCAATAATAATATACTACGAAATGAACTTCGTTCCAACCGAGTGTTCCACGACACTCACGCATGTTTTTATTTATTTTAATTTCTAAAATTAGTTTTATTCAATCGAACAAAATAAATGTTCACAAAATCATTGTTTCATGATTTCAGATCAATACAATGGCGTCATTATTCATCCAAGAGGCACTGGGCAAGGACACGTCTTCGCAACTTTATACCCTTGACCGTGACTACCAAGTTCTCAAGAACTTCGTCCACGCAGTCTACAAGGTAGACGAAGAACTCCCGCGTGCTGTCAATTGGAGCAATATAATCGACCCAAACCAAGATTCAAAGTTTATGAAGATAGTTCGCGATAAAAGAAATTTGGGCAAGCAGATGTTGTAAGAAATTTGTTAATAATTTCACTAATAACTACTTTAGTCTATTATCATCATCATCATCATCATCACAACGTATCAAAATTCCATTGCTGGACATAGACCTCCCCATTGTTATGAAAAAATAAACACGTTGGTAGAAACAAATATATGTGGTATTTTTGCCGTGGTAGCCCCGGAGAGTTGCCAATGATCCGTTTAAATAAATAAAGTTTTATTTTAATATTAAACATTAAGAAACAATCTGGAATCGTTATGTAGTGCGTTTGATTGTTAAAAATTGCACTATGTTAATATTTTTTTTTTTCATTTATCTTTTTAAAAACGTTACCTCCACACTAGAATTTTCTCCTGTAACGTGGGCAGTTTACATACATAAATGTTACAAGGACAAACATCCAGACCCGGAATAATTATTTGTAGGCCATACAAATAATTATTCCGTGCGGGATTCGAACCCGCGGCCCTTAGCGCTGCAACTTATTGCTAAGTCACAGCGCCATGGAGCCGTCAAATGTCATCTTTATGTATTATAAGCATTTGTTTTGTATATCTATTATTTGATTTGCAGCGAGAGAAGCGAAGAGTTGCAGCGTCTTTAGTGATTGCATTAAGGTCGTTATATTCACGCAATATATTTGTTTTGTTGAAACGATTGTTCATAGATATGCTGGGATGCTAATAAGTGGCTGTTATCAAATTATTAGAAAATTCTATATTTATGAACTAAAGTGACTCATATCTATAGAAATAAATAAATTTGAATTATCTGTTTGTAATGTCAAAATAACAGCTTTTTACTTAATGCATATGAAAATAAATACGGTACTTATAACAAAAATAGTTTTAAAAATTCCTTCTGTCTATCGGTATGTCTGTCTGTCTGTTTGTTCCGGCTAATCTCCGAAACGGCTGGACCGATTTTGACGGGACTTTCACTGACAGGTAGCTGATGTTATTAGGAGTAACTTAGACTACTTTTATTCTAGAAAAAGAATTAGAGTTCCGCGTAAAAAAAAAATTAATACCCATGAAATCCAATCGTAATAAATTCAACGCGAGCGAAGTCGCGGGGAACAGCTAGTTCAAAATATAATTATGTTGTTTTGATTCTAAAAAAAGAAAATCACAAAATCACTGACAGGTGACGCTGTGGTCGAACTGTAAATAATAAAAATTAATTTTTACATTTATCACTACTCTAAAAAGTCCAGAGTGAATGCGAAATTAAACGCATCACACCACCTACCGGAAAGTACAGAACAACGTCTATGAGCAGCTAGATTTATTTTATTTTATAATGGTTCTGCATTAACTTTTTTTTTAATTTACAGAGTAACAGTTCATGGAGCGTTAGCGAAGGCGGTGGTTAAACAAAACCCGATTTTAGAATTAAAAATAGCACCTCTCCTAACGGATGCGACAACCATAGTTTCAGCTCTCAGCAAGGAAATAGATGAAACGCCTCAAGACGTTGCGCAGAAAGTGCAAACCCTTTACCCTACAATACTGCGAACCATTTTGACTACTGCTCTTGATGAGAAAAAGGTGAGAAAACTCTAATGACATTTAAAAGCTATAAATATTTCGCTATATTATGTGGTGTGGAGACTGTTTTCACTGGTTACGAGACATTCCATCTTTGTCCTCAGGGGTGACAACGCATCTGCATTTTGATTTGTAATAGAGGATAGATGTAGATGTCTATGGGCCGCAGCAACCACTTACCGTCAGGTGGACTATGTGCTCGTTTGTCATCCTTATCCTATAAAAAAAATTATACTTCACAATATTACATGTATTCTTAAGAGGCGCCTACGCAATAGGCCCAAAAGATCTTATAGCTTCCGATAGATTGTGAAATAACCATCTTTACGCCAGACGTTGAGAAATAGCGTCAAAAGTGCGAAACGTCTGGTACTGCGAACGACAATCACCCTATCACCGTCACGATTGAAACAAGCCCTTCGTACAACGGAGGGGCCCAGGACCAGCAACGGTCCTTTAAGGGCTAGTAAAGGGAAAGACCTTACCATGCAGTGGCGGTGTAAGAATATCCACTACCCCATATCATACCGTGGGTGTCGTAAGAGATGACAGAGGAAACAATGGATGGACAGCAGTATCTTATAATATAATATCCCCCCTAATATGCAATCTATGTTTAGCAGTGGACTTTAACTGTAGGTAACGGTAACGGAAGGGAAAGAAGAAGATGCATATACAACATGTAACAAAAACCCTGTGATTCCCGTTAAGTACGTTATCAGGATCAGTATTCAAATCGATAGAAATAACTTTTTTTTTAAACTCGACAATATTATTTTTTTATATTATTAATTTTTTTTAATTTTATGTGGTTTTACTACCTCTTACTGACACTAGCCGATGCTAAAGCTAAGGAAAGCGGGGTCTTTGATAATCCCCTTACTCCTCAGACAATGCAGAGGTAATAAAACCACATACAATTTGCATACAATTAGTTTTATTAAAAAAAAATTGTTCGAGTTTAAAAAAAAAGATCCTAATAACGTACTTAACGAGAACCACAGGGTTTTTGTTACATATTGTACATCGTAATCTATCTTTAACTGCCATTTCTATCTAAGGTTGATGGCATCGTTGATGTAGTAGTCGTAAACGCAGTTGCTAATCATGAGGTCCTGAGTTCGAGTCTTGGGTCGGGCCAAAATCAAAAAAGTATTAGGCTGCTATTTTATGCTGATATTCTGTGAGACCGTGGTCCTTCCCCGGTCGAGCCGACCCATTCGTGCTACAACTATACCAGAAATATAGCTGCAGCATGGCTCTACCACGTTTAAAAAATTATTCTATGGCTACTCCGGAGGACAGTATTATTGATGTAATCCTTAAATATTTTCTGTTACAGACTTACAAATTACTGTCTACCTTCAGTCAAGACGCGGTATGTAGGGGTGTCGAAAATGCTTCGATGTATTTGAAATTTCCACCCGACGTCGACAGAGATAGCGTTGTTACAGCCTTGTGTAATATAAACGTTATATTTGAAAACATACTAAATAAGGATTCACATTTAGGAAATGCTGTAAGTATGACATAGTTGACAGAAAGCCTTTGATTTCTGATTCAAGAAACCCTTTTGACTAACGCAGTCAGGGCACCATTGACTTTGTTCCCGGCAGCGACACGCCTGTCCACATCTAAATCACATCTTCCATCCCGGCTGAAAGCACTCCCCAAGTATACAATTTCATTTACTTGTTCTAAACATTCCTGATTTACCCATATTTCACACTTCGTTCTCTCTTCGTCCCTTTCAAATACCAGAACCTTAGTTTTATTAGCGTTCAAACGGACACCTTTAATTTCACATTCCTCTTTCATACACGTAACTAATGCCTGCAGTTCTGCCTCTGATGGTGCAATAAGCACTGCATCATCAGCATACAGCAGACAATTTACTTTTATGTCACCCAATTTCACACCCATACAGCTATCTTTCAGCTTTTGTAAACAGCTGTCGAGATACAGTATGAACAGCCAGTAAGACATGACACAACCCTGTTTTACGCCCGTTTGGACGCTAAACATGGGTGACAGGTCATGCCCTACCCGCACACAGGCTTTACAGTCACAGTAAAGAGACTGCACAGCCCTTAGCAATCGACCATCCACACCATACCCCGGCAACAGTTCCCACATTTTCTTCCTTACAACCTTATCAAATGCTTTCTCAGATCCACAAAAGCACAGAAAATCTTCTGGTTAGCAGCCAGAAGCTTTTCCGTGATCATGCGGAGAGAAAGCATTTGATCCGTACATCCTCTTCCAGGTCTAAATCCGCATTGTGCCTCCCATAGAAATCTTTCCGATTTCTCTTGCATCCTACGTGTCAAAACCTTCGAGTAAACTTTACTTGCTAAACTGATCAAGCTGATCGCCCGATAGCACCCGCAGTCAAAATGTGTACCTTTACCTTTATATAAAGGCACAATGACTGCGGATCGCCAATCATCCGGGACATCCCCCGTCCGCCAGCACAAATTGCACAGCAGATGAAAGCTGTCCCAGACGCGAGGCCCACCATACTTGACCATTTCAGCAGTAACTCTGTCTAGTCCCGCAGCCTTACCACATTTCAAACTTCGAATCGCACGTTCAATCTCTTTCATACTGATGACCTCAGTGTCATCGAGGTCCAGGTCTGGCGTACCGGTTACGGCGTCATCCCCGGATCCCCCACTAAGATCATCACACGCATACATTTCTCTATAAAATTCGCTCCATCGCTGCATGACGTCCGATTTTTCTGAGAGGACGTCATTAGTTCTCGAACGCACTTTGTTCATTCTTAAGGCCGTCGCACCACTTCGGGTCCTTCCAACCTCTTTCCAGAAGAGTTTGGAGTTCTCCTTAAAGTTGTGCGACAACCTTTCGTCCGCTTCCATTTTACACCTTTCACGCACTTCCTCAATCAATGCTTTCGTGTGAACTTTCTGCAGCCTATATCTTTCTTTCATCTTCTCTCTCATATCCTTATCATTGAAAGATGACCTTATCACAAAAATTGATAAGGGCGTGCTTCGGTGGTTTGGGCACGTTGAGCGAATGAGTGAAGACCGAATGGTGAAGAAAATATATAGCGCGAAAGGTAATATTAAAAGGTGTCGAGGTAGACCGAGACTAACTTTCGAAGACCATGTGAGCAAATTGCTCGAAGAGGGTAGGATCAAGAGTACTCGGATACCTAGACGTGCATGTATGAAGAAGATAATGAATCTGAAAGAAGCGAAAGAGGTATGTAAGGATCGTGACACTTGGCAATCTGTTCTCTCTGGCTACCCCGTCAGGGATTGTGCGTGAAGATAAGTATAAGAAACCCGTTTTCTGTAGAAACTACAAGAAAATCTACAATGTCTCTCTATTACATATATTTCTATACAAAGTAACATTATAATATATCTCAATGATTAGTCAACTTCTTCCTGCCCTCAATATAATATGTATTTCTCTTCCATTCTCCTCTGTTAGCGTCGTCTCTTTACTTGCTTCTTTCTTACGTTTCACATCTCTCATACATTTCATCCATCTTTTCTTAGATTTCTCTTCATCATACCCATCTACTTTCATAGCTAAAACTTTCATAGCTACTTGTTTGAATGATAACATGGTTGATAATTACCCCTGGAAATGAGATGAAAACTTCCAAGCTATTTCTTCTATGAGTTTTGTAAAAAATGTACAAACTATAGAATAATGAATAGTTAAATTTTGAATAATAATACTGTGGAAAAAAACCCTCGCTTTCTTTCTGATTCTATCCAGGACACAGGCTTTTTTCCAAACCAGTGGTAAAATAAAAACATACTTTAAAAAATAATTATTTATAATCTTTATTGAATAAAAAATATTCTATTCTATTTTTAAACATAACTATTAGGTTATTTTTCATTTAAAATGTTAAGTCTTGAGTATACTTAAAATAAAGAAAACTTTTTTCTACCCATAATTTAGGTCTCGGCCATTATGTCCAAAAAGGACCAGAAATTTATGGGAATCGAGTGGACGAGACTCATAACCGATCTGAAGAACCTATACGTGAAAATGGCCCAATATTATCCATATTTGTTCGAATACAAAACCTTTGGAATGGATGACGATATGCAGATGGAAATTGCGGCTATGCTTAAGGAAGTGAAAACATACTGGTTTGGTACAAGGAAAATGAACAGAAGTATACGCTTGAGGTAATATAAAATCGTAACAGTAATACCGTTGCCGTGTAGTGGCGGTGAAAGAATATCCACTAACTCATATCGTCCAGTCCCGTCATCGTGGGTGTCCTAAATGACGAAAGAGGGAAACAAACCAGGACATGGGGAGCAGCATCTTCATAATAACAACTCAAAATTATAAAAAAAAAACATGCGTCAGTGTCGTGGAACACTCAGCTTGAACGAAGTTCCTTTCGTAGTATATTATTATTGATAAACGTATTATATTATTGATTAACAAATACAAATAGAGTCTATTAAAATAAAGCGTCATTTAAAATAATATTTCTTTCATGGCAAGATAAGAAAAAGTGCGAGGGAGATGAATATTATTCCATCTCGCTCGCGCTTTAGAAAGGGGGTCGTGACGGAAAAATCTTAAAGTTTTTCTCGCCTAGCCCCCATCCGCCAAATTCGTACCGTGCGATAAGGAACTTTGTTCCAAAAACTGCGGTTGCCAACCCGCCTGCCAAGCGTGGCTACTATATATCCCCGCCTAAAAGGTAATCCTCGGCGGAAGCCTATGTTCAGCAGTAGACTTTTTATGGGCTGTATTAGATGGATGGATACTGGAATATAAAAATTAACGTCATTTTGTCTTTCTTTGGCCGAGTTTTTTATAAGTAACATCCAACCTAGGAACTTCTACTGTAACGTGGAGGCTTTTAACATATTATATTACTAGCTCACGGACAAACATACCAGACCCGGAATCAAATTTTGATGTGGTGCTTCAAAAATTTTATATTGACACGCCATTCGATTATCTCTCGAAATATATTTTTCTAATCTAAATTTCATCCTTTAAAATTCAACCTTTAAGTTGTAAAATTCGTACTATAAACCTCACGTCCGTATTTAGGTATCTGCATAGTAAAACTGTGCAAAATTTCAATCATCTACGTGAAACATTTTCTGAAAAATTTTAACGTTTTGACACTGTGTTACAAGTCGCGGCATGTAAGTCTAGCGCTGAACGAAACGCAGAGGGGACGCGCACGAATTTAATTGCACAAATGTGACTGGAAAGCCAATCAGCGCGTGCGAAAAACACGCACGAGCCAATCAGCGCGACTTATGCGCAACAACGGTCACCGATGGACTTTCGTGCCACTGCTTACACCTAAGTTGTCTTTAACTGCCTTTTAAATTCCACTTGCTAAAATCACCTTACAGTGTTTTCATACTAAAAATAATGATTTGGTCTATTGTTTCAGTATAAAACTGGGATTAGGTGTCTTAGATTTTGTAGATCGAGACATTTTCAACCTGAAGGGTGACACTTGGCTACGGTTGAAATACGGTTTCGGTCTGCTGTCTGGTCCCTTATCGGTTATGGACGATATCGTGAAGTTAATTCAAGGTAATTTAATTATATTTATAATTAGCGACCCACCCTGCCTTCGCCTCTGTAGCGTTTTTTTTTATAGAATAAGAGTGACAAACGAGCACACAGTTCACCTGATGCTGAGTGGTTCCTGTGACCCATAGACATCTACATTTATCCTCAATAAAGAATCAAAATGCAGATGTATCGTCACCCGTGAGGACTAAGGTGGAATACCTCTTTTCCAGTAAAATGGGTCTCCGGTTCTCTACACTCACCATACGAAACACAGCAGTGTCAAGCTGCCATTTTACGCTGGTATTAGCGTCTATGAATATTGAAATTTAGATTAATTTATGACAAACAAAAGCCATTTATTTTATGTTTTGCGGATAAAACACAGCCTAGATCACACCTGGAATTGCCGTCTATCCACAGTTATTTTTTCACCAATTTTTTAAACTTAAGTTCAAATAAATAAAACATGATTTACCGTTATGGTAGGTTTTGAAAATACGAGTAAATAAAACTTCTACTTGTATTTGAAATTATCCCAAATTGAATGTGATTTATGTTCAAACTACGTTTTTACCTATCTATCGACCCTTATACAATATGTGCGAGCGCAGTAAAATCAGTTAAAATAATGCATTACCACGCATTTTGAATTTAAAAGATAAAAAGGACAGAATATTTGAGAATTTTTTAATAATGTTACTTCACCATTGGCCTATATTACTTATTCTGAACCTTCTCTGCGAATTTGGCCGTATATTGCAAAATAACCCTGTATATATAGATAAAAAGTGTAGTGCCTCTCCCCACTAGATGGAGTAACGACCTGGTAAGACATGCAGGAAGTCGATTAACGCAGGTGGCTCAGGACCGTGCTTTGTGGCATTCCTTGGGGAAGGCTTACGTTCAGCAGTGGACTTGTGAAGGGTTGTAATGACTAATGATGATGATGTGTAGATATGGATATATACGCTACATTTGTCATGAAGTATCAGCGCAATAACTATTACTTTGTCCCGGTGGAGTCGTAAGAGGCAACTATGGAAAATGCCACAAATATCCAATATAGATCTATATAGCTATAGATGCCGTTCTAACCATCTTGGTTACGCCAGGTGTAAATAGGCTCAGACCGACGACGGGCAGCAGGGTCAATGGTGCGAAATGTCTGCTACTGCTACAATATACCTATATAATATTTATATTATATACTTATATAAAGTTAAAAAGTAAAGTTACGTACGTCCCACCGCTGGACACAGGCCTCCTCTCATTTTTGAGAAGGTTTTAGGGCGAGGAGTGTCCGCCGCGCTGCCCCAATGCGTGTTGGCGAACCTCACATGTCTTCGAAATATTTTTATTCTTCTTATTTGTCAGACATGCTGGTTTCCTCACGATGTTTTCCTTTACTGCCGAGCACGTGGTAAATAAGCACTTAAAATTTCAATTAACAATTTCATTGGTGCCGACGGGCCTCGAACTCGAGTTGCTCACGTGCTGTCAAATTTACAGCGAGCCCTAACCATCAGTGCTACCACGGCTCACTTACTTATATTTATTCACACTTATATTATATAGTTATTTAATATTTATGTTAGTACACGTGCGGTGAAGTTCCTAAAGGAACTCCATCTGCGGCTGGTCGTTGCTGCTGGTGATAAGAGGGCTGGTTCTTTTCTCGCTCAAAGGCTAAGTATAGCCATTAAGCGGGGAAACGCAGCCAGCGTTCTTGGCACGGTACCGCGGGGAGTAGGACTGTATGATTATTAAGCTTCTAGTTTTAGTTTTTTTATTATTATTTTTATTTAAAGTGTTTACGTTTTCTCAGTTTGTTTTTAACAAAACTGGATTAATGGTTACTACCACGGGACTAAGCCAAGTGGGTACCATGAACGTGTTTGGTTATGGGTAGTATTATTATAGTTTTTAATATTGTATATAATATAAAGTTCTATATTATATTTTAAATAAAAGTTTAAAAAAGTATTATATAATTAATAATATTTATATTATATAGGTAATAATATTGCATGCCTTAAGCGCATAGCGTGTAAAATCGCATTTTGTCGTTTTGTCGCATAAAATCGTATCTAACAATCATATTGAACATATAAATGACATAAAAATACTTTCTCAGAAAGATAAATTATTGTTGAACTTATTTTTTTTTAAATCGATTAATTGCTTTTTTTACATAAAAAGTAGTTTTAGTGGCTTATGATGTAGATTTATCAAGTCCGCAACCGGACTTGATAAAATTTCTATACACTTGATGATCTCTCTACACCATAACTTTTGATAATATCAATTGTATAGCGCTATTATCTCTATAATTTATTTTTTTATCTCTTCACCTATCATGTGGGAAGCCATGAAATGTAAATGGCAGTTTAGTTTTGTTTTGTTTAGTTATCATTAAATTTTTCGCCTGAGAAATCTTAAAATTTTCGGTGTTTTGAGCAGCCTTGTAATAATTTATTTTACGAAATACATTTTGCTTTGTCTCACACGTCACTTCGCGCTCCGCGCTCGGCCGCCGTCGTGAGTGGATTACGTTTGCTTCTAGCAGTGGTAAATATCGATCGTTGTAGAAATACAAAATATTGTATAGTTATATAGTAGCAGTACAAGGCAGAGTCGGGAAGTGACGCCCTAGGCGAAAGTTAGTCGGCCAAATTGGCGATATATAGAAAATGGGCCAGATTAAGAGTACCCTTAGGCGATGAGCATGTATGCGTAGGCGAATGATGTAAAGGAGGCGAGAGAGGTGTGTCTCTTGCTTGTCAAATGGAAGTCCGTAGTCTCTGCCTACCCCTCTGGGTGATATGCGTGAGTTTATGTATTATGTATAGATATAACTACATTACTGAAACTATAGGTACAACTAGAATACTAATAGTGTTACGGATATTTCACTGTAAAATTATGAAAAGATGATATTTAAATTACTTATTATGATTGCAGTGATATCGAAGAATGAAACTCTACACTTCAATTCCGCCTTACCCCCGTCTACAGTCATGAGCTTGAGTAAAATCATACCCTATTCAGCTCAATTGTTACAAGATGGGGTTGATTTAATCGTGAAAGACGACACTGAAGTAAGTTCATAATTTTTTTTTTGTGAAATATGGGTGAAAAGCGATTCTAACACATCCGCGTTCTACCACATTTATCCTCAATTAAAAATCAAAAAGCAGATGTTTTGTCACCTCTGACGACTAAGATGGAATCCAGTAAAAAGGGTCTCCGGTTCTCTACCCTCACCAACTCACCATACGAAACACGCGCTGATATTCTGTGAGAGTGTGGTCCTTCCCTGGTCAAAACGACCCATTCGTGTTACAACCATAAAATAGCTGCAGTATGGCTCTACCGCGTACAACTCTTTATCGTTATATTTCTCCTATAAATATTTTTTGTGTTATAATACGCGAGCATGGGTTGGATTCCCGCCAGTACTAATGAAATTGTTAAATGTAATTTTAAGTATGGATTTAACACGTTACCGTGTAGCGGCGATGTAATAATATCCACTTCCCTATATTATCATCCCGTAGGTATCGTAAGAGGCGACAGAGGGAAACAAATCAGGAAATGGGCAGCAGCGTCTTCCTAATAACGACTTATAAAAACTGCGGTTGCCCACCCGCTTGCCAAGCGTGGCAACTATGGCCAATATTCCCTCTATGAGCCACTTAAACCTTTAGTAGGCTGTAACGGTAAGGATGATAAACGAGCACATGTCTACCTGATGAAATTCAAATTACAAATGCGCTGTCACACCTGAGAACTACGAGATGTAGGAAATGCCCGAAAACATTATCATTATACTGCTATTTCACGCTGGTTATCCGTGAGAGCGTGCTTCTTCACCGGTTAAGCGACCAACCTAAACATCAAACCGAGTTAAGGATATGCTAATGATTTCTTATGCACACAAATAGTACGAGTACACATTGGAATAGAACTATTTTTTATGGATTTTATCGCGTGTAATAACTTATTTTATAGTTCCGACGTGTCGAGTACTTTACAGCACCCATGGTCACGGGGGGACTGAGGTGTTCGACGTCCCAATGTCATAGTTAACCACGGCTACCTTCAGATTAAAATTATTAATTTTTGTTCCGATCTACGCAGTATGAACTTATAGTGTCTTGAAGTCATTCAACAGTAAGCTTGAGTGGGGATTTAATTTTATCAGTTATAGAAACATCGGGAATATAAAATAAGTTAGTATACGCGATAAATCCGTAAGAACTAGTTTTATTTTAATTAAAGATATGGATTTGCCCCAATATTAACAACTTCACAAAAAAGACACAATATGTATACAGTGAAATGGTTAACTCGATTCTGAAGTAGCAATCGCAGTACCATGCACAGGCATCTCCTCACTTATGAGAGGGTTATGGAGCATAAGTCTGCCACGTTGCCCTAGTAAATGTTGGCGGACTTCACAAATCAATTTTTTTATTCCTCAGACGGCAGGTTTCCTCGCGATATTTTCCTTCACCACTTAGCACGTGGCAAATAAGCACGTAAAATCGCAATTAAAAATTGCATTGGTACCGACGAGAATCGAACACGGGTCCCTAGTGTACTATAAAACTTAATTCAAGTCTTCTGTATATGTTCAAGTTCGCACCAGCCATTACATCAAATTTTATAGACCACAAACCTTCGCAAAAGAACACCGAGTCCTACCAATAACGATTCGCGTGGCTATTGAAATTAATAATTATCCTAATTTCAATAGAGGAGATGGATGGGTGCTACCATCTGCTTGAGATCCAATAGTTAATAAAATAAAATCCACACCCAAGCATACCACTGCAAGACTTCAAGATACTATAAGCTCATGCTGCGTAAATCGGACAAAAAATTATATTCAAAAGATAAAGGTAGCCGAGCCGGCCTAGCTATTACATCGCGACGTCAAACACCTCAGCTCCCCCCCCCCCTCGTGACTATGACCACTGTAAAACACCCAAAACGTCGGGAATCAAAAAGTCTTATACGTGATAGAGCCATGTTGCAGCTATATTTGCTCTCACAGAATACTAGCTTAAAATAGCAGCTTAACGCTACTGTGTTTCGTATGGCGAGTGTAGAGAAATGGAGAACATTTTTACTATAAAAGAGGTATTCCATCTTAGTCCTCACGGGTGGAAACGCATCTGCATTTTGATTCTTTATTGAGGATAGATGTAGATGTCTATGGGTCACAGCAACCATTTACTATCAGGTAGACTGTGTGCTCCTTTGTCACCCTATGCTGTAAAAAAAGTTACAAATTAAACGCGATAAAATCCGTGAAATTAGTTTTATTTAATGTGTAATACTCGCGTAAATATAAGGAATCGTTATAACTCTTGATTTTCAGATAGAACCAATAATAGAGATAATGAATGCGCACCCAGCTTGGCCATGTTCAACGACTGGTCTGGCAGACTTATTGACGATAAGTGACCCGTCCAAAGAAGCACTGAAGAGTTTAGAATATTTTTTGTGTCTGAACAAAAGTCTGCAAGAAGACTGGATGTCGTATTTAGAAACCAAAAACATTTATAAACTTGTAAGTTTATTAACCATCATATTTTTAGGTTATGTTTAACCAACTTCTAAAAAGTTCGCTTAAAATTCGACTACATGTTTTTTTAGGTGTATGTTACGCAATATCGTCGTTTAGTGTGAACCCATTTTGATGATTCTTTTTTTTATTAAATAGGTTATACTTTAGGGATGTTCCAATATAAATGTAGAGAAAAAATTCTACCACTAAGAGTGGCAAAATAGGGGACGAAATTTGAATATAGTAACTACTTACACAAAAAATTGAGATTGTAATATTCCTTAATCCACTAAAAATATAAAAAAATGAACTTTTAACAAGAATTGAAATAAGATTCATAGAACTAAAGAGAATAAAATAACTTCACATTCTAAAGTCTGTGCTTAGATAAATTGTAAAGGAAAATGAGAGCCCCAACTCTCTTTTTTATCATTATTTTTATCATATTTGTTCTTAATGAGCATTTAAATTAGCATTATTTAAATTATTTGAACTTTCGAACCTTTAAACTAGCGTTCTAACATTTTATCATTTGTTCTTTGGAGCATTTATATTAATAATCTAACAATGTTCTGGTCTATTCTATCATTAGTTGGTCCTTCGAGCCTTTGAAATATTGTTTAAGCATTTAATTTTTTTTTTTGGTTAGAATTAACTTTTATAACTCTAATGATTTTACTATGTATTTACGTGTAGTGGTGACATGTAATAATCCATCGATTCATTTCATAAGATAGTTGTCTTAAGAGATGACTTGGACGCTATAAAGATCTATATGTAACCTATTTTCATTTATAACTATGCAAATTGATAGTCAATAATGTAGAATAAAAAATTCTTCTTAAAAAGACTTCAATATATATTATTAAGAATTACTCAAAAACTATTGTTCAGCCCGTGATCAAATTTATATGGGATCACATGAGAAGCACCAGCTTTTAAATAAAAGAAGAATCATCGAAATCGGTTTACTTAGAAGAAAGTTATGAGGTAACACACACATAAAAAAGTACCTTCTCCTTTTTGAAGTCGGTAGAAAAGAAGTTCTACTTCAGGTTTTGTATAGGATGGACAAAATATAATTTAAAATTTTAAAATATTATGCTCGAAAATTTTAAAAATTATTAACTAATTTATAAACATTGTATAATAAAAGAGTTAACCAAAAAGTAAAATCTGGTGTTTCTCCTTAGTCAATCAGGTTTCATCACGATGTCTTTCTTCACCGCCCAACACGTGGTAAATCACCACTTAAATTGTAATGAGTTCTTGTAGTAATAATAATAATAAATCTTTATTTCGGATAACAAATTAGATCCATATCAGAGATATTAGAAAAATCACATAATAATAATAATAATACAAAAAGTAAAATAAAAAATAAATAGGAAATAAATTGAAAATAAAAAATAAATGGAAGTAAAATGACACGCACGCACGCACGCATTCACGCATGCACATACGCACGCAAGTAATGTGTAAATATGAAAACGTTACCTCGCTCCCAGCAATTGTAGAGTCAATTAGTACAAAAGTGGGTATAATTTTGGAAAAATCAACGTACGTCCAACCTTAAAGATGTATCAGCGGGCACTTGAACTGTTTCCTTTGGTATGTTGATTTCGGTTTCTTTCTCATAAGACAAAAATTTAAACGTATTTGTAAAATTTATTCTCAATATGACTTAAAAAATAATAAACCTTTTCTTTGATATAAGTTTTACATGGTTTCTTTAAGAAATATCTGCAAGGTTAAAATAAGGTAAGGTTTAAATAGGCATTTAGTGTATGCATGATTTTTTTGTCTTAATCAATTAATTGTCAATTATTACGTATAACACAAACTTTGTTCGTCTGTTTATTTTGGGCCTGCGACCAGTAGTGTGACGTATAAACGAGTACCCTTACTTTTTATAAATAAACGTTATCCCTGCACTAGTATTTTCTCCTGCAACGTGAAGTTAATTTACATATATAAATTGCACAAGGACAAACTTCCAGACCTGGAACAATTATTTGTAGGCTATACAAATACTTGTTCCGTGCGGGGTTCGAACATATTCTAAGCCACTGCGTCTCTGAACTGAAACCTTACTTTAGTTTATTTGTCGTTTTAGAACCCAGATGACATAAATGCTACAGTTTTTGAACCACACGTATTCCTACGGTTCTCTGCGGCCTTCGATTCCCTGATCGAAGACACTTATATACTCAAAGATTTTTTTCTGGACGCTGTTGATGATCCAACTGATGGCCGCCCAAATTTTATGACCGCATGGAAACATGCCGCTAATGCTTTCAACATCACAGATAGAGATGACATATTCAGGTAAGCCTCGTAGAACAAAACAGATTTTAAGTCAACTTGAACACAATATTATGTACATCCATATGAAAGATTGAATTTTTATAAAAATAAGAGTGACATATAGGCGCATAATTTACCCATTTTTTATAGAATAAGTCTGGCACACAGTTCACTTGATGGTAAGTGGATGCTGTGGTCCATAGACATTTATTCTCAATTACAAATCAAAATGCGTATTATTAAGTAATCAGATGCGTAACACCCTCGAGGACTAAAATGGAATGCTCGTTTACTGTAAAAGGGGTCTCCGGTTCTTTACACTCATCATACGAAACACAACAGCATTATCTTCATTTACGTTGATATTTTGTGACAGCGTGGACCTACTCCAATAGAGCCGACCTGTACGTGTTGTAACTGTAGAAGAACCAGCTGCAGCTGTTGTGCTGTCGGTTTTCTGTTTTACCAAATGTTACGCACTTCTGACGAAATTTAAGATTTAGCAATTATGATTGACAAAAAAATATTTAAAATAGCATGTCTCATTACCAGGAAAAAGGGACTTCGGTTCTCGTCACTTAAAGACACACATATCACTTTGTATCATCATTACACATCATCAGCATAATGCTGCTGTTTAATATGATGAGCGACAAGAGAGAAACAAATACCCTTTTTACTCACAATTAGGTATTCCATCTTAGTCGTCAGGGACAATATGTTTACATTTTGATTCTTAATTGAGAATAGATGTAGATGTCTATGGGCCACAGCATCCACTTACTATCAGGTGGACTGTGCGATTGATTATCACTCTTAATTATATAAAAAAAATATGTTGAAAAAATTTCTTTGTAGAATTAAAAAAGTTTTTAATTCGATACAGGAGAGTATTCTCAAAAATGGACACAATACTAAACTCAATCAGAGTACCGTCGGTTAAACTCGACGTGCCACTCATCGCTTTGTGGAGGAACTTCCGGAGCTGCAGCAACAGCGGGCTCATTGAAGACAGCTGTAAAGAAGTCGGACGGGCCACGTGGTTGCATATCTTCAAGTTTATTTCAGTAACCTTAAGCAACGTTGCGGAGGACTTATTGACTTACTTTAAAGAAATCCACGGTAAATAAACTACTATGGCGTGATCGCGGAGCAGGAAGAATTTCAAATTATTGCTCAATTCATACAAATGTGAACTTTAATAACTTGAGAATAAACTCGGTTTTCGAATCACAAACACTGTTCAAAAGGTCCTAAAACTATTTTAGTTGCAATAGAAATAACACTTTTTATGATGGGAATTAAGTTTAAAAATGCAAAGCAATAAAAAATCCTGTTCCGCGACAGTGCTTTACATTATATAAATATTATGATATAATATGTAATGATATAAATAATAAACTTTATCTGTAATAAGTTTAACTAAAATTCCAGGTTCACTCGAAAGAATGTTCACTCGAGTGCATGATTTATTTTTCTTCCATGCTATGTTCACACAGCTTGACATAGAAAAGAACATTCACCTGCTCTTTTCTTTCAATATGTCGTCGAATGACGTCGTGCGTCTTGGAATTAGTTTAATTTATGATCATTTAATTATACATACACTGCTTAATAATTCTGCATGTTTGAACCGGTATAGAGTCGGTACATAGACATCGTCAGGAGAGCAACCCTTTTTTTGTAAATTGCTTTATTTTAGTTAATTCAGTTGTGTAGCGAGTCTTTATTTTATGTTTAATATCTGCTTCAGTTACCCACCTCTAAGTTTAAATCACTAATTAAAGATTTCATAGTATTTGCCCGTATTGTTTTGTCTTTGTACTCATGAAGTTTGTGATTCCAAAGACATTGTTAATTTTTAAAAGTGCGAATATTTTGCTGCGATGGTTGTCCTGACGTTTATCTGCTACAGGGCTCAACTTAAAAAGGCCGAACCCGAGTGAATGATCTCCCCGTGTTCTAACTGCTCATTTTTCGTTCATTCGGAGTGGGAGTGAATGATGCCGAACGCCAATATCCAACATTGTTGGATCGCTTCTTATGAACTTTTTTCTAGCATTCCGTGTTTTAACTTTCGTGTTTAAACTTTTTTATGCGTGGCAGAGCCATGCTGCAGCTATATTAGTAGTATAGTTGTAGCACGAATAGATCGGCTCGACCGGGGAAGGACCACGCTCTCACAGAATACCAGCGTAAAATAGCAGCTTAATACTGCTGTGTTTCGTATGGTGAGTGTAGAGAACCGGAGACCCTTTTTACTGGAAAAGAGGCATTCCATCTTAGTCCTCACGGGTGGCAACGCATCTGCATTTTGATTCGCAAACGAGGATAGATATAGATGTCTATGGGCCACAGCAACCATTTACCAGATGGTGGACTGTGTGCTCGTTTGTCACCCTATACTATAAAAAAAACAACTATGCCGAATGAAAGACATGAATGAACGAAAAACAAACCGTCTGATGTCGCCTTAAAGACACATCAATATTGTACTTTCATAACTGGCTATTAATTTTTATATACTTAAACATTTAAAAAACAAAAAAGTTTAGTTATTGTTCACACAACACCTTTCAATAATTTATTTTGCAATTGTGCCAAATAATCGAAAAAAAAATGTTAAACTTAAAGCCTGTACATATTTTCCGATTATTTTTAGTTTTTTTTATTAGTTTTATTTAAAAAGAATTACCCCCGCACTAGGATTTTCTCCTGTAACGTGGAAGCAGTTTACAAACGTAAATTGCACGAGGACAAACAACCAGACACGGAACAATTACTTGCAAGTCGTACAAATACTTGTTCCGTGCGGGATTCGAACCCGTGACCCTCAACGCGTAGCTCATTGCTAAGCCACTGCGCCACGAAGCCGTCATTACGCTTTTTATTTGCCCGTAGTAGTATACTGTTGGACACGGGACACCCCCGTTGTAGAGAGTATTTAAAAGAAAGAAAGAGAGAAACATATTTATTTGAGGCTACAAAATACATTATGACTCCAATACGCGCTAACGTATTTATACACGTTTATTTTACATCATCATTATTGCAGCGACAAATGCTGCATAATGCTGAGTCGGATATTTGTTGTCATTGATGGAGGATGCGTATATGTTGGCCTTAAGAGACAAATGTGGGAAAGGCCAGACATACCTTTTGACGTCCGCTGAATGGCGGTATAACCATGCTGTTTACGCCGGCGTAAAATATCCAGTCCAGAGACAGGGAGCAACGTCATAGGTGTTAGTTGTGGGGTCAACCCGCCAGCCAAGCGTCTCCCTCGTGAATCTTCCCTACAGCGGGAGAGGCCCGAGTCCAGCTCTGGACTTTTACATGCTAGTATAGAAGAGAGGAAGAAATTTATTACTAACGGTGTTAAACACCCCGATGGGTTTATTTGATTCTTCCAAATTTACTTTATTTCCGTACACGTGCATATAAAAATATTGATTTTCCATTCCACTCCATTCCATTCCATTCGATCCTATTTTTTCCACCCAATAGGCTTATTTTTTTAAAGATTAAAGGTGACAAAGGAGCACTCAGTCCTCCTGAGGGTAAGTGAATACTGTAGCCCAGAAACACCTCCATTTATCCTCGATTAAAAATTTAAATGTTGACCATTTGTCAACCTGTCCGGCTGCCTTGGATTAAGATGGAATTAAGTTATATGGCTCTTTGTTTTTTTTTTTCAGAACCAGACAGTAATTTGCTACAACTAGTAGGCTTCACAAAGAAGACTAGCTTGTATTTACTGTACGAAAAGCTGCCAGACTTCATTGGAGTATTAGCTAATTCTTACGGTGATTACGGCTTCATGACTCAGGTGATTACTCTTTACATTTGGATCTATATATTTATTTTAAACACAAGATATATCAATTCGTAGTATTCGTATTATCTAATATGTAAAAAATAATATTTGTTTGTATTTTATGCGCTGCCATACCGTTCATCAGGTAGCGACAATCATTCCTAATTAAACAACATAACTCTTTCAAATTTATAACGATATTTCCCCAATTATTTCTTCTGCGGTGGTAAGGCGCCGGGTACCAGCTAGTAAATCTATAAATTATAATAAATTCTTAATTTCATAGAAACATTTTTCTATAAGCCATCTGCACAGTTTGATTTTGAACAGTCTGATGAGGCAACTGTCTTATTCGTTACGGAATCTTCTCATACACTTTTATGACCAGCTTGGCATCCGTAGCTTTGGTAGGTCTGTATATTTTGCTTTAATTTACCTTAATATGTGGATCAGATTCGTCGTGCAAGTCTGAGTAACTTCTGGGATTGTGAAGCAGTCGTCAACAGTCTTAAGCCGGCGCCGGGTAGTCCGATTGATGAGACCATCATTACAAGAGTCCAGCCCTTTGTTTGTCCATCGTTTCTTTACTGGATATCATTTCCTAGAGGAGACAACGCGCTATTGAACCTTGTGGCTAAGCCCGTAAGTATTTTAGATTTTTTTTCTTTTCGGATAGCTTTCTTTTCGTAGGTTTTTGAGCACTGAACTTTATAACTCCTCTTCTTTTAACATCATAAACATTCGCATTTCTCTTTCTACCTATGAAATCGATTCTTATTTCCTTAATCCCATGATACTGCTTGAAGATCGCATCTTGATCTAATATTGACTGTCCATTTTATAGAATTAAGTCATATTTTATTTTTTGTACATGCTTCTACTTTGAATTTCACTTCCTCAGGCTTTACTTGAAATCAAAACTGTGATTTTACCTAATTAGGAGTGCCATTTCTTCATCACTTTACTTTGATATTTTATTAGATTTATAGGCTTATAATAGCATATATATTTACATATAATACATATTTACATTTACACGTACGTTTGTAGATGTTGTTTATATTTGTATGTTTTTGTGGTTTAAGAATCTCACAAAGTGCACAAATTATTATTTTTGATAGAATTCCTCTGAACATGATTTTATCATGCAATAAGCCTTAGTACAAATTTTCTGAAGCTACTTGACTTTACTAGATTTAATTTAATGTGTGTGTACATAATCAATAAACTAAATAAATATGAAAACAATTAAATAAATGCTCAAAATAAAAAATGATAAATTATGGCTGCTATTCATAGTATATTTAATTTATGTATGATTTCACTTTGACTTTGCAATATCGTAAAAACTAAATATTGTTCAATGATTATTTCAGCAATACTATCTCTTCACATCGTTAGCCGATGATTTAAACAGTACCTACGAAGACGCTTTCGCAAAAACAGTCGAAGTAATGAATTTCCTAAAAGAACTATCGAATAACAAAACAACCGTCAAACGAAACATAAATACAGAGACAGTTGAAGAAAAACTAAAGAAAGCTGTTGATATAATGTTAAATTACAAAATAAACGAATCAAATCCTTCATATCGTCGGTTTAATGAAGCTAATAATAACCTTGTCTCTTCTACTGTATATTTAACAAGAATTATCACAATTATTAACAAAATATTAACTAATATTGAAAATATGAAGATAAATGACGTAGTGTCTAATATACCAGAAGAAGAAATCAAACCTTTAGAAGCAGATCTATCAGCTATAAACAGAATATTTAAAAGGAGACCAGCAGAAGGAATAGCAGTATTTTTTGATGCAATCACAAACAATTTATGGGAAAAAGATGCAGAAAATACTGTACTAAATGCATTTCAAGCGACATGTGACCGCTTGAACAATAACGATTCAACGAAAGAAATATTAACTGACAGTGATAGAGTAAAAAGGCAGATTTGTGCGATGAAATATAATATAATTATACCTGCATATGGCAGTAATCTTGAAAACGAGTTAGAAAACGCCAAAATAAGTTTAGTTTCTCTTGTAGACATACTTCAAAATAAAACTAAAGAAAATATTACGGATATTTCTCAGTTTCTAAAAACCAGGTAAGGACTTATTTTAACAGTCGTAGAGTGTGATTTAAAAAAGTTATATATTAAGAATGTTTAAGATACCACGATAATTATCCATATTTTTATATTGTCATCCGATTTTGAGCTATGTTCAAAATAACAAGTCCCTAGCTCATAAGAAGTTAGTTTAAAATCAATTACTAAATTAGACCCGACCGAACATGGAGAATATACTAAAAGTATAAGGAATATTTTTATTTTACAGGCAAGAAGTGATAAAATCTCTAGTAGAATCTACTAAGTATGCTTACGATCTGAGTGTTCCAGTCTATTTGAAATACCTTCATAACAATTTACAACATCACAGCGTCGTCATTACTTTCTTATCGGGCGGTAACTGGTGGCAAAAAATGAGAGATCTATACAATGGTCCCTACGCAAATGATTTCTTCGATAACATAGAAAAAGGTTTTGATATTGCTAAAGATATACTGACCAATCTTGATAAAATACATGTAAGTATGTAATCTCACTATAATGTACTGATAAAAAAGATATTCCATATTGTGATAATTACCTTTGCGAAAAATTTTAATATCTTAAATTGTCCAGACTATTTCAATTACTAATGCGCACGCCTAGTGACCCGTGTAGTAGCAGTGTAAAAATATCCACCTATAACATCCCGTGGGAGTTGTAAGAGGCGACAGAGGGAAACAAATCAGGAAATGGATAAAATAAAATAAACTGCGATTGCCAACCAAGCCAAGCATAGCAACTATGACAAACATCCCCCTTATGTGGCAACCTATGGGAGAGGCCTATGTTCAGCAGTGGTCGTGGCTGTAACGGTAACGGTACACCTAGATTGACTATTACTATAAATCTTTTAATTAAATACAATTTAAGACACCTGAGTCTAGAAGAGGAATGTATAAACTAAATAATCCTTCTTAATTTTCTACCGACTCCAAACAGGAGGAGGTACTCAATTCGACTGTATGTTTTTTGTATGTGTGTTACCTCATAACTTTTATGTGGGTAAACTGATTTTGATGATTGTTTTTTTATTTGAAAGCTAGTGCTTCACTTGTAGTCTCATATCAATTTGATCAAAGTTTGATCAATAGTTTTCGAGTTATTTTTAATAATTTATTTTTAAGTGGTTGTACAAAATTTTTAATTTTTAATTATCTAAACTACTATAGTCAATTCTACAAAAAATTGCAAAATATGTAAACTTAAAGTTAATCGCATTGCACCTACATATCTGATTATAAACATTTAATCAACTTTTGATTAAAGTGGGTTCGCCTCATTCGTGACATCAACGCTAACAGCAAAGAAGGCTTCTGTAAGGCCAACACAGCTATGTCTGAATATCTGCCTGACGAAACCGGAGCATTGACAAGTTTTAAGCAACAGTTTTGTCTCGAAGATAAGGTCGAGCTATTTAAGGAATTGCCGCCGTTACAATTCGCTTCCCAAGTAAGTTAAAACTTAAGTAAGATAGTCAAATAGTTTGCTAGATAGATAATAATTAAATTAAAACTGGTTATTGGTCATATTTTTATCATAATAACAACATTAGCAATGCTATTACAAATACTTACATTAGTAATTTAAGTTTTTATGTTAGTGGTGGTTCATGACTGTAATCGATTTAGCAAATTCGAAGTTATGAGTTTTAAGTTCACGCCAGGGTAATAAAAAAGCCGAGAGTAGCCCTAGTATCTAACCCATAAGTTACAAGTAGAATACCAGTTCCAGGATATTCACAATCACGCATGTCCAGCGTGATGAGAGCACAATTCTTGCACTTGCATTGCATTGAATTTGCAGAGATTATTAGTTGACTCATTTTTGATATAGCCTACATCCAAGGGAGACTCTGCCTGACCTGACCAAGAAAATAAAATTCGATGATTATTGATAACGTGTCAGTGTAGTATATATATATACACACACAGTAGAACGCTGATTATCCGAACGCCGATTAACCGAATCGCCAATTATCCGAATCGGTTCTTAGCGTAATATAAAAAATTAAAACCAAGTACTGTAAGTAATGTAATTTTTGTTTTGTTCAAGTGAGTACACGGGGTTTCGTATATTATCTGCCGCATCGCTGATGCTCTCTCTCTCTCTCTCTCTTTCTCTTTCTCTTTCTCTCTCTCTAGTGCACTACCCACTTACGTATAGTAGAACTGTGTTTGTTAAACTTAATAAAGTTTATTCTATGTCCGATTATCCGAATTTTCGATTATCCGAATCGACCCCGGTCCTAATTAATTCGGATAATTGGCGTTCTACTGTACATAAATGTGCTCTGTTAGGTGAGTGGTGTAGTATACTGCACTCCGTGAGGTGAGTGGTGCAGTGTACTGTACTTTCTGGAGTGATTTAAAAAAAACATTTGATACTATTTTTAAATTTTTACTCATGTGGAATGAGTTGCCTTTTAGTCACAGAAACTCCCTTTATCTTTTTCAGCGACTTTGTTTGTCAGCAAAGAAAGTATCATCACTATCGACTTCCAAAAATGCTAAGTCACTACATTTATTTTTCTTTACAGATGTATGACAATAATTTGAAAATAAACAAAGACGTAAACTATACAGCTTTGAATTCTGATGTATCTAGAATTGAATCTGAAATACAGAATGTATTGAATGGACCAAAATCTCCACAAATACCACCATGGGTGACTCAAGAGAAGTTAACACATTTCCGATCGATTGCAATTGGACTGCTGTCTAAGGAATCACTGACTAAAGCATCATTTGGATTGCTTGAAAATCTTGTTGATGCGGGCACATTATTGTTAAATGACAGGTAAAGTATTAAACACAAAAATGCGTAATATGACACCCACATAGATAGACCCCTGTGAGGATCCTTAAGTAAAATAACGTGACTGTAATTATAAACTAGTTAAATAAGCCGCTTTAAATAATATTTATTAATATACAAATTCAAGATATTATTCGAGCTAGTCGGTGGGAGTTCAAAAGCGATAGTTGATTGTTCGAGATGCGTGCTAAACACTGGCCGCAGCTTATAAGACAAGTACCAAGTACCATGCAGAAAATATTGCAAAAATAAAAGTTTATGGCACTGGCCAGTAAAAATTTAATTAACAAAAAAATAATTTACAATTAAAAATACAAATGTTTCAATTTAAAAATTTTCAACACATTATTTTTCAGTTAATTTTAAATATCGTTTTCATTGAAAAACCATACTCGATGCACCCTGATGAATGACAGAATGATGACGGAGATTCCAACCGAAAAGGCTGAACCAAACTTTTTGCAGACTGTGTTTTTGCAGACTTGTGTTGGAGCGTACTGCCCCTTTCACTATTAGCTGTAACCACACCAACCCGTATTGAGTATTAAGCACATGTTTCACTAAGCACTGTAGATGTGATGAAGTGATATCACACCCATATTATATTCATATTTTATAAAATTGAAATAACATACGAACTAACAGTCTACGTGATGTTAAGTACAAATACAGGCCAGGGGCACAACCAAATTTAAAGAAAGAAAGTTACAGTTGCATTTTCACATCTGAGGACTAAGATGGAATGCCTCATAACTTTGCTTGCCACACTATATTCTTTAGACCGAAATTCAACAGATCAGAGACTGATGCTTGCACTTTACAAATTAATAATATATTGTAATAAATAATAAAGTGCCTTTCGGTTCAGTAAATATTAATAAAGGCACTGATGACAATTATTTTTATCAACCTCCCAATCACATTTTATACATTAAATACAAAATCAATTACGAATAAATTGGAAGCTATTGTGAAAGGTCTGGTTTTAGAAAATAAGTACTTCATCATATTTCTACGTTTTGTGATCCCTGAACCCTTTTGTTACTGGTTCGGAAAAGCCGCCTTACGCTTATCGACAAACGTGATCTCATTTCTGGGACATGTCTGCTCTAATTATCGTTATACGAGTACGTATATAGTTTTTTATCTCACATTGTGCATGTGTTAGTGCACATTGTATTATCGTGCGTTTGCTTGAGAGTCAAAAATATTTTTTTTTAAATTACGATGGTATGCTTAACGCTACCTGCAGTCACACACACAAGCACACATGTTATTACTACAATTAAGGCTCGCCTGCCTTCGTGAAATAAATATCTATACCAAGTATTGTTTGTTTAATCTAAAGTTTATTTTAATCTTTTTGCAGCCAATGTATCCTCTGCTCTCAATTAACGACATGGTTCAAACAAATCAATCTCCAGCTGTATAAGAAGCAGGAATACGATAATCTAATCTGTCACTTGCATGAAATGAACTTGCATGAAGTGTATATAAGTTTGAAGAATGATTTTCACTGGGATATGGCCATTAACGAAGTAAGATTATTTTATTGATATCAATTTTGTATAATAATGTTAATGTAACATAAATTGAACATATCGGATATTCAGCTCATGGAATGTAATTTTTTGACTTTTGGATTTTATGTTATACATGCAAGTTAATAATAATTACGTCGAATTATGTACAATTTATACTATTTAAATTATATTCATCGTCAATATATCCCTACACAATTTCACTGCTGAATATAGATATCCCCCAAAGAATGGCACAAAGCACGGTCCTAAGCCACCTGCATCCATCGACTTCCTGCATGTCTTACTAGGTCGTCACTCTCTCTAGTGGGGGGCCGATCCACACTTCGCCTGCCGGTACGAAGCTGCCACTTGAGAAACTTGCTTCACCATTGGTTGTCGATTCTTCGATCTATATGGCTGGCCCATTGCTACTTCAGCTTACTAATGAGATGGGCTATATTGGTTACTCTGGTTCTACTGCGGAAAACCTCATTTCTAAATTTAGCTCAGCGACTTTGAACTTCGTCATACGACCTGCAGTGAAGGACTTCGTCTCAGATCTATAAGTTGCCACTGGCAACACGCACTGGTTGTAAAATCTCGTTTTCAAGTTTTAAAGTATACCTAACGAAAATATGTGTCGTAATCTCCCGAACGCTGCCCAGTCGAGTGGAATCAGTCGATTGACTCTCGGTCGATGTTGGACTTCCTAGTCGGATTATTTACCCAGGCAAATATACTCATCAACAATTTCGAGCTTAGTGCTCCCAACAACTACCAGCATAGGTATGACATGGACGTTACATATGATGTTTGTTTTGTCCATGTTTGTCTTAAGACCTATCCGTTGAGAGGCACTATTGAGGTTATTGAGCATAGTGCTTAGGTCATCCAGTGATTCTGCCATAAGGACTTTATCGTCGACAAATCGAAGATGAGTGATTTACTCGCCATTGATGTTAATAGCGTATCCTTTGCAGTCCAGTAGCTTGAAAACGTCTTCCAATGCAGCGGTGATGAGTTTCGGGGATATAACGTCACCCTGTCTTACACATTGTAATCTCGCTCAGACTGACGTCCGGGAGATCATCGGAATAGTGTCGTATAAGACTTACTCTTGGATCGCTACTTACATTTGCGTGGCAAAAAAACGATGACGTGTATGCCTGTACATAGAACCATAGAACTTCTCAATTTCACTCAAAATCTCAGGTGTCCCAGAAACGATGCTGCCACATTTGGTCTTCAGCTTCGACAGTTGGCTCTTTCTGGCAGATATCTCTGGCAAAGACTTTGGAGTCCTGGTTCCGCTCGATCGCTTCTTCAATATGAGCTGCGTTGAAGTTGCGTAAGTGCATGCGTAGCATGCATTTGGAGATCTGTCTATTCAGATGTCTGTATGCGTCATATCTGCTGAAGACTGCAGCTTCATTTCCCGTCTAACAGCTGTGACATTACGAGTGTTGTCGGAGAGTTTTTGTGCTCTTTATATTGGAATTATATTACATTAAAATAAATTACATATAAATTGTAGTCCCAGAAAATGTGAAAATATAAATGTAATAATACTAATAAAGTTTCTTTTAAACTACGAGTTTTAAAGAAGAGTTTTGAAATAATTTAGAGATTTCCTGTTCTTGAAATGATATACTTACCGTTAATTCAAATATATTTATTAAAAGTATTGCATATATTTCAATGTTAATAAAAAATTCAAATAAGGTTATTAATTAATAAAAGATTGGTGAAATTCCAATATTCTCAATATGAACAGCTATTTTGAGAATGATTTCATTTCTCCAACAATGCAAATGTGAATTCACGATCTGACGATCATTATGTTAAATCTTAACTTTATTCTGTGCCTGCAGTTATTATCAACCCGCAACTACACGAAGTACGAATTAAACAAATCCCTAAACGAGTTTCTGGAGCAGGTGAAACAGAACTTGCTTGAAGATATGACAGCGCCGACTAAAGTATCGCAGTGCTTGGCAAAGAATGTGACAGGGAATGCTTTCGGAAACGCTACGTTGTAAGTTTTTTTTTTAATAATATTAGTGTGACAAACAAGCCCAAAGACATGAGACCATGAGTACCTGTTAATGACTTCAAATTAAAAAAAACATGGCTGTTTTTAATCCCTGAAGATTATGATGAAGAGCCAAAGAACGGCGGCTTTGACGGCTCCGTGGTGTAGTGGCTTAGCAATGAGTTGCAACGCTTGGGGCCGCGGGTTCGAATCCCGCACGGAACAAGTATTTGTATGGCCTGCGAATAATTGTTCCGGGTCTGGATGTTTGTCCTTGTGCCATATATGTTTGTAAACTGCCTCCACGATACAGGAGAAAATCCTAGTGTGGGGGTAACTTTTTTTTTAAATCTAGGATATTTTTTTCTTTTTTTTTAAATTGAAGGGACAAACGAACATACAGACCACCTTATGGTAAGTGGCTTCTGCCAAAAAGTGTAATATAATCAATATGTTTTAGCTACTGCAGCTCAGAGACACCATTTTTAAATATAGAAGGTTATAGATACGTTACCTCTGAGGACTAAGATGGAATGTCTCACAGACCTTTGCCTTTGGACCGGAATATAGCAATGCACTGCTCCTTTGCGGCAGATTTTTTTTAATTTAGAATCCTTATTCCACAAACGAGCATGTAGTCCACCTGTTAGTTAGCGGTTACTGTGGCCTATAGACATCTACGTCTAACAGGAACAGAAACAGAAACAGAAGGTTTTTACCACTTTACCACTGGTTCGGAAAAGAAACTTCTGTCCTTGGAAGAACCAGCAAGAAACCCAGCGGGACTTTTAAAAAAAATAACGGCTTACAATCATATACTTTGTGACAAAATTAACAACACAAAACAAATTACAAATAGCTTGGTTGCGATCACTTCATTGCCGGGGGTTATTATATCTATCATCTGTGAACAAAGATGGTATACCTCGATATTAGAAAAAGATTCTGGTTCTCTACACTCACCATACTAAACACAGCCCAATTATTCTGCTGTTTCACCCTAGTATTCTTTAAGTGTGTGGTCCTACCCCGTTCGAGCCGATCCATTCGTGTTGCAGTTATCTACAACTGTTACACTATTCCCAAAGAGATGTCTGGTGCGTGTATACACGTTCTTATGTTTTTATAATTTTTCGTCTCACATTTCTCAACATTTTTTCCCAAATTAGACATATGTTGGAGGAGGTAAAATGTATACCTATTCTACTGAATCCAAATATTTAAAAATAACAATCCAAATATTTAATAGGTTCTTTGATTGATATTAAAATATACAGTTTATCTTATATATCAGTATTTTAATTAAATTAATATAAAGTAATATAAAACTATAAGTTTTTACCTGTAAAAAAATAATAACCAAAAAGTGTCGGATCGTTTTGTGAGATCGAAACAACAAAAAAATTTTTTGTGGATAGAACCTTATCTGTCCTAGGCTATAAAAAGTAAATTAAAACGTATTCTTTAATGCGTACGATTAAAAATAGTTTGCAATCAAATGGAAATAATATTGCATCTGAGCCTAATTCAGCCATGGACTTGGATTAGGTACGGATTAGCAACGAAAAATATACCTATAAATACAAATACGCCTCACCTCTACTCCAAACTACTGACATTTGATCCGCAATTACATTTTTAAAATCCAACTTTCAGTTAAGTGAGGTCAGGTCAATACGCGATCCACGGTTGTATTTTTAAAAATCGGTTTTGCAGTTAAGTCTAGTTAATCCGCAATTGCTTCAACCCTATATTAATGACACTTACCAATACTACAATATCAGGGAAAGGGAAAAAAATTAAGGTTGACCCTACAGGCCATCACTGCAACTTTCCGCTAATTTCAAATACTCGAGCTCGAACTTGAGATACGAGCTCAAAGGGAATTTTCAAGATAAATGAACGTATGAACCGATTTTAATGCGGTTTGCCGCAATTGATGCTGTTTTTTGAAGTTAAGAGCTGATTAGATTTTGGAATCGATCAATACATTAGTTTAAAAGCTGTTTCAAAAACATTTTTTTAAATTTATTTTTTGAGTTTTCTCATATCTGCAGAGCCGCATTGATTCAAATTCACATGAAATCTAATGGCACTAGAATTCTTTCGAATGCAATGAACCGCGTTTCGATCGGTCAAGCCATTCAAAAGTTATAAGGAATTTACATATACACACACATACACACAAACACATACATACCAAGGGACATCCTCGTAGGAATAGTCAGTATAGCTTCCTAGGACTTGATTTTCGAAAACCGGGGTGAAACCAATAACTCCCCCATTTTTTGAAAATCATTGATTTTCGTCGAGAGAAGTTAAAAAATTGTTACCTTAAATTCTAGATTTGCTAAAGTGTTGGCGCTTACCCTCAAGCTAATAAGAGCAGAGCTTCCGCACTTACAAGAAATAGACGGAATAAAGGATTTGAAGTACTTAAAAGATTTGCAAGCGGCTGTTGCATACAAACTCGATGTGGATGTTCCTTTGAAAACTTATTTTAGAAAAGGATACGACTTTCCAAAACGACTAAGGGATACCGTTACAAAAGACTACTTAGTCGACGCTGTTACAAATGCACGAGTCAATTTACGAACTGTAAGTATGACTTTCTAATCAAGGTTTTAATATTTTTTTTAAATAAATACTAGTAACGCTATTAAACATTACTAATATTCCCTTTAACCACTTCTGGTAAGCTTAAATTGCTTGTGTTAGAAGCGGTTCACGACAGTAGTCGAAATGCGGATTCGAATCCACGACCTTTCGAGTTTGCGGTCCGCGCCCTGCCATTAGGCTACTGACGCTTAATAATAGATGTTAGAAGTATGATATATAAGAACGATATTAGAATATTGCAGTGACAGAACAGTACCATCCTTACAGTAACAGTACCAAGAACTTCTACCACTCATATCATCCCATAGGACGTCGTTAGAGACGACAGAAGGAACCTGAAACAGATGGGCAGCAGCTATTACAATTGAAAATTGATTTCAATTGAAAATAATAAAACCTGCCAACCCGCCTGCCAAGCGTGTCAACTATGACGAAATCCCTCCTCTGAAGCAGTTTATGGGGGAATGATAACGATAACTAATATGATAGATGCAACACCTCGTAAGAATTATACGACTTGACTTAATATGAAAAACATATTTCAAAAAAATGTCTTTTAATGATCACCATCATCATCATCATCATTAAAGCTCGCCAAGGATGGCCAAAAGGTACGATCCTGAGCCACCTGCATCAATCGACTTCCTGGATTTTTTAAGTCTTCACTTCATTTAGTGGGGAAAGCCTCGTATTTCACTTACCGGTACAGACTGCCACGCGAACGCGTCAGTTCTGAGCTATATAGCAGGTAAAGCTGTTGGTCCTGCACCTGATCTCTCTCTGGTCGTGAGGAACTGACATCGGACTATAAGAGTGAGGGAATTGAGAGTGCACCGGTGCTTGCGCATACACTTGAATACTATAATCCTGTCCTGCGCCGATGAAATTTAGATAACCAAAATTCGGTCTGGAGGACGTTATATATTGAACAGGATATCCTATCCTTTTCCCAAAAATAATGCCTCCGTGTACAACGTGCCGAAAGAACAAATGCTTAATATTTTTATATATTAGAGTATATACAATATATGTCAATTCTAGGTACATGACCTGCAGCCAGAAGGTTTACTTTTCGACGGTAGTGAATACACCTGGAAAGATCTGTGCGAGTGTTGTGACTGTAAACAAATAGTTGCTGATATCGTCGGAAACCTAAATACAACATTGATTGATAGAGATGTAAGTGGAATTTCTAAAGGTGTTATTTTAGAACGTAAAGGTGTATTTTTTTTATAGAATTTGGATGACAAACGAGCTCACAGTCCACCTGATGGTAAGTGGTTGCTGTGGCCCATAGAGATCTACATATATCCTCGATTATGAATCAAAATGCATTGTCACCCGTGAGGACTAAGATGGAATGCCTCGCTTCCAGTAAAAAGGGTCTCCGGTTCTCTACTAAACTACTACTACTACTCTACTAATAAAGCTGCAGCATGCACGGCTCTACCACGAAGAAAATTATATTAAAAAAAAATTACATAACTTTTCATTTCAGCTCCAACAACTCCAAGAAGAAGCATTTTGGCGTTTCGGATTCATTTCGAACATTTTAGAACGCATTGAAGATCTAGTCGGCCACGTCGCCCGACTACTGGGCGTAGTTAGTAAAGTGGACTTAGAAGGCTTGGTGCAAGGTCGCCTGGTCTCCGTGATAGATACAGCTATGCAGTTACTTATGGATGATACCCTGAACAGTATTGTTTTTAGGTAAGAAACCTAAAGAAGAATTAGGACAGCTGAATTTCATTAATTCTCTAAACGCAATTCAGCTAGTTTCATACTTTTCTGATCTAATTATACTTCTTTCATACCAATTATCACGTTTACGTGTATGTTCCACGTTTCTGTGTTTGTCTATTCGCATAGAATTTAGTAAAGTGATTTTAAACTAACTTCCCGATGAGAAAGAGACTTGAAATTTTAAACACAGCTCATATCGGATGATGATGTAAGAATATGAAAACGTGGTATATTTATTTTACCTCAATGATAATTATTTTTTATTATATTTACTTCTAACATTCTAATCAAGGATTTTTAAAAAAAAATAAAGTTAAAATTTCAACTTAATTACGACCCGATACTTGGTACAGTTCTATTTATTTCTGAATGACTTTTGAAGGAATCAGTTCACCGCAAAAGTGAAAATCCGGGAGAAATTTATGGCGAGCAGTTACCGCCTGAGTATCTATAACTAACTAAGATATTTGATTAAAAAAAAATAATCCAAAAATTAAATGTTTATTAAAAATAAAATCTGTCTTTAAAGAACGAAAAAAAAATAAAAGTAATTTCACATTCCGCAGTTGGTGCTAAGACACACTCGTATGTATAGAAGTATTAAATCCCCGAATTTAGATGTTATTAAATTATACTTTTTTCTTTGTATTTCATTGATATTATTTTGTATTGCCATTACTTTTTATTGAGAGTTTTTTTTTTAACTTTTAAGTGGACTAAAGAATACCACAATCTCAATGTCGTCTGAACAGTTATAAAACTAACTTAATCCTCTATTTTGCTGAGATACTCAAACGCATCAATTTTAAGATTCCGTTAAGTCCCGTGCTGTTAGTCAATGTGGGCGACTTATGTGCCACCACGAGTTTTAACGGCTTATTACAGTTCATCGTAAAATTGAGTAACGTTTGAATATTTAGCCGTTAGAGGTAGAATTTTGTCTCCTAATTGATATGGCAGTATTGCTGTAATATTGGTTATAATATCATCAAAATTGATTCACAATTGATGAATATATCACGTAACATAAGTACATACTAAAGAAAAGATCATAGAGTCAGATTGTAAACTTCTTTCTTTTTTTGAAGTCGGCTCACCTGATGGTAAGTGACTACCGCCGGCCATTAACAACTGCAACACCCTGGTGTTGGATTTAAAAAAGTCCAGAATATTTTCTTGAAGGTCCCTAAGTCGTATTGGTCGGGAAAAATCGCTGGTGGTAGTCGATTCCACAAGGAAGATGTGCGAGGAAGAAAAGTTCTAGTAAATCGCACACTGGTGGACCGCCAATCATGCAGATGGTATGGATGGTACCGCGAATTTAGTGTAATAATATAATTAACTTAAAGCAATTTATTTCAGCATTCATGGTCTTATGAAGGATCTTACTCCGTTAATAAAGAGCGATAGCCTGCAGATCAGCTTACATGATCTCAGCCAGGGGTTGCTAGCGCTGCAGGAATTTAAGAATTCATTACTAGAAGATGATTTAAAAGGTTTGATATTAAGTTTACATTGCTAGTACCTAGTTTCTTTATTTAAAATCGTTTTCTCAACGAGCACACAATCAACCTGATCATAAGTGGATGCTGTGATCCATAGACACCTAAATCTATCTTCAAATGGTAATTAAAATGCAGATGCGTTGTCACCCTTGAAGACTAAGATGGAATGCTTCATTTACAGTAAAAAGTATCCGGTTCTTTACACTCGCCATACGAAACACAGCAGCTTTATTCTACTGTTTGACACTAGTGTTCTGTGAGAGCGTGGTCCTATCCCGGTCGAGTCGACCCATTCGTGCTACAACTATATTATAAATATAGCTGCAGCATGGCTCTATCACGTATAAATATATATCCTTCACATACGTGATATCCTACAAAACAGAAAACAGCAGTAACATCACTACCTACACCTACCCAGATAGACTTCTAGGCACAAAAGGGATCCTTACCACCTCGAAATTATCTAAAATTATATACTAGCGATCCGCCCGACTTCGCACGGGCGATTTCTGGATCTCGACAACCGTAGAGGCCCTTTTAAATACACATGAAAATTTTATCAAAATCGGTCGAGCCGTTTTTGAGCTTTAGCGAGACTAACGGACAGCAATGAGGGCAACCACGGCATCTTTTTCTGCCACCAGAAAAGAAACCAGTATATAAGGGGTTCCATCTTAGTGAATAAGTGATAATGCATCTGTAGCCATCTTTTTATGAAGTGGTTGTTGATATTAAGTATGTCTCTTATTTTAATACCATAAAAAACGGATCGTAATGGAGAACGAAAAGTTTCTTGAATACATACGGCGTCATTAATATTTGACGGGTGACGGCGAGCTCCGCGGGCTCGAATCCCGCACGGAACAAGTATTTGTATGGGCCTACAAATAATTGCTCCTTTTTGATTTTTGTCCTTGTGAAATTTATGTATCTAAAACTGCCTCCACGATACAGGAAAAAATTCAAAAAAAAAAGATATAACTTGAATAATCGAATGCAATATAGTATTGAGCTAATGAGTATTGAGAATTGATTTGTGTTGCTGTGGAAGAGAGACATGAGAGCAGAAGTACAACATGAGAGTACAGCAGATAGGTTGGTAATGTAGGTCATAATTGAAGATTTTTTTTTCAGTGCAAGTTTCTGAGCTGTTTCCGGACCCTGAGAAACTGGAAACGGACCTCAGTGGTCTAGGAATCAACAACACCAACTTCTGGTCCATCGCTGCACCTCGAATACAAGTTGGATCTTTCCACTTGAAACCGGTAACTTTCAATATAATATTCAAGTGCATTATATTTTTTTAATTATAGAATAAGGTTGGCAAATAAGCACATAGTCAACCTGATGGTTAGTGGATTCTGTGGCCCATAGACATCTACATTTATCCTCGATTAAGAATCAAAATCCCTCGGTTCGAGTAAAAAGGGCCTCCGGTTCACTACGCTCGCCATACGAAACACAGCTGTGTTAAGCTGCTATTTTGCGCTGGTATTCTGTGAGAGCGTGGCCCTCGGTCGAGCTGACCCATTCGTCCTACAACCATAATATAGCTACAACGTGGTCTACGTATAATGATAAATGGTGTGTTTAAATGAAATCGTTAATAATAAATAACTACTTAGTATAATTTGAATTTGCTGCTTTTAGCAGTGTCTTAAGACCATATCGGCTTCTAGTTTTGCGAGGTGAAACTTTTGTATTGTTAGAAAAAAGAAGAAGAAAAAATATCTGTTTTTTTTTAATAAAAAAGTTAAATCCTATTTCGAAGAACTAATAACCATAAAATATTTTCAAATAATGAACTTGGTGCTAAGTTATAGCACAGAGTAACTACTACTAACAGTCGGTGATTGAAGGAGTCTAGACGGGGCAATCGTGCGGTGCGGTGCGGCCCGAGACGCGAAAGCTGTCGTAATTTTATTGGCACAGTATTAGAAAATACTACACAAGTCATAACTTACGCACTCCATTCCTTAGAACGCTCCCGTCCCCACAAAAAAAAAGTCAAGAGGCGTCAAATAAGCTGATCTGGGAGGTCACTGGACAGGGCCGTCGCGACCGACCCAATGCTCTCCAAACTCTGTTTTTGTAAAGACTTTAAGGTGCTTGAAATAAGGTTAATTTTTCTTTATTTTGTGTATTGTATTAATACAAATAAAACTGCACTTTTAAAAGTCTTATTGCCTTGAGTTACGGTCCATTTCAGTTTGTTTTAACTATACAGGTTTAGTGTGACTGTAATTTAAGTAGTTTTAATTATTTTTGGGATGAAAAATTACCTATATTAAAAATGATAGAAATCGATTCATTAAACGAATCTGAACAAACTAGTTTCAGGGTGTGCGTTAATTATGTTACGAGTACATGTTGTATATTAGTGTACGTACTTTTGTATTACTTATCTCGTTATGTCATATTATGTCCGGCAGATCTTCGCCGCGAAACAAGACGTATACCGAATAAGCAACTTTGTGTGCGAGGGGGAGGACATGTCCAAGGTCATAGTGCCGGGGAATGTGGACGTGGTCACCCTGGACGATATCTATGGCGCGGTGATAGAGCAGTTTTGTGACCTGGACGATATCAGAGCGAAGCAGGTGGTGCCTGTGCTGATGCAGAACTTGAATTTTACGTTCATCATTAACAAGGTAACTGAATCATCAAAATATACAATATTAAAAAATCTAATCTCCGAAACCGCCTAACCGATATTAAAGCAATATTGTACCTAAATGTGTGAATCCAACTTGAGATATAAGATAGCTTTTTTAAAATATACATTCAGTAAATACTAGGAACAGACAAAAACTAGTTAGGTACCAGTTGGTGGACTCCTCAGAATCAATATTTCATTCATGGGGTAATGTTTACTCTTTTACAGTAAGGTCTCAAACTATGTATGTTTGGCGATACCTTGTTCAAAAAATGTAAATGGATACATTTTTTTGTTATAGGATAAGGGTGACAAACAAGCACACAGTTCACCTGATGATAAGCCGTTACTGCGGCCCATAGACATCTACATTTATCCTCGATTACAAATCAAAATCGACTGCCTGCTCCGTGGCGCAGTGGCTTAGCAATGAGTTGTTGCGCTGGGGGCCGCGGGTTCGAATCCCGCACGGAACAAATATTTGTATGGCCTACAAATAATTGTTCCGGGTCTGGATGTTTGTCCTCGTGCAGTCTATGTTTGTAAACTGCCTCCACGATACAGGAGAAAATCCTAGTGTGGGGTTAACGTTTCTAAAAAAAAAAATGCAGTTGCGTTGTCAGCCGTGAGGGGTCGAGCCGTGGGGTCCACATAATAAATGCAAACACACAGATTGTATAAAAAGGGTTATTATAATTTTTTTGTAGAATAAGAGTGACAAACCAGAACACAGTCCACCTGATGGTAAGTGAATGCCCATAGCGTTGCTCTTTTTACTGTAAAGGAAACATTCCATCTTAGTCCTCAGGGGTGACAACGCATCTGCATTTTGATTCTTAATGGAGGATAGATGTAGATGTCTATAGATAATAGCACCCACTTATCATCAGGTGCGGTGCGTAAAATATAATAATAATAGTACTTCGCTTCAAGGAAATCGATTTCCCCTTCGATTCCTTTGATAATATAATGTTATTAATTTATATTAAAAATTATCCTTCAAGATATTTTTACATATATTCGATTTTGTGATTCCAGATCAAAGATTGGTTATTAGCAGAACTATACGTAGCATCAGACCTCACAACATCAGAGGGCGAGCGAGTGATAGAGAACTTACCACAGATGGCTTCCCTCACGCCGGTGGTGCAAAACAATATTGGCAGCATAAGTGACTTAATGGCTAATGAGCCCATGCTCGATTACTTTAAAACTGATTTCTCGTTTGATAGTCTATTCGCAGGTGAGTAAAAGTAACGACTAAGTAATTTAGTCGCTTATACAATGTATATCAAACAACATGGTGATCCTCTTAGGAAAGTATAAATCTAAATATTTCATTTAAGACTGATTATTTTTTTTTTGTAAAGGGATGTATATGTTCACATTATGTAACTTACTAAATTCGATCGTGTAAACAGAAAAAATGTTGTTCACATCTGAACTAACTAACACACGCATTGGTAAAGCGGAGTCTTTGTCAATTCTCCTACTCCCCTACCAATGCAGAGGTAATAAACCCACATACAATATACAAATAAAAAAATATTTAAATTTAATTAGATTTTTATGGTCGAGTTTTCTGTAGTAAAATTCTTAACCACGGATTTTTTTTTACATTTTATATAAGTCGTAAATGCGGCAGCTGTATTATGATTGTAATTGTAGTACGAATGGGTCGGCTCGACCGAGGAAGGTCACCTGCGTGAAATAGTGTCAAATAAGTTAAATAGTGGGTGATAAGAACCGGAGACCCTTTTTACGGAAACGAGGCATTTCATATTAGTTTCCAGGGGTAATAAGGCATTCTGGATTTTGATTCTTAATCAAAGATAGACGTAGATGTCTATGAACCACAGCATCCACTTACCATCTTGTGGACTGTGTGCTCGTTTGTCTCCCTTCTTCTGTATAAAAAAAAGTTATGCACTTAAGTTTACCCCATACAAACTTATGTTCTGTGTTGGCAGTTATACTATTTTTTACTTAAAAAAACTTTACACTAGGATTTTGTCCTCTATTGTGGATGTAGTTTACAAACATGAATTTCACAAAGACAAATATCTAGACCCGGAAAGGCCATACAAATACTTGTTCCGTGCGAGATTTGAACTTGCAACTTGCTAAGATACTGTGCCACAGAGCAGTCAAAATTAAATCCATTATTACAAAGGAAAACTTTGTAAAGTTTTTATAAATAGCGATAACCTACTTATTTAATTTGAAACCCAGAGATAGCACATGACTCCCGACAAATGGCGATATGTCTATTTCGGTCATGCCGAACGTATATAATGGCCAAAATATCTGGACTAACAACAGTCTGCAGCGTGGCTTTTTAGATGTCTGGTACAGCGGTCATCAATCCGCCTGCCAAGGGTGGTGCTTAAGACAAATCATCAACTGCAGCAGTAGACTATTGCAGGCTGATGAAGAATGATAGTCACAAAGGACAGTTTTTGAGATTTTGCTCGCACTTCAAGACCAGCAACGCAACTGCAATTCCTGTGATGTTGCAGTTGTACATGGGCGGCGTTCGAATGTTCATGCCAACTCTTCCATAAAAAAAACTCGACTACCAGAATCAAAACATGCCTTGTGTGACAGTGGTTTTAGAATCCTGCCTACCCACCAGTATAGGAAATTCGCTATCCTCATTTTTAATGGGTTTTCACATATTAATCGAGTTCGTAAGCCTCTTCGGCATACCGCATAAAAAATTAAGCAGGAGGGTTTATAGTATATTAACGAAAAAAATCGAGATTAAGTTGCACCTCGTATACTATGAAAAACCACACCTCGTGGGCTGATAAATTTCTTTTCCGTATCTCGATGCGGGAGGGTTTTCTTGCTTGCATTACATAGTCGCAGAGAATTTGCATTACATAGTCGCAGAGAATTTGCATTACATAGTCGCAGAGTTATTGCCAAGGCAAAATCAGAGCACATAGGCAGAATTGGCGAGAAACTAGTTCGCCTTCCTTCGGGAACCCGTGCATTCTGGTCTCTTGCCAAGGCTGTCCAAGGGAATTTCTGTAAGCCATCACTACCATCTCTGCACAGGGAGGACGACTCCCTGGCCCAAGACGCAAAAGACAAAGCTGACCTTTTAGGCTCCCTTTTTGCGTCCAACTCGACCCTTGATGACGGGGGGAAAACACCGCCGACCATCCCGCGATGTGAGTGCTCCATGCCGGATGTGCTGTTCTCACAGCGCTCGGTTCGCAAAGCACTTCTCTCCCTGGACATCCAGAAGTCGAGTGGGCCTGACGGAATCTCCCCAATTGTGCTGAGGACGTGTGCTCCGGAGTTGGCACCGGTCCTAATGCGTCTTTTCCGGTACTCCTACTCCCAAGGCGTAGTCCCGAATTCATGGAAGACAGCTTTTGTTCACCCGATCCCTAAAAAAGGCGATCGCTCAGACCTGTCCAACTATAGGCCTATCGCGATCACCTCCTTGTTCTCCAAAATAATGGAATCCATTATTAACTGCCAGCTCATCCGGTACCTTGAGGATCACCAGCTGATTAGTGACCGCCAATACGGTTTTCGTCGGGGTCGATCAGCTGGTGATCTTCTGGTCTACTTAACTCGTAGATGGGCGGAGGCAGTAGAGTCCAAAGGGGAGGCGTTGGCCGTTAGTCTGGACATTGCGAAGGGCTTCGATCGGGTTTGGCACTAAGCGCTTCTTTCGAAGCTCCCTTCCTAAGGGCTTCCCGAGAAATTATGCAATTGGATCACCAGCTTCCTTGCAGATCATCAAGGTCGTTGTAGACGGTGCATGTTCTGACTACAAGCCTATTGACGCTGGTGTTCCACAAGGCTGTGTGCTATCACCAACGCTGTTTCTTCTGCATATCAATGATATGTTGCTAACTGGTAACATTCATTGCTATGCGGATGACAGCACTGGTGATGCTCTATACACCGGCCGTGCCAATATTTCTCGGGAAAACGTCGCCGAGTACCGGAACAAACTTGTGTCTGAAGTCGAGTCTTTGCTGAACAAAGTCTCGGATTGGGGGCGACTAAATCTAGTCCAGTTTAATCCTCAGAAGACACAAGTTTGCGCGTTTACCGCTAAAAAGAACCCCTTTGTCGTATCTCCTCAGTTTCAAGGCACTCCCCTTCTTGCCTCAGCCAGTATTGGTATCCTCGGAGTCGACATATCGAGTGACGTGCAGTTTCGTGGTCACTTGGAAGAGAAGGCCAAATTGGCCTCTAAAAAGCTTGGTGTGCTCAGCAGAGCGGGACAGTATTTCATGCCGGCACACCGCCTGCAACTTTACAAGGCGCAGGTTTGGCCCCACATGGAATACTATTCCCATCTCTGGGCAGGGGCTCCCCAGTACCAGCTCCTTCCACTTGACCGCATCCAGCGCAGAGCGACTCGAATCGTCGACGACCGAGCCCTTTCCGATCGGCTCGATTCATTGGCACTGTGAAGAGAAGTTGCATCCCTTTGCATTTTCTTTCGCATCTACCATGGGGAGTGCTCTGAGGAATTGTTCGGATTAATCCCAGCCGCCAAATTTCACGAACGCACATCACGGCAGAACTCCCGATACCATCCACACCATCTGGATGATTGGCGGTCCACCACTGTGCGATTTAGAAGATGTTCTCTTCCTCGCACGACTTCCTTGTGGAATCGATTACCATCAGCGATTTTTCCGGACCGATACGACTTAGGGACTTTCAAGAAAAGAGCGTACTCCTTTTTAAAAGGCCGGCAACTCATCTGCAATTCCCTCCTTGGTGTTGCAGTTGTTCATGGGCGGCGGTAGTCACTTATCATCAGGTGAGCCGCATGCTCGTTTGCCCCCTCTCCTATAAAAAAAAAATTATAATTAGCGTTTTATTTGTGAGTTCAAAGTGATATTATAAATTAATTTAACTGCCTCCTTGGAAAGTATGAGGTCTCAGACTCTGGAATAGACCTGTGCTTGCGCATACACTTGGGAACTATAATCCTATCCTGCGCCGAAGGCTTGTCTCCGTTGAGGCTGGCCACCATGACCGTAATTCGGTCTGGAGGACATTATAAATTAAGCAGATTTATTAGAGAACATCAGCATAATGATTTGTTATATTTACGCGAACACTACATTTTTAAATGAAACTAGTATTTACGGATTTTATAGCGTATATTAATTTATTTTATTTTCCCGACATTTCGAGTACTTTATAGCACCCATGGTCACGGGGAAACTGAGGTGTTCGACGTCCCAATGTTATAGTTAACCACGGCTACCTCCAGATTAAACCCGATGACAGGAGCATACCATTGAAATCGCGAGGTTTTACGAACTGATTCGCTGTCGATGATCCTCGTTAGAATGAGCGTTGTGTTGCTACTCTTTCGCTTTGAGGCAAAGGTGGATATAAAAGAAATTAATAATATGTTGAATATTTAGGTCGTAGAACTCATTTCTGCTTAAGAGTTTCTCTGGGTAGGTACCACCCTTTTACCTATTACAGTAGTACTTTCACTGCTCTGTTCCGGTCTAAAGCATAGAGAGAGAAAGAGAGAGAGAGAGAGAGAGAGAGAGAGAGAGAGAGAGAGTCAGAAAGTTGACGGCCTTTCATCCCGGTGCCTCATAAAGCACGTAAATCCGTTGGTCCTGTGGCGGATCACTCTCTTATCGTGTCGGATTGCCCACCTATCGGTCTATGAGAGTGAGGAAATAGAGAGATCTGCGCTTGAACAAACACTCGTGCAATATAATCTTGTCCCGCACAAATGACCAGTATCCGTTGAGACTAATGGCCGGCCGAAATTCGGTCTAGAGGACATTATTATTATGGTTCAAAAAGTGTTCACATATTTTCCATAACCGCATTTATAATAAAGTATTTGTTTCAGCGGGCGACTTCATGGCAGACGCAGGTAGAATGTTTTGCGGTAAACCATTCAATACTCATGTGAACAGAATCTTTAAATCAATCATCGAAACTAAAGACCTCACGAGCGAAGCTGATCCCGAGCAACTGAAAGTTCTACCGAGTAAGACAATTTTATTTATATATTTATTTAATCTTTATTGAACCTTACAAACTGTATAGGATCAAAAGGCGTACTTAATACTAAAAGCGTTCTCTGCCAGTGAACCTTAGGCACTAAGGAGACGGTTACAAAGAACATAAAAATATATAAAAAGAAAACAAATATACACAAAAATATAAAAAGCTTTGTTATATAAATATAAACTTTTTTATTAAACATAGATTATAAATAATACTTAATGAAAGTCTCCCTTGCGTTTAATTTACCACTCGTTTGGAAAATACCTCTGTCCTGAGAAGAACCGGAAAGAAACCCAGCGGGACATTTTTAGGGAAAAAAAATATATTCTAAAAATAAAATATATATAATTTTTCGATTGAATATGTAAAGTTACGCCTGTAATTTCCAAGGGAGTATGCATTGTCCAACGTGCAGCAAGCTACTCTGATTATGTTTCACCCAAAAAGTTTGGGCAGAGACGGAATATTTGAAACAAGTAATAAGTGTCTAGCCATAAGCCCATCGCCTACACAATCACAAATGCAATATCCCATTAGTCGCCTTTTTGACATGCTAGGCAAGTAACACAGTTGGCACATTGTTTTTTGTTATAATTCGTACATAAACATGAGACGTGTATGTACCAAACGAACATGGGAGAAATCTTTATTAAAATATAATCGTTTTACACGCACTACAGCTGAAATTGGTTGACTCGACCGGGCGAGAATCTAGCTCCCTTAAAATACTAGCATAATATTCTGTTTCGTTTGGTGAATGACAAGAATCCAAGGCCCTTTTAACTGGACAAGGGACGTTCCATTTTGGACGTTGCATTTTAGTTTTAAGAAATGACAGCACTTGATATTTGATTGCAATTCGAAGATATAAGTTTCTCTGGAGTGGACCATAATATAAACTTAGTATCAGGTAGACAGTGTACTTGTTTTTCATTATTAATTGTATGAAAAAAATAATGTATGAAATCTAACCGAGTATCATTATTTTTTATACATTAATTACAACCAATGAAAAGTCCACAGCTGAACCTTACCTCTTAACATAGTTTGCTTCATGCAAGCGCGTTGGCAGTTTCAGATTTTTTTTTAAATATTACTACGTTCTGTTTCTGTTTCCCTCTGTCGCCTCTTACGACACCCACGGGATGATATCGGATAGTGGATTTACTCTTACTCCACCGCTCCATGGCACATATTCATAATCGTGAATATTTAATTCAGGATATTGACTTATAATTTTTGATCTGCTTAGGACACAATAACTAATTTTATCTTCTTTGCAGCTATTAATTCCGTTGCTGTTAGAATGATCCGTGATATCTTAATTTTTGAAAGGGTCTTAAAGCAGGAAAGAGTCCGCCATTGGGGCTTTGCGACCTCCTTCTCTTTCTTTCACGTTATCATCATAATCATCATTAGCCCATTACAAATCCATTGCTGAACATAGAACTCACCTAAAGGATGACACAAAGCACGGTCCAGAACTATCTGTATCCATTAACTTTCATCTGTTATCAATCTACCTCAGAGTCTTTATTATAACTTTTTCTTTATCACTATATACATTTCGATTATCTCAGCGGACTTCTGCCGTTCGTTGTACAAGCAGATCGTCAGCGTTGACGGTGGAAAGATCGTATGGAGCTTTGTGAAGCCACTGATTATGGGCAAAATACTCTACACCCCAAACACGCCAGCGGTCGAGAGAATTATAAAAACGGTAAGGTATAAACAACACACAAACATATAATGTAATATTTATTATCTAGGCACGCAACAAAGTACCTAACTTTATAACATCTCCCCTTAACAAAATATGTAATAAATATTGAATATTTTTTCAAAGACAAAGTCAAAATATTTGCATTTAAAATCGGGCTTTGCAAAGCACTTTTAAAAGTCAATAAATTTACTAGTAGAAAATATATTACAATGGTCACAATATTAAACCTTGGGGCACGCCCAAAATGCTTTAGAAAACTCAATTCCATTAATAACTTTTTAGTTGGATTTTATAAGGTTCGCCGATTTTTTTGACACAAAAATAACTAAATTTGCTTAACAATGCATCATGATTTACACAATCGAATGCCGTAAATAGGTCACACCTATAATAAAAATTATTTGAATACCATTTATACTAATACTAATTAAATGAATACAATTAGTACCAACTCTTCATTATTGTCCTGTGCTTTGTAGTACATTGATATCACTGAGCATAATGCTGCGGTCTGGATTGCAGCACTGATTTTCAGAAGGCCTCAATTTCAATTGTTTCTAACGTTGTTACAGGCCAATGAAACTTTCCAACCAATGATGAAGACGGTCAATTTGGTGCACTCCTTCGCAAGAGCATTTTCTTCAGTGAAGACATTATCTGAACATCGGGTGGGGCTAACCGCTCTCCAGAATCTGCTTACTGCACCTAATACTCAAGAACTAAGAAAGAATTTGCTTGGTAACATAGATATACCTGACATTGACGTCGAGAGTATGTTTGAGAAGATAGGAGATGTACAGGTGAGTTTAATTATCATAATCAGATCATCAGAATCCATCACAGGTCATCACACCACGCACTTGAAATATTTCTCGTCATCAATTTCTAAAGTCAGTCATAAAGATAAGTATTCATCCCTGGCTTTATTTTATAGGATAAGGGTAACAAACGGGCACACAGTCCACCTTATGGTAAGTGGTTGCTGCGGCCCATAGATATGTACATCTAACCTCGATTACAAATTAAAATGCAGATGCGTTGTCACCCTGAGGGCTGTGAGGGCACTGTGAGGGCTAAGATGGATTGCCTCATATCCAGTAAAAAGGGTCTCCGGTTCTCTACACTCACCTTACGAAATATGCTATTTTACGCTGGTATTCTGTGGAGCGTGGTCCTTCCCCGGTCAAGCCGACCCATTCGTGCTACAACTATACTATACTAATATAGCTGCAGCATGGCTCTACCACGTAAAAGGTTCAGGCGATTGAGCAATAAAGAAAAACATATCAATCAGTCTGAACCCAAATTCTAACTGTCTGAAGAAATATAAAATAAATTTAACAAATAACTATTATCATCAGGATCTAGGCAGCATTCTACAAAAGGGATCTGATTTATTGGAATGTATAAACTTAAACCGGTTCCAACCGGTGTTGGATGAGCATCAGCTTAGCAATGAAGCTGTCAAATTGATGAGGGTCAATGAGTTTTCAGCTGGTGAGCATTTTTGTTTTATTATTTAAAGTTTATAGAAAAGTGATTCAATAAAAATTCCTTTTTTTTCTCTTTGATATTTACGTAACTACTATAAAATATATATATATATATATAATATAAATTTCTGCAAATAGTTTGATCAAATATGTAATGTTCGGGGTATTATTATATGTAAATAGAAGTATAATTTATTATTTCCTTACAGGCTTAGTGTTTATGAACAACGATACAGGCGTAGAAGTGCCATTAAATGTGGAATACAAAATTCGAATGGACATAGAAAACACACCGACTACAAACAGATTAAAAAATTTGTACGTATATAATTTACGATAGATAATTACAAACCTTTGAATAATAACATACATTATACAATCATAAACACAGTATAACGGCCAGTTTGAAATTCACTAGGCGAAGGAGTTGAGGACAATCAAGTACAGCGTTTTTTTATAGGAGAGGGGGGCAGATGACCATACAGCTCACCTGATGGTAAGTGACTACCGCCGACCATGAAAAACTGCAACACCAAGGGAATTACAGGTGCGTTGCCAGCCTTTTAAAAAGGAGTAAGCTCTTTTCTTGAAGGTCCACACCTATGCCGGTAGTTGTTAGGAGCACTAAGCTCGAAGATGTTGACGAGTATGTTTACCTGGGACAAATAACCCGACTAGGTAAGTCCAATTTTGATCGTGAGGTGAATCGGCGGATTCAACTCGGTTGGGCAGCGTTCGGGAGATTTCGACAACACATCTTCTTTTCAAGTATACTTCAAAGCTTTAAAACGAGATTCTACAACCAGTGCGTGTTGGCAGTGATCACTTATGGATCTGAGACGTCATCCTTTACTGCTGGCCGTATGAGGAAGCTCAAGGTCACTCAGCGAGCTATAGGGAGTGCTCGGGTTTTCTCTGCGTGATAAACTTAGAAATGAGGATATCCGCAGTAGAATCAGAGTCACCGACATAGCCCCACGGATTAGAAAGCTGAAGTGACTATGGGCCGGACCTATAGCTCGAAGAACCGACAACCGATGGGGAAGCAAGGTTTTTGAGTTGGAGCTTCGTACCGGTAGGTGATGTGTGGAACGGCCCCCCACTAGATGGAGTGACGACTTGGTAAGACATGCAAGAAGTCGATGGATGCAGATGGCTCAGGACTGTGCATGGGGGATTTTTTGGGGTAAAACTATGTTCAGCAGTGGACTTGTGAAGGGTTATAATGATGACGAATATGATAATGACGATAGATCCCAGGTCTGTTTCTAGTTCTTTCTTTATTAAAACTTGATTATTAAGGGAGTAAAAAGCGAGGTTACATTTTTTTCTCCTCGTAAAACGAATGTAGTGACATTTGTCAACGTTTAGAAAATATTATTTTGAGAGCACCATTTCTCAAAGCGCAGCAAGTCTTTCTGCAAAAGCGCGGGATCTGTCTTATCCGCTAATAAGTTTAACTATTTTTAGATCATGAATGATCGGCTGATGAATGTTCATATCTATTTTATATTTCTTTTTTTATTTATTATTTATTGTTCTCTATTGTTCTCTTGTATTCCTTGCTTCGGCTTCTCTTCTTTGTTATACAGGTTCCATCTATCTCATTTGTTGTTCTGAGTATGAAACGTTATATAATTTCGTTCTCTTCTACCCACAGCTTTTGGGTACCCGGCCCTGAAGCGAGCTTCATCCAAGACATGCGCTACTTCCGCGGTTTCATTCAGATTCAAGATATTATCGACAAAGCCATCATCGACATCTCTGCGAACCGCACCAACATGCTGCACAAAAGGGAAACTCTACACGATTACGACCTAGATCGAGCCATGTACACTCAACAAATGCCTTACCCTTGTTATAGAAAGGACTTGTAAGTAATCGTAAAAAAAAAAAATTATCTCAGGAATTAGAATGAAATAGATTTTTGTAGTAAATACTTCTTTAGAATCGTTGTGATTTGAAGCTCGGTGAAACGGAAACGCGACGCTAAAAGTGACAAACATATACGTCTATAGGATTTTGCCTGTGAGAGAAAGAGATGGACATACAGTACTCAGTGCTTCCTCTTATCTCGGTCTCAAGATATTAATAATAAAAAATGTTTTCTTTGGCCCATAGACTCCGTCGTCAGCTGTGAGGACTAAGATGGAATGCTTCTTTTACAGTAAAAAGGTCTTCAGTTCTCTATACTCACCAAAAGAAACACAGGAGCATTAAGCTGCTATTTTACGCTGGTATTCTTTGAGAGCGTGTTCCTTCCCCGGTTGTGCCGACCCATTCGTGCAACAACTATACTATTAATATAGCTGCAGCATGGCTCTACCACGTAAAAAAATTTTGATAAGCTATATTAAATTAATGAATACATTCTATATACGTCCCACTGCTGAGCACAGGCCTCTCATTTTTGAGAGGGTTTTAGGGCAAGAAAATGTCCCCCGCGCTGCCCCAATGCGTATTGGCGAGCTTCACATGTCTTCGAAATATTTGACACGATGTTTTCTTACGTCGCTGAGCACGCGGTAAATCAGCACTTAAAATTGCAATTAACAATTTCATTGGTGCCGGTGCGGTGGGGTTCGCACCCGGGTTGCTGGCGTACTGTGAAACTTACAGCGAGCAAACCCCTAAGCTACCACAACGCTGGGCCTAAGCGCCTAACTCTCATGAATCAATGAATTAATTTAAATATTAATAACGTGTATTGTAATGTTTTCAGTTTCCAAGCCTCTCTGTATGAATCGCAGTCCCTAATAGTGGCGTTCTTCTTTTCTTTGTTGTTCACGACTTCCTCAATCGTGCGGTTCATCGTGTCTGACAAGGAAACTGGGAACACCATGGTAAGATTTAATTTTAGTTTCGTATTCACGTGCAAAGCCAAATACATTAAATTTCGTTTATGACATAAATTAGTTTATTGTATTTATCCTCGATTAAGAATCAAAATGCTAATGCGTTGTCACCCCTGAGGACGTGAAAATGTTCCACTGGAAGTTAACCAACAAAAATAGTGGGATATTCCGTTGGTACAGGGCGTGCAGGAAGATTTGTTTCATAATTTCCATAGTGACCAAGATAAGGCACGCCTTCTAGCTGTTTCGAATAAGGAATTTAGTCACTAGTTACGTGCTTTAACCATCAAGTAATCTCGGCACATTACTTGATGGGGAAAGCATTGCCGTAGGAATTCGGCTAGGAGCGGCGATTTGTCAACCCCATCAGTGCCCCTGTGGTAGCAGCTTCGACAAGTTTGGGCTGCACGGCCTTTCATGTAAGAGAAGTGCCGGTAGGTTTTCACGACACAGTTCTTTGAACGATGTCATCCGAAGGGCTCTTGTCTCTATAAATGTTCCCTCGGTTTTAGAGCCTTGTGAGCCTTTAGAGACGATGGCAAGAGACCCGACGGTATGACATTGGTCCCTTGTGGGAGAGGTAAAGCCCTAGTGTGGGATGCTACTTGCGTAGACACTCTGGCAGTCTCTCTTCTCAGTGTACCTCGTTTAGAGCCGGGGCGGTAGCAGAGGCAGCAGAACTGAGTAAGTGGCGCAAATATGAGTCTTTGAGAGATGACTACATATTTGTGCCATTTGCTGTAGAGACTATCGGTCCGTGGGGTCCACGTGCGGTGAAGTTCCTAAAGGAACTCCATCCACGGCTGGTCTTTGCCGCTGTTGATAAGAGGACTGGTTATTTTCTCGCTCAAAGGCTAAGTATAGCCATTCAGCGGGGAAACGCAGCCAGCGTTCTTGGCACGATACCGCGGGGAGTAGGACTATATGATAATTAAGTTTCTAGTTTTAGTTTTTAGTTTTTAATATTGTATATAATAAAATATTGTATATAATGTTATGTAAATAAATGATACAAAATAAAAAAAATCAAATTATTCTAATTATTACACATCATTATTAATACAGTATTTTATAATAATTTAAAATTAAAAATGTTGTACAACCGACTTCAATATAAATTATTAAGAATAACTCAAAAACTATTGGCCAGACCTTGATCAAATTTATATGTGACCATATAAGAAGCACCAGCTTTCAAATAAAAACCTAAAAAAAAGTTGAGGTAACACACATATAAAAACATACTGTCGAATTGAGTACCTTCTCCAAAAGGAGATGATTTTTCTACAGTCTTTAAAAATAAAGACTGTAGAAAAAAGTTTCAGATTAGTAAACTAAAGTAGCAATGGACCGGCCATATTGTTAGAAGAGCCGACAACCGATGTGGACGAAAGGTTTTCGAGTGGCAGTCTCGTACCGGTAGACAAAGTGTAGGGCGGCTCCCCGCTAGGCGAAGTGACTACCTGGTAAGACATGCTGGAAGTCGATAGGTATAAGTGGCTCAGGACCATGCTTTGTGGTATACCTTTGGGGCGGCCTATATTCAGAAGTGGACTTGTGAAGGGCTGTAATGATGATGAATAAAATTTTACAAAAAATTAAAGACTTACTCTTTTCCAGCTGATGTCGGTGATGGGAGTGAACTTGACGTACCACACATTGTCGTGGTTCCTGACCTCGTTCGTGGAGCTGGTCATCACCTGCGGGAGCATTGCAACAGTGCTGTGTGTCGGCGGCGTGCTGCCTCGTACTTCGACTTCCTTGATTTTCTCATTGCTGTTCATCTACGGATTCTCCGTACTCTGTTTCTGGTGAGATACTAGTCAACTGAACTAACATTTGCATGGCTTAGCTGTGAGCTACAGCGCTAACAAGTGCCTATTTGTATGGCCTAAAAATGATTGTTCCGGGTCTGGTTGTTTTTCCTTGAGAAATTTATATATGTAAACTGCCTCCACGATACAGAAGAAAATCTTATTGTGGAGGTAACGTTCTAAAAAAACATGGGTGAGTATCGTAGAACACTCGGTTGGAACGAAGTTCCTTTCGTAGTATATTATTATTGATAAAAAAAAATTATATTATTGATTAATAAATACAAGTAAATGAATTACTAGTGTCTATTAAAATGAAGCGTCATTTAAAATATAATTTCTTTCATGGCAAGATAAGAAAAACTGCGAGGGAGATGAATATTATTCCATCTCGCTCGCACTATAGAAAGGGGGTCGTGCCGAAAAATCATACACTTTTTGTCGCCTAGCCCCCATTCGACAAATTCGTAACGTGCGATAAAAAACTTCGTTCCAAAAAAGGAAACAAATATATTTATACCGTGTAGTGGCGATTTAAGAATATCCACTAGCATTATTATAGTTTTCTATCAACATTAACTTTTTCCGAATGTTAACATAGCTGACCCTGTAGAGGCTGATTGGTCGCTTTAAATGATATCGTGCGTAATCTCTTATGAACGTTAGAAAAGCAACAATTTACTCAATTATTAATTAAATAGAAAAAAAACCCTAAACAGTGTAGTGGCGGTGTAAGAATATCCACTGCCCCATATCGTCCCGTGGGTGTCGTGAGAGACAATCAAAACAAACCAGGAGAGCAGCCACTTTTTATTATAGAATAAGGGTAATAAACGAGCACACATTACAACTATACTATACTACTAATATAGCTGCAGCATGGCTCTACCACGTAAAAATGCATGTATTGATATTTCGTGCAAAGAGTATGGACCTACCCACTCTTGTTGCAGTCATGATACAGCTTGGCTCTACCGCCTATAGTTGACACTCATGTGAATTGGATAACTTTTACAAAAGATTGTGCGGTCGGGGGACCCCCGTCATGAACGAAGTTCTTTACGTTATTTTTCAACTTAAATGTGATTTAATAAGTATAAAGTATATAATAGAAAGAAACAGAGAGAAAGAGAAAGAGATGGAAAAGTCGTCTGGACATATATCATAACGCTTTTTCCTTACGTGACGATATCTGCCAATTCATTCTACTGTAAGCCGTGAAAAAGAACTTCGTACCCAACAAAGTTTATTTTTAATAGTCGTCTCTAGCGACACTCTAAGGATGAGACGGTATTAAACGGCATGTTACAAACACGGTTAAATAATTACACCACTTTAAAATTATGTAAAAAAAAACTCATCTAAAATAAATTTCACAGCTACATGATTTCGAAGCTATTCAAGTCGGCCAGCTTCGCAGCAGTGTGTACTGGCATAGCGTACCTCATCTCGTTCATGCCGTTGGTGATTATAATATCTATGGAGACTGTACTCACCAGCTCGTTGAAATTGCTTGTCGTAAGTTTTTTTTAATCATATATACCGTTTTTCTATATATACTGTGTAGTAATATCTACTACCCCACATCACCCCGTGGATGTTGCAAGAGGCGACAGAGAGAAACAAATCAGGAGATTGGTAGCAGAGGCTTCATAATAACGACTAAAAATAAAAAACTGTGGTTGCCGATCCCCTTACTAAGCATGGCAACTTTGGCAACGTCCCCCCTATGCTAGACAGTGGACAGGCTGTAACGGTAAGTATTTTTATTATTAGTAATAAACAAACTAACGTTTTAGATAAAGACAAGTGACTATAGAACCAATGAACACCTGTAACCACTTTCAAACAATAATTGTTATTCAAAATGGCGATAATTTCTAAGCGTGTTTTCAGTTCTGTATGTGTTTAAGGTTAATAACATATTTAAAAAAAAACTATTAATTATTTAAATACTCGTCCATCCATTGGCATAGTAGTGGGGGAGGGTACGAGGCTACGAGAAAAGACAGGTTAAAAGGCACAACACACACACACAAACACTCACGCCTGTCACCCAGAGGGGTGGGCAGAGACTACGGACTTCCATTTGGCGCGATCCTGACACACCTCTCTCGCCTTCTTTACATCCATATATCTACGCATACACGCTCGTCGGTTAAGGGTACTCTACTCCTAATTTGTCAAAAGTCTATTTCAAAATAACTTAAAACAATACCCTTACTGAATACTTTCAATTATAAAAATACAATATAACAAAGACATGTACACTACTAAACGGGTTCTGCGGCCTTTATAATATATTGCACACTAAGTTACTGTCAATTGTAACTCTAGTTGATTGAAAGAGAGCGAGACTAATTCTTTGTTTTGTAAACTGCGAACGTTGTTTTCGACCACCTAACACTGATTTTTTATACGGTATGGTTAAAAACGAGCACACAGTGTCCACCTGATGGTAAATGGTTGCTGCGGCTTATAGACATCTACATCTATCCTCGATTACAAATCAAAATGCAGATGCGTTGTCACCCGTATTAAACCCGACTTAGATGGAATGCCTCTTTTCCAGTAAAAAGGGTATCCGGTTCTCTACACTCACCATACGAAACACAGCAGTTTTAAGCTGCTCTTTTACGCTGGTATTCTGTGAAGGTGTGGTTCTTCTCCGGTCGAGCCGACCCATTCGTGCTACAACTATACTACTAATATAGATGCAGCATAGCTCTACCATGTACGTAAAATATTTTGTTCAATGTGACTAATTTAGTTCTCTTTGATTATTTTGTCAACGTGATTTGAAGTTAAGTTTAGATATATACGGTATTTACTACAAATAGTAATTATATTGTATTTTCACTTACGATATTTACGTAGTAAATATCGTAAGTGAAAATACAATTGCGTGACATATTTGCTGTGTCAGCTACCCGCCCACGCGTCCCACAGCAGTGACACAGCTTTTGTTCTGAATTGCCTGTTTAATAGTATAGATGGAAGTCATCAAGACAAATGATACCAAAGCATTCAATTTTGTACGTGGTAGAGCCATCCTATAGCTATATTAATAGTATAGTTCTAGCACGAATGGGTCGGCTCGACCGGAGAAGGACCACGCTCTCACAGAATACCAGCGTAAAATAGCAGTGTGGTGAGTGTAGATAACCGGGGACCCTTTTTACTGGAAAAGAGGCAGGATGTCTATGGGTCGCAGCAACCACTTACCATCGGGTGGACTGTGTGCCCGTTTGTCACCCTATCCTATAAAAAAAATGTTTTTTACAACAACTACCCTACAGTAGGAGCGGCCTTAACAAAGGCGCGTAACAGACTAAGTGATACAGACTCTCGCACGCGGACGCAAGGTGCATTTTGATTTAATGCGCGCGCCACAACAATCGGTAAGCTATTTTAACGTAGGTCGTATCTGAGGCGTGCAAAGTATTATGAATATTAGCGACGTTGTAATTAGGTTTCATCTCGCAAGTTTGCTATCAGAGAGTGATCCTTCTGTTCTTATTCTATTATATATTTTGTGTTAAAAGCAAAGATTTAGTTCAAAATCTAACAAAGGACTCTTTTAAAGTACTGCTGCATGGTAATAGGAGATCCTGGGTTCTAATCACGGGTCGGGCCAACATTAGATTTTGTCCAGAAAGTTTCAGTAGCTGCCCGGATTTGGGAAGTTGGCGGTGTTTCACCCCCGTGGCTCGGAAAGCACGTAAAGCTGCAGATCTTGTGCCTGATCTCTCTCCGGTCGTGTTGGATTACCGTCTCATTGAACCATGAGAGTGAGGGAATAGAGAGTGCACCTGTTAATGCGCATACACCTAGGCACTTTAATTCTGTCCTGTCTAGTCTCCGTCCACACTGGCCGCCTTGACTGAAATTCGGTCTGGTGGATATTATCATGTATCATGTACAGTATGTTTTAAACAGTTATTTTTCTTCCACAGTGCCTGTTTATGTCGTCATCATTTTGCTACGCGTGTCTGTTCATCACACAATACGAAGCAATGGGGCTTGGTGCACAGTGGGCCAACTTGTGGGTAACTCCCGATGGCGTGACTGATTTAAACATTGGCCTGACTGCTGTCTTCGTGATCGTGGATGGCTTTATTTATATTCTTATTGGACTTCTACTGGACAGATTTTTGGGTACATAATATCTTTTTTCATCCCCTCTAGTTGTAGGAAATATTGTATATAACAATATTTACCCATTCAACTATCTATTACAGCCTTTAAAAGGACACTGCTGAATATAGTCCTCCCCTTTAGATTGCCTCATAGGGGGGTTTTGCCATAGTTGTCACGCTTAGCAGGTATTTTGAGTTATCAGGAAGATGCTGCTGCCCATCTTCTGTTTCAGTTTCCTTTGTCACCTCTTACAACACCCAGGGGATTATATGGGCTAGTAAATATCCTTATGCCGCCACTACACCGCAAACAGTTCTTCTATAACAGAGAATTATCGCTTTAAAGCGTTTTAACTTGTTTCACATATATCTTTTTTTATATCTCGTTCCTTCTTCCAGGTGTCAAAGCCATTCGAAACAACGTAATGAACTGCGAGGCTTCAGGTGAAAAGGCAGGCGTTAGCATCATTAATATCACCAAAGTCTACGGTTCCGGCTCCCGCGCCAAGCTGGCCCTCAGCAACGTATCCATAGAGCTGAAATCTGGACAGATCACCTCACTGCTGGGGCACAACGGCGCGGGGAAGACCACGCTTATGTAAGCTTACAATGTGACCTTGACTGCTTCCGCGGCACACTTACAAACATAATTGTACACTACAACAATCATCATCATCATCACAGCCTTTTTAAATCCACTGCTGAATAAAAAACTCCCCCAAGGAATGCCACAAAGCACGGTTCTGAGCCACCTGCGTCGATCGACTTCTCCATCCATCGAAGTTCTCAGTAGCAGCCCGGAGTCAGGAAGTTAGCATCTCCGTGCCTCTGAAAGCACGTAAAGCCGTTGGTCCTGCTGATCTCTCGCCGGTCATGTCGGATTACCGTCCCATCGAACTATGAGAATGAAGGAATAGAGAGGGCATCTGTGTTTGCGCATACAGTCCTGGTTCCTTTCTGGTGAGATAAATATAAATTGCAACGAGAGAAAAAAATCTAATTTAAGTATGCATCTTACAAATAACGCGGATTGCACTTCGAAAAAGAAAATGACAGAAAAAGAGTTAGAATGTGAATTATGAAATCACATACAGAAGAGATTATGAAGAGAGATACGTTGTGAAATTACCTATAAAAGACTCGAGTATGGACTACGGAAACACGAATAATATAGCAAAATAAAGACTAGATCAGTTAGAAAGAAGATTAGACAAAGATAGAGTTAAAAGAAGAATACAATAAGGTTTTAATGGAATATAAAAAATTAGGACACATGCAGGAAATCGATAGCCGTGAAACAATCAGATACACAAATGTTTTTTTTTTTATTTACCGCATCATAAGGTGATACAAAACATAATAAGGAGAGACAAAACTACGTCAAAAGTTAGAATAGTCTTTAACGCCTCCTCTAAAAGACCAACAAAGTGGGGCCAACAATACAACGTGAATTACGACATATAGTCATGACTTGGCGAACATACGAAGTAGCATTTGTCGCGGATTGCATTAAAATGTATCGATAGATTAAGGTTACTGACAAACTTGGAAATCTACAAAGACTTCTTTGGAGGGAACATGGAGAACTAAAAGAATATAAACTTACCAGAGTTACATTTCGCACAGCAAGTGTGTCATATTTAGCGACAAAAACGGTTCAAATGTTGTCATATAATGGAAAAGAAAAATGTCCAATTGCAGCAAAAATAGCAATGAAAGATTTTTACATGGATGATCTCCTTACCGAAGCTGATAATGTAGAAGAACCAAAAGAAATATACACACAAATCACGAAAATGATTAAAACTGGCTGATTCGAAATGCAGAAGTGGGCCTGTAACAAAAAAATAATTTCAAATTATATAGTGAAGGCAGAAAATGCGGCTGATGATAATACATATGTTGTGAAAAACGTAGGGAACTAGGTATCAGATAGGACAGTAACATAGATCAGTTTCAGCACGTAATTAATATGGATCACAACCAGACAGAAATAATTACAAAAAGAACAGTTTTGTCAACAATTTCTAAATTGTTTGATCGCATTGGATGGTTAGAACCCGTTATAGTAACAGCAAAGATTTTCATTTAAAATTGTAGCTAGTTGGCATAGATTGGAACCAAGAGATACCAAATACACTAAAGGAATAATCGAACGAATACAGACGAGAACTGTACAATTGTCATGATATAACAATAAACAGATGGTTACATACAAATAAATAAGATTTATGCCACGAACTGCATGGATATTCTATGCTTCTACTATGGCCTATGCTGCCGTTGTATACATTAGAGTTGTAAAAAAAGATGGTTCAATACACACACACTTAATTTCAGTAAAAACTAAAGTTGCGCCTACCAAAACTATATCTGTCCCAATATCAGAATTGCGTGGTGGTCCATCTACTTAACGAAGTTGCAGAGCAATTAAATATTAAAAAATATAATATACTTGCATATTGTTATTCTAAAGTTGTTCTTGCGTAGTTATAGAGCCACCCCAGTCGATGGAAGATGAGGCCTTCTCAACATTGGCATCATGTGACGTCTGTATGTAACCCAGCTGGTGTTGCGTCACGTGGCATTTTTCCATCACAACTCTTAAATCATACTTCATCACACTATCCTCAATAAAGAATCAAAATAAAGACTAAGATGGAATGCCTCTTTTCTAGTAAAAAGGGTCTCCGGTTCACTACACTCACCATACGAAACACAGCAGTGTTAAATTACCGCGAAACCGGTTGGTTTCTTATAATTACTTTAATAATCATTTAAAATAAATATTGTGAAACCAGTACAAGTGTTTATTTAAATTACAAATATGAAACTAGAGTTTCACCAAGTGACAACAATCGCAAGTATACATTATATATTTGTTTGTTTGTTTCTATCTGTACACAGTAAGATCCTGACGGGTACGCTGCGGCCGACGCGGGGGCAGGTGGTAATGCGCTGGGCGGGCGGGGCGGGTGCGGCGGGCGGGGCGGGCGGGCAGCGCAGCACGCAGCTGGGCGCGTGCCCGCAGCGCGACGTGTTGCTGCGCGCGCTCACCGCACGCGAGCACGTCGTGCTCTACGCTCAGCTCAAGAGCGGCCGCGCGCTGCACGAACTGGAACACCAGGTCGAAAGGTACCTATGTAACTTATGTGGTTCCGACTCAATATCAGCGCTGCGGTAACTCTGTTACCGTAGCATTCTGCTGAGTCGGTGGTCTTTTGGGGCTGCAATCCATTTTTGTATTCTTAATATTTTGTACTTTTTTTTCGTTTGATGTTTTGTAAAAGCAAGTTGCAGAAATCAATAAAAATATGTTCTTTAATTCTAACTGAATGGACTAAACTCTGGGGTTTTATAGACGCAATTTTACTGGAAAAGAGGCATTCCATCTTATTCCTCACGGGTAACAACGCATCTGCATTTTGATTCGCAAACGAGGATAGATGTAGATGTCTATGGGCCACAGCAACCACTTACCATCAGGTGGACTGTATGCTCGTTTGTCACCCTATCCTATAATAATAAAAAAAAATATTACTCTGCTGCGAATCGTGGTTGATTTCACCGTGATTTAGCGTTTCACAAGTACACTGCTGGACATAGTTCCTCCCCAAAGTATGCCACAAAGTTCGGTCCTGACACACCTGTATTCATCAACTTCCTGCATCTTTCCAGATCGTCACTCCATGTTCTCCAAGTTCTCCCCTCTACTAGTAGGGGGCCACTCTAGGGAGAGGAGAACTTTTCTCTTGGACAACCTTTCTTCTCCATCGGTTATCAGTTCTTCGAGCTATATTCTTTTTAAAGTAGAGGAGTCCAACGAGCATGCGGCTCACCTGATGGTGAGTGTCGTACGCCATCAGGTGGAGTATTGAACCAATGCAACACCGGTGGAATTGCAGATGCGTTGCCGGTCTTTTTAAAATAAGTAAACTCGTTTCTTAAAGGTCCCTAAGTCGTATCGGTCCGAAAAAATATTGTCACTTCATATTACTAATCCGATGAGCTATGACTATGTTACTCTTGTTAGACTGCAGATATCCTCATTTATAATTTTATCACGTATAGAAATTCTGAGCCCTATTCACTGATATGATATAGCTCACTGAACTACCTTGAGCTTCCTCATACGAGCAACAGTGAAATACCATGTCTGAGATACGTTTAACGATTAGTTTCGTTTAATTATTTGAATATTTCAGTATATATTATATATGTACTATTTGTGTTATTTTATATTATGTTACAAATTATTACCACAGTGAAAAAACAATTAAGGAGGAATTTTGGTTATTAGTTATATATTGTTGTTCTTTCCAGCATAATGCGTATTCTGTCACTGGGTGGCGTCGCCGATGAGCCAGTGGCGCGACTGTCCGGAGGGACGAGGCGCAGGTTGTGCGTGGCGCTGGCCTTCGTGGCGGAACCGAGCCTGGTCGTGCTGGACGAACCCACGGCTGGAGTAGACCCCGCTGCTAGAAGGTATGCTTACTTCCATACATAATTCAAAGCATTTACGTGGTAGAGCCATGCCGAAGCTATATTATGGTTGTAGCACGAATGGGTCGGCTCGACCGGGGTAGAACCGCGCTCTCACAGAATACCAGCGTAAAATAGCAGTTTAATACTGCTGTGTTTCGTTTGGTGAGTGTAAAGAACCGGAGATTTTTATTGGAAACGGGGTATTCCATCTAAGTCCTCAAGGGTGACAACGCATCTGCATCATGATTCTTAATCGAGGATAAATGTAGATGTCTATGGGCCCATAGCATCCACTTATCACGAGGTGGACTGTGTGGTTGTTTGTCACCCTTATTCTATAAAACAAAAAACAATAAATATAATTTCCTTGACTCTTGTGGCCATTCTTTTGCTGGGCAGGGACGTACGCAGAAAAACGAATACAGAGTCTACCTGATAATTAGCTACTCAAAAATCATAGTCTAGACTTGGGCAAAAAATATCGATATATCGAAATATCGATATTTTTAATAAAAATATATATATCGTCGATATTTTAAATTGCGATATATCGATATTTATTTAAGAGTATCGAATTTGTATCAATTTCGATATATTTGAAAATGTTGTATTAATGACATGTAACAACAAAAGGAGGTACAAAAGTATTTATGTGTGGTTGGTTGTCGTTTTTTTTTTCGTCGTCCAACGGTCAGTAATATAAAATTTTGGAGCTTATCTTTATTTGAAAGTAGACTTTTATAAAGCACCTTTAAATTGTAAAAAAGTAAAGTAAGGCTACACAATCGCTTCAATAAGTTCCTACTGCGGAAGAATTTGTGTTGAAAAGCGGTAATAATCTTACAAATAAACTATTTTTATCATATCAGTACAATTTTACCTTAAAAAATACCTGGCGCCATTACAGTTATATTGCTTTATTAGAAATACATTCATTAAATGGAATGATAATATGACTTTCTAATAAATTTATCGGTACCATGCAAGATGTACTGTAAGATTTTTTTTTATAGGATCGGGTGACAAACGAGCACACAGTCCACCTGATGGTAAGTGGCTACTATGACCCATAGACATCTACATCTATCCTCAATAAAGACTCAAAATGCAGATGCGTTGTCACCCGTGAGGACTAAGATGGAATGCCTCTTTGCCAGTAAAAAGGGTCTCCGGTTCTCTACACTCACCATACGAAACACAACAGCGTTAAGCTGCTATTTTACGCTGGTTTTCTGTGAGAGCGTGGTCCTTCCCGGGTCGAGCCGACTCATTCGTGCTACAACCATAATATAGCTGCAGCATGGCTCTACCACGTAGATGATAGACAGATAGCTACTGTACTATGCCTATAAGCTTCGTACAAGTGTAAGCAATAAGTTGACAAAGTTTTAACGCAATCTGATGAACGGTATAGCAACGCATAAAATAGGAACAAACAAAAATTATTTTTTATATATTTGATATTACATATATATAAGTAGTAAAGATTGAAAGAGAAGTTGAAAGGAGGTTGTATCCATTACAAAGAGTAGTGTATATCTCAAGATTAAATTACAATCCATCTCAAGGAAGAAATCCCGCGAAAACATGCGAACTTAAATGTAAAGTATGTTTGACATCAAAATGTCTGACTTCGAAGACTGTGTAGCTGCGACTAAGAGACTTCTTTCATTAGAAAGTTTGACGATTCTTATTAAACCATAGTTAAAACCCGTTACCATTACAGCCTATGAAAGTCCACTGCTGAACATGACCTCTCCCTTATATTGCCTCAAAGGGAGAATATTTGCCATAATTGCCACGCTTGGCAAGCGGGTTGGCAACCGTAGTTTTTTATTTTAATTCGTTATTAGGAAGACGCTGCTGCCCATCTCCTGATTTGTTTCCCTCTGTCGCCTGTTACGACAACCACGGTATGGTATGGAGTAGTTGACATTCTTACACCGCCACTACATGGTCTTATATGGTCATATACATTTTGTAAGATAGAATGTGTCAACGCATTCTTTTCTTTAATCATCTGATTTAAAATATCCCTTCCTCATAAATATACGTGTAAAGAACACGCGCCTTGAATTTATACCAAGGCAAGTCTGTAATGCTGATGTCTCTTAAATAACTACTTTTTTTTTTATTTGGTTCACAAATGGAATGTAACGTTTACATGGTTCAGGTAACATAAAAAAGTAACAAACAAACGTTCATTCTAATAACAGTGAACACAGCATGCAACAAGTCGACATGATATATATATAGCTTATTAAAAACCAAAATGCAGCGTAGCTCTGCCACGTGAAATGTTTGCTGTGAAATGTACCTCGAGGACAATAAGTAATGATGATGATTTTCAAAGTGATATTATTAAGCTTGATTAAGCCTGCAAATAATTTTTTCGGGTCTGGACGTGTGTATATAATTTATATACGTAAACCGTCTCCATGATACATTTTTACTCCTTATAGGGACATCTGGTCGATGATATTGAAACTGCGAGAGAACAGAACCATTCTCCTCACCACGCATCATCTCGACGAAGCCGAGCTGTTAAGTGACCAGATTGTCATCATGCATAAGGTAATTGCCATTTTGTTAATAGTGAATTTTTAATAGTGTAAGTACAAACTATACGAATAAAATGATAGAGATTTGCAGTTGGGCGTCCATCATGGAAAAACTACTGGACAGATTTCAATTATGTTTTCTAAGATTTGTTTGTTAAACACTTGGCCATTATCTAAAAACAACAATATTGCGATATCTTTATTTAATATAAAGTTATTAAAGTTTTAATAAAAAAGATTTTTATAATCACTACGTATTCAGTAAACATTATAGTTATGCAACGAATAACATTGTTTACAAAGAAATTTTGTAAGCAAAATATATTTTTGCTTGCAACCTTTTTGATGTTTTTTCCTTCACACATACGAAAATTTTGTTATATATCAAGCAACGCGGACGAAGACGCAGGTATCAGCTAGTAATAAATATAGTCAAAGTAAAACATTTTTATTCGAAATTGGTTTTTATAAACCACTTTTTGAAAGTTAAAATCTACACGATCGCTTCAACAAGTTCCTACCGCGAGGGACCTTATGAGAAGTCAGAAACTCCTAAAGATACTGTTCATCTTAAAAATATATTATACATAATTTTAAAAAAAGTCTTAGGAAGCTCATTATCTCCACGCATTTTTATATTTTAAATAATCATCTCATTTATAATAATATATTCTTTCTATATATATAAAAACCAATTGTTGCCCGTTAGTCTCGCCAAAACTCAAAAATGATTCGACTGATTTTGTTGAACTTTGTTGTGTAGATCTCTGGATGGTCGAGATCCAGAAATCACCCGTGTGAAGCCAGGGCGGAGCGATAGTTATTTTTTTTCATAAGAGTGTTTTTACATACGCTTTCAATTTATGCAAAGGCAAATCAGTTCGTATTACAGGGAATCTTGTTACAAAAAACTTACATACATGTACCCAAAAATGAGTCGCTAGTAATTTTCGTACGTGATAGAGCCGTACTGCAGCTATATAATGGTTTTAGCAAGCATGAATTGGCTCGACCGGGGAAGGACCACGCTCTCAAAGTATACAGTGTTTCGTATGGTGAGTGTTGAGACTTGAGACCTCTTTTACTGGAAACGAGGTATTCCATCTTAATCCTCCTGAGGTTGCCACCACTGGATGACAACCCATTTGCATTTTGATTCTTAATCGAGGATATATGTAGATGTCCATGGGCCACAGAAACCATTTTCCATAGAGTGGATTGTGTGCTCGTTTGTCACCCTTATCTTATAAAAAAATTCATTATTTATTTTTAATTTATATAACCTGTAGGGTCAAGTCCACACAGCTGGTTCACCAATAGACATCAAACGCAGCCTCGGAACCGGATATAAGTTGACCGTGATGTATTCAGAAAGACAGAGAAAAATGGAAGATGTGCAAGAGATAATAGAAGATGCAGAAATATGCATTGAGGAGAAGACCAAAATTCTTCTCGAGGCCGTGAGGAACGTCATCAAAAACGCCATCTTAGTGGACGTGAACGGACTTGAGGTGGAGATAAATTTACCATTTTATGGTCCCGATGGAGTTAGTAACGAGTAAGTGAATTCTTTCATCGCGTTAGAGAAATTAATGAAATTGCAGCTAGTAGAAATAAAAATAAAAGCCGGCAACTCACCTGCAATTTCCCTGGTGTTGCAGTTGTCCATGGGCGGCGGTAGTCACTTACAATATATATAAGCAATAACTGCAGCAAATACACAACTACAGTCAGTATAAAGATTCGTAGTCACTCAGTAATAGAGTCAAAGGTATATAGGTTCTTTTACGTGATAGAGCCATGCTGTAGCTATATTGCGGTTGCAGCACGGGTGGGTTGGCTGTCGGGGAAGGACCACGCTCTCACAGTGTTTCGTATGGTGAGTGTAGAGAACCGGCTTTTTACTGGAAACAAGGCATTCCATCTCAGTCCTCGGGGGTGGCGGCGCATCTGCTTTTTGATTCTTAATTGATGATAAATGTAGATGTCTATAGGCCACGCATCCACTTACCATCAAGTGGACTGTGTGCTCGTTTGTCACTCTTATTCTATAAAAAAAGTTAACGAATAAGATGCCACACCTCATAACCTATTATCACACTAGTTATTTTGCCAACTGCCTCTTGATGACTATTGGTATTGTAGTCGTAAGTGCTGATTCTATAGTTCCGGGTTCGAATTCAAACACTATTGCAAATATCGTCCCTATGAGGTAATCTATAAAAGCGAACGGAGAAATAGTCACTCGATCTGCTGCTCAGAGCATTATTAAAATATCTATATCTATACAAATAAATAAAATTGAAGTGTCTGTTTGTAATGTTAAAATAACAACTTTTTACTAAACGCATTTGAATGTATATACGGTACTTATAACAAAAACACAATATTTTTAAATGTTTGTCTGTCTGTCTGTTTGTTCCGGCTAATCTTCGAAACGGCTGGATCGATTTGGACGGGACTTTCACTGGCAGATAGCTGATTTTCTAAGAAGTAACTTAGGCTACTTATATTTGAGAAAAAGAATTAGGGTTCTGATCAATATAAATAAAACCCTAAATTAAACGCGTACGAAGTCGCGGGGAACAGCTAGTTTAAAATAACATTGAAAGTGAAATTCAAAAAAAGTGATACCTGAACACATATATTGTTTACACAGCTTCCTTCAGTTGTGCTCCATGCTGGAGTCCAATCAGACGGCACTGGGCTTTAGCAGCTTTACCATGGACTGCAGTAGTTTGGAGCAGGTGTTCTTCACCATTTGCAATCAAGCCGATGCGCCGCAACAAGCCATTGATCTAGGTAAAGTAAAATAACACTCCACTCAACCCTGTGGTTTCATATTGGGTTTAACGTCATTGCTGTGTTTTCACCCGACTTAAAAAAGGTGGAGGTTTACAACTCGTCGGAATCTTTCTTTTTTTATTTATGTTCACCGATTACTTAAGACGCCTGAACCGATTTAGAAAATTCTTTTTTTATTTCAAAGGTCCTATGTGGTCACATTTCAATTTTATCGAAATCGGTCAAGTGGTTTTTAAAAAATATCTACAATAAATTATATTTATATTGAAATCGGTTTTACAAAATGTTTAATTGTACCACTTGTTAAATTGCTATATCCAATTTAAAAAGGCAAAACTGAGATTGTTTGCTTTTGAAATTGAAGCTTTACCAATAGCATATTTTAGTTTAATTTTGAGTGGTACGTGTCGGCCCGACCAAGAACGAACCACGGTCACACAGAATACCAGCATGAAATAGCATCAAAATGCTGCTGCTTTTAACCGACGTGAAAAAGGACCTCCCCCTTCTCAACTCGAGTGCGTTTAACTTGGGTGTATGCAGCTTCAAATCTGCCACTTACATGAGATCTATTGAAATAAAAATTACACATTCAAAGTTCTCGTCGCCGACGACGGTGTTGCTAAGTTATAAAAATTTGCTAAATTTTAAGCAAATTGTTGTAAAACTATATGTATTATTTTTATTATTAAATTACAATAACATTTTCATATGCAATAATAAAGTGACGTTTTAATTCTTTGGTAATGTCATTGCGCTACCTTTGCCTCTTTCGAATCGGAAAGGGTTTTTAACTTGATAATATACTAAAATTTGGCATCTCAATTAAATGAATAATTTACTAAATTTACGTTAAAATAGATTATGCATTAAAAATAGGATGATACTACAACCAATGAGTGTCAGTGATGACACATGGATGTGAGTCGTTGTCCTTCACTGCTGGCCGTATGAGGAAGCTCAAGGTCACTCAACGTTCTGAGAGGGTTATGCTCGGAGTTTACTTGCGTGACAGACTTCGTAATGAGCATCCATAGTAGAACCAGAGAAACCAACATAGCTCAAAGAATCAGTAAGCTGAAGTGACAATATAGGTCGAAGAACCGACCACCGTCGGGGAAGAAAAATTTTCAAATGGTACCGGAAAACGAAGTGTAATGCGGCCCTCTACTAGATGGAGTGACGAACTGATAAACGACGCAGGAAGTCGATGGGTGCAGATAGCTCAGGACCGAGCTTTGTGGCATTCCTTGGTAGAGGCCTATATTCGGCAGGTGAACTTGTGATGGGATGTATTGAAGATGATGAGGAAAGTGAGACCTGACCGTATCGCACACACATCAATATTTTTTGTATTGACTTATATTTAAAAATATTGTATTATATTAACATCAACTGTAAAACATTTTAGGACCCTTAGAAGCGCCCTCTAAAAGCGACTCGACGTCCAGTCTGCGCGACGACCGAACTCCTCTAGTCCCACGTGAGGGTCCGCTCGTAGGTACCGTTTGGGATCAATTCTTCGCGCTGCTGTATGGCCGCTATTTACACTATATAAGAAATAGGTAAGCCTACGAATTACATTTTACTCTCTCCGACATATATTTTTATTTATAATCTCAAAATATTTACCGACAAATAGGCCAAGATCTTGTAAAGTTGTAACTCGGGAGAGAACCATTGAGAAGAGACACCATTGCTAGATAAAAATACTGAACATATTTGAATAATACACGCCTTTGAAAATACATTAAGTCTACACACAAACATTATATGTTTACTCCTTATACCTCATCTCCATCGTATTCAGAAAAATTTAATAAATTTAATAACATTTTTAATAAAAAAAAGTATTTATTTTTGGCGCAATGTATACGCTTTAACAGTAAAATCCCATCAATATACAAATTTTGTCCACTGCCATGTTTAAATACGATATTAAGCAATGATTGTATAAAAAGGGTTATTATAATATTAAGAAATTTATGAATGATAATAACACCTGAGTAGGAAGTGATCGCAGCTAAGCTATTTATAATTTGTTTTTGTAGTTAATTGTGTAACATAATATATTATGATTACTAACTGTCCTTTTATTTTAAATGTGTCCCTTTGGCTTTCTTGATGGTTCATCGCAAGACAGAAGTATTTTCCGAACCAGTGTTAAATTAAACATAATAATGACTTACAATAAATATATTTATAATCTATATTGGAAAATGTTTCTATTTCTATTTCATTAAATTTTTATTTTTTTGCCGACTTCCAAAAAGGAGACGGTACTCAATTCGACTGTATTTTTTTTTTGTTTTTTTTTTTATGTGTGTTACCTCATGACTTTTTACTGGCTGGACTGATTTCGATAATTCTTTTTTTATTTGAAAGCTGGTAGTTCTCGTGTGGTCCCATATGAATTTGATCAAGGTCAAGCCAATAGTTTTTGAGTTATTCTTAATAACTTATATTGATGTTGGCTGTACGAAATTTTTAATTTTAAATTATTCTATCTTAGGTGGCTGCTCTTCATGTTGATCGTGCTACCATCCCTGTTCGTGATAATCGCCATGGCGTTCTCCACCGTACGACCACCTCCTAACAATGAGTTCGCGTTGAAGCTTCATCGGGGCTTATATGAAAATTCTACCGAGTTCCTAATGTACGTATTGTATCTAGTACACTAAGGCTGTTTGTTTTTTATAGAACAAGAGTGACAAACGAGCACACAGTCCACCTGATGGTAAATGGTTGCTGTGGCCCATAGAATTCATATTTATTCTCAATTAAGAATCAAAATGCAGATACGTTGTCATTCCTGAGGACTAAGATGGAATGCCTCGTTTCCAGTAAAAAGAGTCACCGGTTCTCTACACTCACCATACGAAACACAGCAGCATTGATTTGCTATTTCACGCTGGTATTCTATGAGAGTGTGGTCCTTCCCCGTCTAGTCAACCCATTCGTCAGACAATTAGACAATATGGCTGCAGCATGGCTCTACCACAAAGATATAAAGTACATCACTCACCTTCGATTTGCCGACGATATAGTCCTTATGGCAGAATCGCTGGAGGATCTAAGCACCTTGCTCAATGACCTCAATAGTGTCTCCCAACGGATAGGTCTTAAGATGAACATGGGCAAAACAAAGATCATGTTCAATGTCCATGTCACACCTATGCCGGTAGTTGTTGGGAGCACTAAGCACGAAGTTGTTGACGAGTATGTTTACCTGGGACAAATAATCCGACTAGGTAAGTCCAACTTCGACCGAGAGATCAATCGCCGGATTCAACTCGGCTGGGCAGCGTTCGGGAAACTACGACACATCTTCTCGTCAGACATTCCTCAAAACCTTAAAACGAAATTGTACAACCAGTGCGTGTTGCCAGTGATGACTTACGGATCTGAGACGTGGTCCTTCACTGCTGGCCGTATGAGGAAGCTCAAGGTCGCTCAGCGAGCTATGGAGAGGGCTATGCTCGGAGTTTCTCTGCGTGATAAACTTAGAAATGAGAATATCCGCAGTAGAACCAGAGTGACCGACATAGCCCAACGGATTAGTAAGCTGAAGTGGCAGTGGGCCGGCCATATAGCTCGAAGAACCGACAACCGATGGGGAAGAAAGGTTCTTGAGTGGCAGCCTCGTACCGGTAGGCAAAGTGTAGGGCGACCCCCCACGAGATGGAGTGACGACCTGGTAAGACATGCAGGAAGTCGATGGATGCAGCTAGGAACACTCGATCGAGTTACCTTTCAAACAAAAAAACAACTAAATCTAATTCGGTTCATCCGTTTGGGAGTTACGTTGTCACAGACAGACACACAGATACACACGTTAAACATGTAACACCGCTCTTTTTTGTGGGGTGTTAAAATACATATACAATAACCGTGGTAGAGTCACGCGGCGGCTTTTGCTGTCGTACGGATGTGCCGGCTCGAACCGGGGTGGTACCACGACCTCACAGAATACCAGCGTGAAGTAGAGGTTTACCTCTGCGTTTCGCTTGGTGAGTGCAGGTGGCCGGAGGCCCTTTTTGCTGGAAATGAGGCATTCCATCTTAGTCCTCACGGGTGACAACGCATCTGCATTTTGATTTATAATAAAGGATAGATGTAGATGTCTATGGGCCGCAGCAACCACTTACCATCAGGTGGACTGTGTGCCCGTTTGTCACCCTCATCCTATAAAAAAGAAAACATAAATACAAAAAGCATTTATTTTAAATGAAACTAATTTTACGGATTTTATCTCGTTAAACTTAAACTTTTTTTTTCATTTAAGCAGGTATCTAAAAGTTAAAATTAAAAAAGAATTGTCCGTAACATTAGTTTCCTTTAACGTGTAGTGTTTACTTAATTATAAGACATAATTAAAGTCCTTCAAAAGTTTACTACTGAACATAATAAACCTTTATTTTTGTCGTCTCCTTTAGTTTAAACGTTTTTCATTAAGCGAGTATTAAAAAGATCAAATTAAACGCGATAAAATCCGTAAGATTAGTTTTATTTAATGTGTAGTATTTGCGTAAATATAAGAAATCATTACAGTACTTCACAAGTCCACTATTGAACGTAATAAACCTTTCAACAAAGCTTCATTGTAAGAAGTGAAAGAGGGAAAATAAACCAGCGTATGGACGGCAACAACTTCCTACTAACAATTTAACTCAACTGGGGTTTTTTAAAGGATAAGGGTGACAAACAAGCACATAGTTCACCTGATGGTTAATAGATACTGTGACTCATAGACATCTACATCTACCCTCGATTAAGAATCAAAATGTAGATGCGTTGTTATCTCTGAAGATTAAGATGGAATGCCTGAAACTAAACCAGCGGATGGGTGGCAGCAACTTCCTGCTAACAATTTAACTCAACTGTGTTTTTTTAAAGGATAAGGGTGACAAACAAGCACATAGTCCACCTGATGGTTAATGGATACTGTGTCTCATAGACATTTACATCTACCCTCGATTAAGAATGAAATTGTTAAACTAAGATGGGATGCCTCGTCATCACTAAAAACCGGTTTTCTTTACTCACCACACCAAAACAGCAGTATTCAGCTGAAATCATACGACGAAAATCATATTATGTGAGAACATGATTCCCGGTCTAGCTGACGCATTCGTGCTAAAGTGTGACCCTGCTACGCCTTCGAGTGTTTTAAAATACAAGTAAATACATTCACCCTTTTCCTTCAGCCTTAGTAGTTAAAGTAGACAAATTATTTTCACTGTATTTGTTTCAGTGAGCACCCATCAATTTATGACAATAAAATCAGTTCAGCGTTCGCACAGCATGTCATGGATACACTGCGATATGAAAAATTCGCGAGAAATTGGACAGTTCAGGTAAGCTGGAAGATCTTTTGGCATCTATAATAATAATTTCCTCCAATCGGCCATGGCCAATCTCAACGGAGGCTAGCCATCAGCGCAAGACAGGATTATAGTGCACAAGTGTATGCAGTGTATGAGGTGTACTCTCTATTATCCGCGTTTACGACCATGAAACCATCGAGGCAGTTATACGATCTATACAAATACAATATATAAAAAATTGAGTGAGGGTGCTTGATATGATTCTGTTCATGTAATCCTTTCCAGAGGATAAATAAAAAATTGCCGGGGATGAAATAAAATAAAATATAGTTAAATGGGAAAATTTATATGGCAATACATCTGCCGTCGGGTAATAATACCGCAAGCGGCCACACCTTTTTATATCGTCGTCATATACAATATATAACAAAACTATGAGTGAGGGTGCTTGACATGATTCTGTTCATGTAATTCTTTTCAGATAATAAATAAAAAATTACCGCGGATGAAATAAAATAAAATATAGTTAAATACCGCCACACATTTTTAAACCGTCGTCATCAATAGTGCTGCCAGATTTTAAAAACTTGCTGAATTTTAAGCGGTTTGTACTAAAGTAGACGTGAATAATAATAATATTTTTATATTCATTAATAAAAGAAAAATTTTGGGTATGTCACTGCGGTACCTTATTGCCACTTTCGGATCGGGCAGGTTTACATATTTATATGAGTACAAGTTTCTGTCGACATACGGTACTGTGACGTTAATTCTCTGTAGGCCGTATGAGGAATCTTAATGTCGTCCAGCAAGTTATGGAGAGGGCAATGCTTGGAGTTTCTCTGTGATAGAATTGGAAGTGATGATAACCCCAGTAACCGACTTAGCCCAACGGATCAATAAGCTATAGTGGTGATGATAGGCTGGCTATATAGCACTACGAACTGACAACCGATGGGAAAGAAAGGTTCTCGAGTGGCAGTCTCTTACTGTAAACAAAATTTGTAGCGGCCCCCAACTTGATAGTGACGATCTGATAAGATATGCAGGAAGTCGTTAACATTGTTACTATTATTACTTTTAAATTTATTAAAAAAACGTCGTCTTCATTACAGGATAATCCTATATGTAAATGCGGTGAAACGAAACAAGAATGTGACTTTAGTAGAATCAACACCACCGAACTACCAGAGATGATGGTGCTTAATGATGTCAAAACTCTCAACGAATGGCTGACAACATCGCAAGAAATTTACATTAATAAAAGGTACTTATTAATGGAGGTTATTTTTTATATAGTGATGAATCTATTTCGATTACGATTAATTGTAATCGACTCCTATCGACATTTAACGATTAATCGTATTCGTCGACTATCATTGCGATTAGCTAGTGATTATAATATGGCTTATTTTCAAAGGAAATATTCCAATTGTTAATGTATAGCAAAAAAATATCTTTCAACCAAACCATCGTCCGTAGCGTCGGTGAGGTTATTTTCCATAGTTTTGAAGATACTGCTCAGTTTCCCTCTGTCGCTTCTTACATCACCCACGGGAATGATATGAGTTAGTGAATTCGCTTACACTGCCACTATTCGACAATCTACCACTTCAAGCTGTGGGTGCGCTGTGGCTATATTATGGTTGTAGTACAAATGGGTCAGCTCGACCGGTGAAGGACCACGCTCTCACAGAATACCAGCATAAAACAGCAGCTTAAAGCTGTTGTGTTTCGTATGGTGAGTATACAGAACCAGAGACCCTTTTTACTGGAAACGAGGCAATTCATCTTAGTCCTCAGGGATGACAACGCATCTACATTTTGATTCATAATCGAGGACGGATGTAGATGTCTATGGGCTACCGCATCCACTTACCATCAGGTGGACTGTGTGTTGGTTTGTCACCCTCATTCTATAGAAAAAATTAGTTTAATATGATCCACTGGTTTTTTTTAGGTGTAGAAAGGGCCATTTGAAAGGAAGAAACCAATTCATCATTTAGTAAATAAAACCAAACTCTCCACAGATTCGGCGGCTTTACATCAAATATTAAGAACAACATTTCGAACCTAGTGGTCTGGTACAACAACAAGGGCCACCACGCCATGCCGGCCTACCTAAACGCCCTCAACAACGCTGTGCTGCGGACTGTCAGCGGCCACCACACCGCGAACATCACCACTTACACTCACCCCCTGAAGATCTCCAAAGAGCAGATTAATAAGGATACTGTGTGCGTATAATTTCCTTGCCCTTTTTGAAAATGGTTTTTTTACGTGGTAGAGCCACGCTGCAGCTGTATTGTGGTGAAGCAGCATGAATGGGTCGGCTCGAACGCGGATGAACCGCTCTTATAGAACACCAGCGTAAAATAGCAGCTTAATGTTGCTGTGTTTCGTATGGTGAGTATAGAGAATCGAAGACCTTTTTTACTGGAAACGGGCATCCAAACTTAGTCCTCAGGGGTGACAAGGCATTCTTCATTTACCTTACCTTACTTACCGTCAGGTGGACTGTGTGCTTATTTGTTACACTTATTCTATAAAAATGGACACGCTGAAGATAAAGCTTTTGTACGTAACGGAAGCAACCGCGAATGATAGAATAAGAAATCAACAGATAGGTCAACAAAGAATATAATTTATATGATAAAGTGCACTCGTCACAATTTGTTAACTTAATAATTATTGTAGTCCTCCAGACCGAACTTCGGTCACGACGGCCAGCCTCAAGGGAGGCTAGTCATCTACGCAACACAGGATTATAGTGAACGAGTGTATGCCCAAGCACAGGTTCACTCTCTATTCCCTCACTCTCATAGTCTGATGGGACGGTAATCCAACACGACCGCAGACAGATCGGGCGCAGGACCAACGGCTTTACGTGCTTCCTGAGGCACGGGGTTGAGACACCGCCAACTTCCTGTCTCCGGGCAGCTACTGAGAATTTCTTGATGGAAAAACTCAATAACGGACTTTTGGCCCGACCCAGGATTCCGATCCGGGACCGCACGATCGTCAGACGCACTACTACAACCTCTAAATCAACGAGGCAGTCAAGGCTACAGAGCGTATACCAAAGAAATAGATATACATACATATATACACTGGAAAAACATTAGTCTCCTTCTAGGATAGTCGGATAAAAAGTGAATAGAAAAGTCTAATATTTAGTTTAACAGGTAGTAAGTAGGATTTTTTTTAGGATTAGATCGTTAGACGAACCTCTCCACGTTTCTAAGGGTTTTTTTTAGTATTTTTTGAGTATTTATATTTGGTACAGTTTGCATATTGTGTAGGTAGCCTAGTTTATACGAGTTGTTTTTATTTCCGTTCAATTTTTTTTCTCAAAAAGACTATAGATATCACATGCACACATTATGGTATTTAAAAAAGGCTAAATCTACTATTAGTACAATTGTATATATTTTTAAATTTTTCGCACATCGAGAGCAAGCGTGCAATCAGTCGTCCGAAATGCCTCGGGATATGAGGCGGACTGAAAACCAATGCTAAAGAAAGAAAGAAAGACATTTATTCACTGAAACTGTACACATCACAAAAAAACAGTTAAGTCCTTTTCGCAGTCTCATGCTGCAGCACAAGGCTTTTTTTTAAGTGTATTTTCCTAAATTTATGATGTTGGTAAATTCTTCGTTTTATTTATGTATTTCCCTTTTATTACTTTTTACGCATTTCTTCCTATCTTAGTTATCAGCATGTGGCCGATGCTGGCATCACGGGGATGCTGCTGATAGCGTACAGTCTGGTGAGCGCGGGTGCAGCCATCTACCTGGTGACGGCGCGCTGCAGCCAGGAGAAGCGTCTACAGCTTCTGGCCGGCGTCAGCCCCGCGCTCTACTGGATCACGGCGCTAGTTTGGGATATGATTGTAAGCATTATTATATTCACCAGAATAATAATATCCCCGAGACCGAGTTTCGGTTACGGCGGCCAGTCTCAACGTTGACTGGTTATCTACACAGGATAAAGTGCCCGAGTGTACACGTGATAACCAGCTCACTGGGATGGTACCTCAATCCGACACGACCGGAGAGATATCAGGCGTAGGACCAGCAAAATAGTGCTCCTATGTTTCGTGTGCTAAGTTCTGTTCGGTAGTCTTTAGGTGTGACGACAACACATCTGTATTTTTCTTAATCAATGCTAAATGTAGATGTCTATGGGCATCCGCTTGACATCAGGTAGACTCTGTGCTCGTTTGTCACTATTATTCTATAAAGAAATGCACATAGAGAATGAAATTTTGCATTAAAAACTTATATCGAAATGCGTGTACTTTCAACGTGTTAATACAAACATGATCACGAGAGGATTGGTAGGTTTGAAATGTCAATCATGTGAACTTCAAAGTAATTTTTTTCAGATAATCTCCATCAACATGCTGATCACGATGATGGTGCTGCAAGCGTTCCACTTTCCGGTGTTCATAACTAGAAACAACCTGCCGGCTATCTGCGTTCTCATCTTATTTTATGGGTAAGATTTCCTTTATATAAATAACAACCTAAAATGACCCTCCCTTTTTTTTTAAAAAAAAAACATTCGAAAATTAACTTTTTTAATAGCACTTACTAATTTTTGTGGACAGTACGCACGATAATTACAACCGGAGAATTTTTTTTGCATTCCTCTAAATTTGTCTATGAGTATATAAGACTTCGTTGTTTCTCTGTGTAAGTTGTGTACTACGTGTGGCTATCTATTCGACTATAGTATACTCGACACGTTCACCGCTTGTATATATACACTTTGTATTTCTTTTTAAAATGATTTTTATTTATTGGTTTTTATTAATTATAAAATCTACCATCAACTATTAAGTTCCACATATGCCGGGCGTCCCGTGACAACAGGCAACTTTATTTCCTCACTTACTCGTATTTCTCACCGTTGACATTACTGCTCGTTGTCAGTTTCGGTATTTTGGGACTGGCGTAAACGTTATTTTACTTATTTATTTAATTTAATGTTTTAAATTACTAACCTAATTTAAGTCATACTAACAACTTATGGATCTTTGACATGACACGTGTGGTGGCGGCGTTAAAGATTCCATCGCCCCATCACCATTTTCCATCTATACCCATTTTTTTGCTAAATGTGGTCCGAGTAGCTGGCGAGTTAAGACTTTGCCTACATCCTCGGGATTTCCATGAGTGACGCTATATACGTTGAGCTCAGGACTACCCTCGTTTTTGAGAAAATTCTTTTTTTCTTTTTCTTTTTTTCTTTTATTTAAAAATTCGTGTTGGCGGACTTCACATGTCCTCGCAGTATTTTATTAATCAGACGTGTAGGTTTCCTCACGATTCTTTCAACACCGAGCAAGTAAATCAGCACATACTCAGAATATTAAATTATCTACTTTTATGAAAAAAGTAAAAGTTGTCTTCCTCATAGAACAGTCAGAATAGTCAAATATGATGTTAATATTGTATGTATAAGTATATAAGTAGGTATTATTTAAATATATACTTAGTAATATAACACACCTGTTAGCTAGGTTTAGTCTCAGTGTATGTGTGTATACGTTATATATGTTAGCACTACCTTTTAACTCGTAATTGTTAATAGATAACTATGAACTCGTATATAACTCGTAGTTAGAAGATCACATACCGACTTGTCTGTGAAGTCACAAGGCTCCAACTGAAAACCAGCGGTGTATTTGCAGCATTATGCTGAGTTGGAGACCTATTTGATGTCACATTTTCATATTGATTTTTTTTTTCCTTTTTATAATATATATTTTAATGTGTGTAAAATGTGTATATCAAATAAATAGTTCTTTCTTTCTTTCACTTACAATTGTAATTAACAACTTAATAGGTGTCGGTAAGCACACCGTGTAGGCGTTGTTAGAATATCAGCTACCCCCATATTGGGCGTCGTAAGACTCGAAAGAGAAAACAAACCTTCTTAATAAGAACTAAAAAAAAAACTGTCGTTGCCAACCCGCCTGCCAAGCGTGGCAATTATAGCAAGTATCTTAAGAGACAATATATCGGGGACGCCTACATTCAGTAGTAGACTTGTGAAGGACTATAGTGAATGAATGAATGATGACTCTTGAAAATAATTTGTTACCCTATTAATCGTTTTTTAGATATGGATGTGCGGGCGTAGTGCACGTGGCCGAGAAGCTGTTCTCTCAAGCGAGCCTGGCCAATATGGTCCTGTTCTGCGCTAACACCTTCTTAGGCATCTTTGGCATCGCAATACTCCTCATTTTGGATATCATATCTGAATCAGACGTAAGTAATTCTAATTCCAACCCCTTTACAACATCACTATCCAGAATACACAACAAGAAAGTAACACGTCCCACTGCTGGGCACCGGTCTTGAATAGGAGTATATATTAAGCTGAAAAACGTCTGCTGAATCGGTAATTCCAAGGAAAAGACTAATATTCTCTTTGGAAGCAAGAGCATTGGCACTAAATGTGTTACTTAGTTCATGGAGTAGAGTTACTGGTTAACTTGTTTTTGTTCAAGGTGTTTTATAAATGGTAGAATGTGGCAGCTATATTATTATGGTTATAGCACGAACGGTCCTACCGAGTAGTGGTAGTGTCTATATCTACTACCCCATATCATCCCGTGGGTATCGTTTTTTACATATTTGTTTTACTTTTATAACTCTTCTTAAGTAGTTTTGCTTTTATATTTTTAAACTAATTTTACGGACAGGACTGAGATTCTGTTGTAAAAACAGGTACATTGACGAGACATAGTCATAACGAGCACACAGTCCACCTGATGTTAAGTGGTTGCTTTGGCCCATAGACATCGACATCTATCTTCCTTTGCGAATCAAAATGCAGATGCGTTGTTACCCGTGAGGACTAAGATGGAATGCCTCTTTTCCAGTAAAAAGGGTCTCCGGTTCTCTACACTCACCATACGAAACACAGCAGTGTTAAGCTGCTATTTTACGCTGGTATTCTGTGAGAGCGTGGTCCTTCCCCGTTCGAGCTGACCCATTTATGCTACAACTATACTACTAATATAGCTGCAGCATGACTGTAAAATAGCAGCTTAATGCTACAGTGTTTCGTATGGTGAGTGTAGAGAACCGGAGACCCATTTTACTGGAAACGAGGTATTCCATCTTAGTCCTCACGGGTGACAACGCATCAGCATTTTGTTTCTATGGGCATAAGTAGATGTCTATGGGCCACAGCAACTACTTACCATCAGGTGGACTATGTGCTCGTTTGTAACCCTATTTCTATAAAAAAAAAACATCTCCGCATCAAAATTCTGTTTTATTAAACAAGTTCAAAAAGCTGGAGGTTCTCAATTAGAGTGTATATTTTTTTGTATGTATGTTACGCGACAGCTTCGCAGATTGTTTGCTAAGGGTGGTTTCTAATGTTAAACTTCGCAGGCGACAGACAACGCTCGCTGGATACTGCACAAGGTCTTCATGTTGAGTCCACAGTTCGCTCTTGGCGACGGCTTACTAGAAATTGCCAAGAATACAATTAATTTTCAGGTATAATGAACTTTTTAATTATATTATAAAACGACAATGCTCTAAATTCATTTTACAAAAGCTGGCAGTAAATATATTTGAAAAAAAAAACGAAATATTAATTTCGTTATTGAACTTCTACATTTAAATAAACAAAAACCTTCTAGAAACTACTTTTAAGGATTTTATTGTCTATAATTATACTTTTTTTTCAATCGACTTCAAAAAAAGGAGGAGGTTCTTATTTCGACTGTATATTTTTTATGTCTGTATGTTACCTCAGAATTTTTTCTGATAGAACGAATTTTTATGATTCTTTTTAAGTCGCGGGTATCAGCTAGAATTTAATAAAGATAATTCTGTTCTATTCTAGTGGAGGATAGATGCAATTGGTCCCGTGGGCCGCAGCATCCATTTGTACAAACAGTAAACTTCAATAATATTTTTTCTTTTAGGTGCTAGCTCAATTTGGAATGGACACGTACCGAGATCCACTTTATGGCGACCTGCTAGTTTACCACTACCTGGCGCTTGTTCTCGTCGGCACTGTACTGTTACTTCTTAACTTGGCCATAGAGTACGACTGCTTCGAAGTAATCCTTGTGAAGTAAGTAACCTATAAATCTATTTCAAACTTTATAGAGGTAAAGGAATGAGCTTGTGGCGGCGCTGTAGTCGCGCCACAAGCGAAAACACATTGAAGCCTAAATCGCGCTATCAAAGTTCCGTAAAAGCAGTATATATAGAATAGCTCTGAACTACCCCTCGGAGCGTTGACCGCTCCCCGGGCAGAACACCTTGCCTAGCGTGAGATCTCCCCTTTTCCTTTTGACATTAGCTCTTACTGTGTCCCACAGCAGGACTAAGGCTGTTCTTTCCTTCTTCCGCCTCTCGCGATGTAATTGTTGTGTCTATCCGTTATTCGGGAGGTGGTCAGTAAAGTATCTAATAATAGTATTCCTTCGTCTGCTTCTGGACCTTCGATCTTATGGTATTCAGATGTTAGCGACTATGACCTAACCCTTTGATGGAATCAGAGAGTTTACTGTCGTTATCTTACCTAAAGAGTTAGTCTATGTTAAATTATATAATAGCTAACTTAAGTGAAATAAACGCATTCTTGACAGAGGCGATAACTAACGCTGTTGTATATTTATGACGGTTAGTCCGCCATCTTTTAAGGTTTAGAGCCATGCTGCAGCTATATTATGGCTGCAGCATGATTGGTCGTTTCTACCGAGTTAGGACCACGCTCTCACAGAATACCAACGTTAAAAATAGCAGCTTAATGCTGCTTTGTTTCGGATGGTGAATGTAGAGAACCGGAGACGCTTTCTACTGGATAAATATAAATGTCTATGGGCCACAGTATCCACTTACCATCGGGTAGACTGTGTGCTCGTTTTCCACCCTTATTCTAAATAAATTAATCCCTTACTTCGTTTGCAGAAGCGCAAAGAATGGTGGTCTCTGTTTAAATTTTTTTTTTCTAAAATGTTGTTTTAATGACAACGTCTTGTGCCAATGTTCCAATGTCTGTTTTAATGACAGGAAAAATCTGTATTTATAGATATTACGTTATATTCAATAGTAACAACAGTAAAAGCTTTTAGAAAAATTTACTTCGCAAATATCCGCGTTATAAAATAAAATGATGTGTCTTACCTAGTATGAAGAGCACCTCCCGCCCTCCCTCAATTGCGTGCACTATCCCCGTCACCACTAATCCCAGCACCGCTACTCCCAACACCACTACACTAGGCAAGACACACCACTGACGATAATATTATCGTCAGTGGCGTTATATAATGGATTTCCGCAAAGTAACGCCTGATTTTATTAATTATAGTAACAATAGTATTTAAATATAACAAATATTAGAAGAAGTTGTTATAAGGTACGTAAGTGTATGATCACTTTAAGCTTTGTCGCACTATAAAACCAAAACTAGGAGGAGGACAGAGGCTAAAACACAAACTCTTATACTATAACTAATATATTAAGAAAAAAAAAACAAACAAGCGTTGGCAATATTTAGGAACACAAGCTAACTACACTACACAATACTAAAATCGACTAAAATATTTACGAAAATGTCAACTGTTAAAATAGCGTCGATAAAGCAGTGCCCTTTTGACCCTTTATTATTTTATTGACTGATGAAGAGTTATCGTATCATAGACCCGTCTATGCAAACAAGACTGTAGTTTTTGAGTTATAAGAAAGTGACCATATTAACCTCACGTACTATATACATGAAACAATGCTTGCGCTTAATGATTTCTTATATTTACGCGAACACTACACATTTAAATAAAACTAATTTTACGGATTTTATCGCGTATATTAACTTATTTTACATTCCCGACGTTTCAAGCTCTTTACAGCACCCATGGTCACGGGGGGGACTGAGGTGTATGATGTCCCAATGTCATAGTTAACCACGGCTACCTCCAGATTAAAAAAACTTGCGCTTTTTAAAAATTAGAGTTGCAAACTTGATTCCTTTTATCAATACGATTTTTATTAAAGTTATAAACTTTGGACTTTCTTCATTTGCTCTTCAATCCTGCTCTATCTAATACATAAAAATATTCCATTTTTTTAATTTTCTGTTTGTATGTTCTTTATACAACTGAACTAACAAAGGAAGAACCACTTGAGTGGCTTCTGCAGTCGAGGATGCGTTCTCACCTCTGAGGACTAAGATGGAATGCCTCACATTGCCTGTTATACTGGCTCCCAATACACTTCACACTGGCACCACTGCTAACTAATAAAAAGTGCAAAATAGTACCTCCCCAAACGAATTCCAGGTTAGAATAGAATTGTACCACCTAGAAAAACTTATTAAATATGTAGGGATTTTTAAATTCTATTTTTAAAAACTTTAAATATATTTTTTATAGGATAGGTTGACAAACGAGCACACAGTCCACCTGATGGTAAGTGGTTGCTGTGACCCATAGACATCTACATTTATCCTCAATAAAGAATCAAAATACAGATGCGTCGTCACCCGTGAGGACTAAGATGGAATGCCTCTTTTCCAGTAAAATGGGTCTCCGGTTCCCTACACTCACCATACGAAACACAGCAGTGTCAAGCTGCTATTTTACGCTGGTATTCTGTGAGAGCGTGGTCCTTCCCCGGTCGAGCCGACCCATTCGTGCTACAACTATACTACTAATATAGCTGCAGCATGGCTCTACCACGTATAAAACATAAGTTGCTTCAAATTTCAAATTCAAATTCAAATTCAAATTCAAATTCAAATTCATTTATTTGCATAATACAGGTATAAAAGGTGTTACAGAAAATTATAATATGTATTTTTATTTTCAAAATATGTATTTTCGAATAATTTCACCAGATTCCGTTCAGGAACAATAGAGCCGTTGTCAGAGAGCGAGCTAGACCCAGAAGTACTCGACGAGCGACGCCGGGTTTTGGCTTCGCGAACACCTCTACGTCTACTTACAATTGGCAACATCAATGCAGGTAGAGTTCAGAAATTAAATATTTTCATCATTATAATTTTCAAATAGCTTTATACATGTGTGCAATATTTCCGAAAACGGCACGTCTCACAGTGCGAAGTGGAAGGAAAATACAATAAAGACCGATATCACAACAATCAGTTGTGATCATTTATATGTAATTACTCTTAGTGAACACGATAACCTTTGCCTTTAATAACTTCGTCCTTTGCTATATTTTTGTTTTACAGAAGGGGGCCATTAGAGCTATTTACAATCTAAAACTGAGAGAGTCTCTTAGAGATAAATTTAAAGAAATTAATATATTAACTTTGGCCTCTCAGTATATTTACGAAAATTTAATGTATGTTCACAAAAACAAAGATAGTTTTAGTAAAAGAAGTGATATACATTCTGTAAACACTAGGAACAAACACAAGCTAGTGATACCAGTTTCTCGACTCCACAGAGTCTGTAATTCATTCTTGGGGCAATGTATACGCTATTACAACAAGGTCCCGGAAAGTGTACAGGTTCTCTCTATTAGCAAGTTTAAATGTTTTATTAAACTGAAACTGTATAAAAAGGGTTATTATAGTAAAAATGAATACATGGTTGATAATAACCCCTGGGAATAAGGTGATCGCTTCCAAGCAGTTTCTAAAATAAATTTTGTAAATAGTTCGTAATCATTTATATTGTAAAATTTATTTTTAAATGGTTGATAATAACCCCTGGGAATAAGGTGATCGCTTCCAAGCAGTTTCTAAAATAAATTTTGTAAATAGTTCGTAATCATTTATATTGTAAAATTTATTTTTAAAAAAGTCCCGCTGGGTTTTTTGCTGGTTCTTCCCAGGACAGAGGGATTTTTTCGAACCAGTGGTAAAGTAAAAAATTACTCTCAATAAGAATTACACATGTAATGTATATTGAATAAAAAATATTCTATTCTATTCTATTCTATAGATAAGAATAACCATCTTATCGCAACTTAGTTCAAATAAAGTAGGTACCTACGCGTATATAATAAATCGAATCTACAACACACGTCCGTACGCGGGGTACGCGCACAGCAGACTTGATATAGATGTCTTAACGCAGATGTAGATGTCTGCGTGCTCGCTTGTCACCTTTATTCAATAAAACATCTTTTCTGTTTCCTAAAACAGCTCGATATATTTTCTAGCTAAAATAAAAACCAGCCAAGTGCGAGTCGGACTCGCGCATGGGTTCAGTACCCACACTTTACTAGTAGGGGAGGCCCCTTTAATTTTTAATTTATTTTTATTTCTATTATTTGTTGTTATAGAGGCAACGGAAATACACAATTCGTAAAAATTTCAACTGTCTATTTATTACGGATAATGAGATACAGCCCGCTGACATACAGACGGACGAACGGATAAAGGGACGGACGAACGGATAGACGGACGGACAGCGGAAGCTTTGTAATAGGGTCTCGTTGGTTACCTTTCGGGTACGAAACCCTAATAATGAACATTAGAATCGTTTTTGTCATATTGCTGTTCCAACCAACTTTCCTGTGCTTTCAGGTTTCGTGGATACAGAAGAGAAGGGCTCAATTAAGAGCGAGATAGCGCTAGGGAACGACGTGGCACAGTGCGTACGACTGGGCAAAGCGTACCCAACGATGAGCGGCCGCCCGCCCGCTGTTCGAGATCTCACGCTTGGAATACCACCTGGGCAGGTAAGCAGCGTACACACATGGTCACACATAATACACGGTCGGCAGCTCTCCACCATTTTACTGGTAGCGAAGCATTCTATCTCACACTTTCTTGCATAAAACTTAAGTAATAAACGAACTTACAATCCACTTTACGATATGTGGCTACTGCAGTCTATAGGGGCCTGCAGCCAACTTCACGCAATGAAGATACAGATACGTTATCACCTCTGAGAAGTAGTATGGAATGCCTTATAACCTGTAATCATACTATGCTTTTTTACTAGATTAATTTAAAAAAATTATTAAAGAAAAAGTTGAGGAAAGCTTACAAAAGGCGTGCTCCTTTTGCACGACCATGCGTTTGCACACAAGCCATGTTGCGACGGCTGCCATTCACCGGTGCAGTTTTGAACAACTGCGCCACTCACCCTACAGCTCAGCCCTGGCCCCAAGCGACTATTATATGGTTCCAAAAATGACGAAAGAACTGCGTGGGAAAAAATTTGGCGACGACGATGAAGTGAAGTCGGCAATTTCGGCCTATTTCGACGCCCAAGATAATTTTTTTTAGACGGTATTAATAAGTTATTTGACAGATCTAATAAATGTATTAGGGTTAAGGGAAAATACATTGAAAAGGAAAAATAGTTTAATGTTTCATTTCATTATCGTTCCCTTTCCACGAACTTTTTGATCTACCCTCGTAACTCTCTACGTCTTTCAGATCGGAACACTCTTTTGTTGTCGATATTCCACGCCAACTGCTAAACACAGCTGTTGCCGCCTCTTCTATAGATTACCTTAAAGAGTAACTCCAATTAATAAAGCAAATAGACCATTTAAAAGTTAACTTTATTAAAAATTTCACGCGTGGTAAAGCCACGATGATTCGGCTCCGGATAAGACCACGCTCTCACAGAATACCAGCGTAAAATAGCAGTTTCGTATGGTGAGAGTAGAGAACCGGAGACCTCTTTCACTGGAATTGATGCCTTGAGAACGCATCTGTAATTTGATTCTTAATCGAGGAAAGATTTTTTTTTACGTGGTAGAGCCATACTGCAACTATATTAGTAGTGTAGTTGTAGCACGAATGGGTCGGCTCGAACGGGGAAGGACCACGCTCTCACAGAATACCAGCGTAAAATAGCAGATCAATGCTGCTGTGTTTCGTATGGTGAGTGTAGAGAACCGGTGACCCTTTTTACTGGGAAAAAGGCATTCCATCTTAGTCCTCAAGGGTGACAACTCATCTGCATTTTGATTCTTTATTGAGGATAGATGTAGATGTCTATGGGCCGCAGCAACCACTTACCATCAGGTGGACTGTGTGCTCGTTTGTCACCCGATCATTTTAAAAAAATGTAGATATATTTGGGGCATAGCATCCACGTACCATCAGGTGGGCTGTGTGATCGTTTGTCACCCTTATTCTATAAAAAATAATTAATGAATATTATTTTGTTGACAGTGTACAGCGCTTCTGGGGCAAAACGGTGCTGGAAAGTCAACAACATTTGCAATGCTCACGGGCGAGATCCGACCCACCTCTGGAAGCATCTATCTTAATGACAGGCGCGTGGGCCCTCGAGATCTCTGTCAGGGGCTTATCAGTAAGTATATTTTTAATCCCTGACGAAATCGTTATAAATTTGTAGTGTGTATCTGTCGCATCTTAAATCCTGAACGGATGAAACGATTTTCATTAAGTTTCTTTTCCTTTGAAAAGTGTCTTAATCGAGAGTGTTCCTAGCTATGTTTCAATTTCAATTCAATTCATCAGCTCTTTTTGTTTTGGGGGTTTGTAACTTTTTTTAATTTAAGTTATTAATGTAAATATGCTATCTAATCACTAACAGTTACTAATTTTTTTTAACTGGCTTTACGGCTCTGGGTTCTAGCACTGAGCCTAACAGTTACTAAACATGGGTCTATCCCATAGATTACCAAAAAATATAGAGCCACATGTATCCATCGACTTCGTCTATTTTACACACACTACCTGAGAACAAACAGAAGACTGTAACTTTTATTATACTTAGTTCAGGTCGGTGCATGACTACAGTTTTGGTGGTAGGTACTACAGAAAAAACTAGAAAGTCCAGACAACTATAGAACTATAAATATAGAATATAAAGTTAACTAGAGTTACTGTGCAGTGGCGTTAGTAATAATATCCATTGCTCCATATCATCCCGTGGGTGTCGTAAGCAGCGACAGAGCGAACAAATCAGAAGATAGTGGCATACGTGGCAGAGCCATGCTACAACATGTAGCAGAGCCATGCTGCGAACACGAAGCAGAGCCATGCTTCAACTATATTAGTATAGTAGTATAGTTGTAGCACGAATAGGTTGGCTCGACCGGGCAAGGACCACGCTCTCACAGAATACCAGCGTAAAATAACAGCTTAACACTGCTGTGTTTCGTATGATGATTGTAGAGAACCGGAGACCCTTTTTACTGGAAAAGAGGCATTCCATCTTAATACTCACGGGTAACAACGTATCTGCATTTTGATTCATAATCGAGGATAGATGTAGATGTCTATGGGTCACCGCAACCACTTACCATCAGGTGGACTGTGTGCTCGTTTGTCACCCTATACCATAAAAAAGATAGGCAGCAGCGTCTTACTAATAGCGACTAAAAATAAAAATAAAACTGCGGTTGCCAATCCGTTTGCCAAGCGTGGCAACTATGGCAAATATCTTCCCTATGAGGCAATCTATGGGGGAGGTCTAAGTGCAGCTGTGAACTTTAAAGGCTGTAAATGTACCGGTAACGGTCGAAATAGATAACAGTTTTCATTCATCGTTCGTTCATTTTGTATACTCGTAGAACAGAATAGTTTTTGTTCATTATCGATTACACAAATGCTCATATTGAAAAAAACAATGATTTACAATATAATATGTTGTACCTACAATTGACTATGAAAACATTTAGAAACATCGCTGTAGGGGTTTTAATAAAAGAAGAAATAATAAAAATGCGAATTCTGCTTGTATTCCAGGTTACTGTCCGCAGAGCGATGCAATCGACCCTCTGCTAACTGTACGCGAAACTTTAAAACTCTACTGCATACTGCGCGGCATCACCAAACAAAGAGAGGTCAGTTCATAGCATGAATAGAATAATTTTATTCAATATAAATTACAAGAATTTAAGCTATAGGTAGTCATTTAAGCTTTACCACTGGTTCGGAAAAAAACCTCTGTCCTGAGAAGGACCAACAAGAAGCTGGACTTTTTTTAAACTATAATTTACAACATAATATTTAAGAGCAACGCTGCATCATAATATCATAGCTACAGTAAGAGTGGGATAGAGGATACACTGCGCACCTCAGAACAACAAAGAAAGAAATATGGATACGGAGCGCTGCGTACATTAGAAGTAACAAAAACCAAGCCAATACCATGCTCTTCTTATTGTAAGAACATCATCATCATCAAATCATCAGGTCATTTGCAACCGACAACATGCATTTAGGTTTTTATGTGTGCGTCCAGGAGTAAGTACACTATTACACGGGCTGATAAAGAAAATAATTATAACTTTTAACAAAAAGTAAAAACCGACATTAAATTGCTAAAAAAAAGAAGTTATTTGGTGGAATTTTTTCTCCAAATTTTAAACACCACCCTTGAAGTATAATCTATTTAATAATAAAAAGAATCATCAAAATTGGTTAACAATTTGCGAAAATATTGCGTTACACACAAACAAAAAAAAATATACACTCGAATTAAGAAGTCCTTTTTGAAATCGGTTAGAAAAAGAAACTATTTGCATGAGTGCCTGTCAAGTTGAGTATGGTTTCAGCATCACTTGAAATAAAGGCGGCCGTCCGTCTGTCTTTCATTTTTGGTCTGAGGCTCCCACAAACACCAACGTAAAATAGCAGCATAGTAGTACTGTTTCCTATAATAAGTGTCTATATAATAATACAATATAATATAATAAGTATATATTTTTAACATCTTTATATAAACATAATAATATAATTATCCGACTCGAAGGACCAAAACTGTATAACAAATTTTATTTTAGAAAAACACAAGAACATAATACAAAAGAGTTTGTTGAATATATATTCAATAATCTTAACCTGATGGATTTCCGCAAAGTAACGCCTGATTATATTAATTATTCTAAAATAAATGAAAAATAGTTTCATAAAAAAAACTTTGCGTTGCAGGTAATTCGAAGAACGATCGAAATGTTCGACCTCACGAAGTACAAAGATGTTCGCAGCGGGACGCTCAGTGGTGGAAACAAGAGAAAATTATGTACAGCTATTGCATTTATGGGAAGAACGCCATTGGTTCTTCTCGACGAACCTACAAGGTGTGTCTATTTCTTTTTTTTTATCTGTCTTCCTTTTTTCTTCAAGAGAGTTTCCTCCACACTAAGATTTTTTCCTGTATCGTGGGGACAGTTGACATACATACACAATGACTCATTGAAAATGAAGGATAAAAATGAACCGTGTAATATTGCCTCAACAAACAACCGTCCGATTTGATTTCATTTAGAATGACTCATTGAAAATGAAAGGTAAAAATGAACCATGTAATGTCGCCCTCAAAAAACAACAGTTCAATTTGATTTCATTTAGAATGACTGATTGAAAATGAAAGGTAAAAATAAACCAAGTATTATCACCTCAACAAACAACCGTTCGATTTGATTTCATTTAGAATGGCTCATTGAAAATGAAAGATAAAATTAATGAAACGAAAGAAAAAATATATCGCTTCAAAAAACAATTGTCCATTCTACTTTCAATTGGGATCATTCGTTGAAAATTCAAGCTTCTCTACAGAAAGCATGCACGCATCATAAAATAATTTTGCATGTATTAAGTCCAAGTTTGCGGTACATGGAGTAAGCGAGGTTTTCTTAATAGAGTAGCTCTTGTTGTTAAGCCTAACTTACTTTGCTATTTGCTAATTGCGAATTGCGCTTCGAACACACCGGCAATTCAACGAAGACGCACACATTCACACACATAAATACATAACAGCACAAACCCTGTTTAAAAACAAGACATACATACAGTTCCACATAGACATGCAACTACAGTTAGAATTAGTTAGAATAAAAATATTATTAAAGGCCGGCAACGCATCTGCTATTCCCCTGGTGTTGCGGTTGTTCATGAGCGGCGGTAGTCACTTACCATCAGGTGAGCCGCATGCTCGTTTGCCCTCTCTCCTATAAAAAAAATATTATTATTGATAAGCGTATGAATGAATGAATATACGTTATTGTACACCACAAACAAATAAACATATTACATAACAAAAGACAGATTAAATGTACAATTTCGCGGCCTTATCGCTACATAGCGATCTCTTCCAGGCAACCAAGAGTGTAAAGGAATAAACAATGAATACTAGGTAGGTGATGTAATATAATTATACAAAATATAATATCAATACATGCGATATATAGACAATAAATGCAATAAAATAACATATAACTAACTAATATATGAAATGATATAAATTACTAATACATAATAAAAGATAAAGTAAAGCGTATATATATATAAACACAAGTATTATCAATTACTTATTTATAAACCATGTAACTGTTTTGAGACAAATAAACTTTTTCATTTTCATTTTTCTATGCGGCTACGTTCTACGAGGGCAGAGTATGATATTTTTAAACGAAAAGGCTTTTCTACTTGCTCAATCTTATCTATTTATATTTTATAGTTTGGGTACCACACTTGCGAGGCGTATTCCAAATAGTTGCGAACAAAAGCGCAATAAGTTTTTTTATAGGATAAGGGTGACAAGGGAGCACACAGTCCACCTGATGGTAAATGGTTGCTCTAACGCATAGATATCTACATCTATCCTCGTTTACGAATCAAAATGCAAATGCGTTATTAACCGTGAGGACTAAGACGGAATGCCCCTTTTCCAGTAAAAAAGGTCTTCGGGTCTCTATACTCACCATACGAAACACAGGAGCATTAAGCTGCTATTGTACGCTGGTATTCTGTAAGAGCGTGGTCCTTCCCCGGTTCAGCTGACCCACTCGTGCTACAACTATACAATTAATATAGCTGCAAAATGGCTTTACCACGTTTAAAGTATCTTATCTGTTTTAATATTTTGAAAATCTGATCAAAGTACTCTATTGTTTTTTTTTAGTGATATTGTCAATGTGTGGATCAATGAGGAATTTAAAAACGAAACATACATTAAGATATCTTACTTATTGTAATCTCTGTACCAGTGTATTGTAATTTTTATTAAAAAACCAAGGGGTTGGGTTTGTGGATAAAAGTAAAGATAAAACACTTGAACACATTCAATTCAAATTAGTTGTGTAAACAATATCGTTCGAGTTCATTGTGATTACACTGCATACCAAGGCATTTAGAAGTTTTTGAGATGGGGCATAATTTTTTTATGTCATCAGCATATAAAATTATTGTGAAGAATTACGTCATTTATAAAAAATTGCAAACAGCAATGGACCTAATAGCGATCCCTGTGGTATTCCTGAAGGGATTTGCATAGTTACTGACGTAAAACCATTGAAGGCTACTTTTTGGCAACGATTCCCAATATAAGATTTAAATCACCTAAACAGATCGCCACTGATACCCACGTAGAGTAGTTTTCCGAGAAGTATAACGTGATCTAAACGATCGAACGCTTTACTGTTGTCAGTGAAGATTACGTGGACTTGTAAGCGTTCAGACATGATGTCGGTTAAATAGACAGAACAGATAATAAGGTTTAAAACAGTAGATCTACTTTTTAAGAAGCCGTGTTGATAATCACTGAATGATTGTTTGATGCCACGTTCAACAGACCAGTTTACGATTTTAATGCCGAAGATTTTGATGAGTAAACAAAGATGAGATATTGTTCTATAGTACACTACACGGACTTTAGGACCTTTTTTGTGGACTGAGATAATATAAGTAGATTTCCAAATAAGGAGGTACTATCCCTTCCTTCAGAGAACGTCTATATACTATTTTTATCGGTACAAGCAAGCTTTTAGCGCACCTACTTATAAAAAGAGACGGTATATTGTCTGGGCCTGTTTCTTACGTTCAACAGAACTCAGAAGCTTGAAGACCTCAGTTTCGCTACTTGTACCGAGTTTATACTTTAGCGTACACAGTTTATAATTTTCAACTATCGTAGTTACTGTAATTTTGAAAAAAAATACTAATCATATTTCAATTATTGTTCCCTTGGTCTGATGATATGTCCATATTTCATTATAGATGGAAATATGTTTGACGCCTTTATATTTCACGATGGACAAGACGGTCCTTAGCGACTGATTTATGCTGAGTTCTACCTTTCCTACCTATATAATTGTTGATCATTTGGATTCTTAAATTTATACTTGGTAGAGCCATGCTTCAAATCTATTAGTAGTACAGTTATAGCACGAATGGGTCGGCTCGACCGGGAAAGGACCACGCTCTCACAGAATACCAGCGTAAAATAGCAGCTTAACACTGCTTTGTTTCGTATGGTGAGTGTAGAGGACCGGATACCCTTTTTACTGGAAAAGAGGACAACGCATCTGCATTTTCATTCTTTGTTGAAAATGGATGTAGATTTTTATGAGTCACAGCAACCACTTACCATCAGGTGGACTGTGTGCTCGTTTGTTGCACTATCCAAAAAAATGTTTTTTGACGATTACGTTTTATTAAAAAAGACTCATAATCTGCAGTACACTCCTAGTTTTTTCACTTGACATAAACCGCGTGGTAATGTCCTCGAGCCTGAATCTCTGTCACGGCAGACAGTGGACTTTTACTGAAACTTTCTACAGAGTAAGTGAAACAGAGTAAGTGAAACAGAGTTTGTAATACGTTTGTCTTGCAGCGGCATGGACCCTGGGTCGCGCCGCTGCGTGTCGCGTGGCGTGCGAATTGCGTGCGCAGCGGGGCGCGGCGTGCTGCTCTCCACGCACGCGCTGGATGACGCGCGGCGGCTGGCGGCGCGCGTGGCGCTGCTGCAGGCCGGCGCGCTGCACGCGCTGGCGCCGCTGCAGCGCTGCCTGCGCAGGTACGTCTCGTATAGTGCTGCTCTGCCCGTACGCGCTAAAGCGCTGCCTGCTCAGGTAAGTGTCGTATAGTGCTGCTCTGCCCGCACGCGCTAAAACGCTGCCTGCGCAGGTACGTGTCGTATAGTGCTACTCTCCACGCACGCGCTGCAGCGCTGCCTGTGCAGGTACGTGTCGTATAGTGCTACTCTCCATACACGCGCTGCAGCGCTGCCTGTGCAGGTACGTGTCGTATAGTGCTACTCTCCATACACGCGCTGCAGAGCTGTCTGCGTATGTACGTAACGCACAGTATTTGGTTTACAAGTCTGAACATTACAGCGAGTGCCATTCTGCTTGGTAGCAGAATTTCTTATGTATGAGTGTTAGAAAACTGTATGTTTCAATAAAAGTGGAATATTATTACGTTAGAAGGATCCCTTGTGCATTATAATCTTCATACTTTTTTATATAATTATGGTGACAAACGAACACACATTTCACCTGATGATAAGTGGATACTGTGGTCGACAGACATCAACGTTTATACTCGATTAAGAATCAAAATGTAGAAGCGAGGTCACTCCAGTGAACTAAGATGGAATGCCTCGTTTCCAGTAATAAATTTCTCCAATTCAACACATGAAACGTATGAAACACAGTAACATTGAGCTGCTACTTTACGCCGGTATTCTGTTAAAGCTTCTGAGAAAGTGTTCCTTTCTCGGTCGAGCCGAGCCGTGCATGCTACAAACATAATATAGCTACAGCGTAGCTGTACCGAGGTGCTTCTGTGTGCGCAGGTTTGGCGGGGGGTACGTGGTGGCGTGCCGCGCGCGGGGCGGCGCGGGGGGCGGGGCGCGGGCGGCGTGGGCGCGCGTGCGGGCGCGCGCGCCGCACGCGCAGCTGCACGCGCTGCACGCCGCCACGCTGCGCTTCCTGCTGCCCGCCGCTGCCACAGGTAAACATCTACGTCACATCTACATACACTCTTCATCATTCATTATTGCAGCGCTTCACAAGTCCACTGCTTAACATAGACCTTCCCCAAACAACATCACAAAATACGCTCTTGACATTACTGCATCCATCAACTTCTTGCATCTCTTGCCACGTTTTTTGATTTAGTGGGGAACCACTAGATATTGCTTACTGGTATGAGATGGTACTTTCTACTCGGTTGTTGATTCTTCGAAGTATATGGCCGGCCCATTGCCATCACTATTACCTGATGCCTTCGGCGACCAGCCTCAGCCGCTCCGGCTCGTCCGATGCCTACGATTTGTTACGCTAAGGCGTAGAGGCTGCTCTTCCCGCAGCGCCGGAGACGTAGCAGTCTCAAAATAGATACAGAAATCCTTCTGAATCAGTCCCCCTATTTTTTTATGATGGAAGGCATTTTTTCTCATAAAATGGATTTATATTTACATTATAAATGCAAACATGAAAAAAATATCGATATTTTAGAAATCGATTTTTTGGGAATCGATACGTCAGCTTACAATTCGAATCTAATTAAAAAAAAAACTATCTTTTTCGGAAAGAATCGACATCCCTACTGACAATAATAATAAAAATGGCGTCAGTTTCACGGTAGAAATTGACTAAATATTGCAAAATTATTTGATTTACAATTTTTTTTTTCTCAATAAGTACGTCTTTCCGCATATTGAAACTCGGTGTATGTGCTTATAAAAATGTAATCTTTCTGTAAAAATACGTATCAACACCAAACTCCACTGACGTCAATGGAAAGTCGTACCGATAAGTTTAAGTCTAGAACTAATATTCCAATTGAAATTATGCAAATCGGATTACCCGTTTATAAAATATGAGCAAAAGTGTATATGAGAAGTGTGAAAACCTGTATTATTTAAAATTTAGGTTCTAAAAAGTTTTTAGTAAAATATTGTTGTGTTATATAAGAAAGGCATATACATACATGTAACAAAAAATCCTGTGGTTCCCGTTAAGTACGTTGTCAGGATCAGTATTCAAACCTATAAAAATAACTTTTTTTAAAACTCGACCAAATTTTTTTTGTTTTATTTTTTTTTTTCATTTTATTTGGTTTTATTACTTCTTACTTACACTAGCCGATGCTAAAGCTAAGTAAAGTGGGGTCTTTGACAATCCTCCTACTCCCCAGACAATGCAGAGGTAATAAAACCACATAAAATTTGCATAAAATTATTTTTTTAATAAAATTAAAAAAAAATTAAATTTTTTTATAAAAAGTTATTTCTATACGTTTGAATAATGATCCTGATGACGTACTTAACGGGAACCACAGAGTTTTTGTTACATATTGTATAAGGGAACATAGATTTATTATTCTATGTAAAAGAATACCAGTGATAAAAATTATAAGGTTTAGTTTTAATCGAAATTGAAAATATCAATTGAGCAGCGACAGAAATTAACCTCAAAATTTTAAAAAGCTAAATAAGTACTCAAATATTTATTCAAATAATTATTCATTATTACTCATTTGCTTTTTTTATTAATGATTTGCTTTTTTCAGACACATATTATCAACAGTAAATACATTTATTAACATAGTTTACATAAACATATAAATTAGTGTATACAATAGCACAGCTAACACCGCGCGCGCTCGTTGGTCAAACCAAATAGCACACGCTTCCCTGGCTTTCTGTCTCACACTTCCGTCCATTTTGACGAAATCACTCCCACATATTACGGGAAAACGAGACGAAAATGTTACGCATCAAAAATAAAACATTAAATGAAACATCTTTTCAATTTTGTCATTTTTATTCTTATTTTTGGATATTACAATAAATTTACGTTCATGTGACAAACTAATTATCGACATAGTGAGTTCAAAAAAGAACTTTATTTCAAACGTTATTTAGTTCTATATTATCATTCCTGCGAAGTGAAATGTGGTACGTATGTAATCCGATTGCAGCATGTTCCACAAATAAATGGGAACGAACACTTCAGATTAGCTCGTGATCTTTCCCTATTATGTCCAAGTTGTTCTTATTTCAGAAGTTAATTCTTAGTTCTTATTTAAGACTGAAATGATTAAAATCTACTTCCAGTTGACGGTAAAGAAGTAACAACAAAGCTGAGCGACGTGTTCCGTCTGACAGCGGAATTGCGGGGCTCTTATGATATTGAAGACTTCACTGTCAATCAGAGCTCGCTCGATCAGGTCAGTTTTAGATTTTTTTATAGTATAAGGGTGACAAACGAGGACACATTCCACCTGATGGTAGGTAGATTCTGTAGCCCATAGAAATGTACATCTTTTCCCGATTAAGAACCAAATTGCAGATGCGTTGCCAGCCCTGGGGACTAAGATGGAATGCCTCGTTACCAGTAAAAGGTTCTCTACACTCACCATACGATACATAGCCGCAATATATTCCTTTTTTATGCTAATATTCTGTGCAACCATGGTCCTTCACCGATCAAGACGTCTCCATCGCACTGCAGCCATAGTACAGCTGCAGCATGGCTTCCTATAAAAGGTTGACATTTGCCGCAATCTACATCCCAAATTATTAATTTCGTGTAAAAAACACTAACGGCTTTACTCATAATCGTTCATTATCGCTCACTGAAATTACGAAATAATTATCTCTATACTTGTCTCTTTCTATTTTCATTTAGTAAAAAAAGAGAGATAGAGAGCTATTTTAGCATTTCGTTAATTGGCTTCGATTTTTATGAGTAAGGCATTTTATTAATGTTAATTAATAAAATGCCTTACTCATAGCTTTAAAACAATAAAATTGAGAATTAAATAAAAGATAAATGTACACATAACGCATAATAAACTGCTGGATATATTGTAAACTGCATCAACGTGTGACGGTTATTTCATATAACGTTGATATTTGAAAAAAGAAAGAAAGAACATATTTATTCAATGCTGTAACTTGCTTTCATAACACGTTAATTTTATATAAAACGAAAGTTAATTTTACAAACAAAGAAATTCTTGACATAATATTTATAAAAAAAAATGTCTATGGCATAAACTAAAAGTTCATGGTTCATTTATTTAAAAAAAAAAGGTTTGATTGGGGGAAACAAACTCTTGAAAAATTCAGTGTACGATTCAACCTTGTATAACACGATCAGCACTATCCGCAGGGCAACAGCATTGCAGTGTAACAGCATCGTGCCCCACTTACATTGCTCATAGCAATCATCATAACATACCAATTGAAAGTACAATAAATATAGCTTCTATTATTATATATCCGTTGCATTTATCATTATTCCAGGTATACGAACTGTACATGTTTTTGGTCCTTCAAACCGGATATACAAACGTCATTATGAAAGACGTTCAATATGTTAATGCATTTTATAAATCTGTTGGTTGTATTTATTAAAATATGACATTCCATTCTACATTTATTATATTCCTCAGATGTTCCTAAACTTTGCGGGATCGAGTCGCTCTCGGGGCACTGAACTGGAAGACGTGGAGTCTACGCCCCCTGTTTCACGACACCAAAGCTGTGAGGACCTCAGTATTGTAACGGCTCTATGATTTGAGATGTTTTAACTTTAAATGTTGTCGCAATGTAACGTAGGGTTCCTGTTCATCAATGCCAACTAAAGGGAAGAAAATATAGTTTTTCCGCTCCGGTCTGGTAGACGAAATATCATAAATTTGACTTAACGTGACAATCGCCCATTATACGAGTAAACTGTATTTCTACCCTCGAAAGTCTTGGAGGAAAGAATAATATTTAAAAGTAATTGTAGTATATGTAGTATAAATTAAATGAGCATTTTGTTTGAATGAAATATTTCATATTGATTTCTAGTGTATTGTGTATAAAGTGGTTTCTTTAGATACTTACAATTGAAATAATGCGAAATTTAATCCAATATTGACGTAGAAAACGTAAGTACAGATTGAAAATGCTTAGTCGTTCTCAAAAGCTAGGTATTTTATACAATAATACATGTTATTTTGGCTTAAACGTTAGAATGAAATAAATTGACGGACGAGTAAATGCTCAATATTTTATTATTATTGAATTAATATGTACTACGTACTAAAACAGACAACGCGAACAAAACCTGTGCGGCAGTGCTAATCGCGTGCGAGGACCGAAGAGTCACAGAGTACCATTTTATAGCACAGATTAAGTAAGTTTGAGCCGCGGGCTTTGACACGTATTGCCAACGAAGAAGTCTCAGTGTCTCTTCTAGTACGTAGTACATATTATTTCAATGTTTTTTATAATTTTATTTATGTGACAATCAATTTTGTATCTATGTAGACTTAAGTTAGTTGTGTCGAGTGTAAAACGGTCGACTTATTGTAACTTTTATATAAATCGAGAGTTATTTGTCTATTTAACGCGCTCTGTGATATTATTTAGTGTACGTTTGAAATGGATTATATAATAATAAAAAATAAATATTTTCGTATGGTTAATGGCAAATACAAAATATATTTTTTTATTTGTATACAACCTAAATTTGCCTATTTTTTTTTTATTTACCACGTGCTCTGCGGTGAAGGAAAACACCGTGAGGAAACCTGCACGAGAAAAAAAATATTTCGAGGACATGTGAAGTTCGCCAACACGCATTGGGGCAGCGCGGCGGACATTTCCTTGCCCTAAAACCCTCTTAGAAATGAGAGGAGGCCTGTGCCCAGCAGTTGGACGTATAACAGGCTGTAACTTTAACTTTTTAACTTTAAATTTACCGTGTAATGGCGGCGTAAGATAAACCACTACCCTATTGTATGAGTAACAACTAGAAATAATAAAAAACTGTGATTGCCAAACCAGGTTGGTTGGCAACGTAGAAAGTATGCCAAATATCCCAACAGTGTACTTTTTATAAGCTGTAATGATGATAACGATAATGATTATACATTCCTAAAGATAGGTCCCACAGCTGGAATACAGGGGGTCCTGTTATTTGTTTATAAGGTATGTATTACAAGGTATGAAGCACTGCTCAAACTAAAAAAAATTAAGTATCTTCTCATGCCAAAAAATAAAGATAGACTGTGTACATTTCAAATTACGCATAAACCGTGCTCAACTTGACACGCACTCACGCACACATCTTTCTTCTTTATTTCTTTATCAGCCCGTAAAAGTTCACCGCTAGACGCACACTAACGCACCTAAAACAGTGTTGTTGTTTGCAAATGCTTTTAGATGCACATGTGTGAGTGCATGTAACAATAAGTTACCATGTTACCATCACCCATTAATTCGTGGTAATACAGAAGTTCAAATTGTTAGCATCAATTTCTATAGTGACGGAGGGGGAGGAGGGGAAATAGAGATTGAAGTTTTAATAATAGTTTTTTTTATTTAATTATCCTCGTACCGATAGGCGAAGTGTAGGGTGTTTAGATAGAGTGATAGAGTGACGTCTTAGTGAGACATGCAGGGGGTCGATGGACCGTACTATGTGGTATTCCTTGGGGAGGCCTATGTTCAGCAGTGGACTTGTGAAGGGCTGTAATGACGATGGTGATTATTTAATTATAATTATAATGACTAAAGAACTTAGGATTTCACCTGATGGTGGCCAGTGAAGCTCACAGACATCTGCAGTCTTACTTCAAAACAAAAACCCTTATTGTTGTGGTCGAAGTTCACCGCTGAACAAAGGCCTCCCACGTGTATTGTAAGTTACCTATTATCCGTTACTAAAAAACTAGGTCACAGTATAAATATGAACAGTATGGAAACTAAGCCTAGTTGAGGACATAATTACCTACGCTCCATTGAAGCAATAGGGTTGTAACTTTTAATGTTTTAGATATTGCTTTTTTTATATTTTTGTTCCGTAGTGATCAATCAAATCAATCGAATTTATATAACTAGCTTACAAATAACATTTAAATAGTTGGGGTCGGGTAATCTCAGCAAAAAACGATAGTTCACACACGGAAAACAATTTAATATTAACACACAACTTGTAGAACTATAGATCTTTAACTTTATCTTTACGGCGTAACCTTTTACAAGTTTCGGCGGGAGCGTACCGCGGTTGGAAGAAAACGTACCTTAATTTTTCATTATTACAAATTATTTACATAAAAATATTTTCGTCTGCTACGACAAGTTCGGAATTCTTTATTATTGAATTTAATTGTGTAAAAAATTATCATTCTAATGAACAGGTTTTTTTTTTAAAATAAGCCGTTGGGAAACAAGGACAGGGTACTATGAAACCGATTTTGTTTATTTTTGTAAATTAGATCAGCTACTTTGCAGTTTATGTGTTTTTTTAAAGCAACAAAAAAATCGGTTTCAACACCCTCGAAAACCATGAAACTGACACCCATGACGAAAACATTAATACCTATTGCAGCCGTCATCTTGGATTTACATTTCGACAGCACTATCGGCTTCATCACCCTCGAAACCCATGAAAATGGCACCCATGACGAAAAAATGATATCTAAAGCAGCCGCCATCTTGGATTTACATTTCGACAGCACTATCGGCTTCAACACCCTCGAAAACCATGAAAATGACACCCATGTTTTTTATTAGTGATCGATGCACCCATGACGAAAAAATTGATACCTATTGCAGCCGACATGTTGAATTTACATTTCGACAGCACTATCGGCTTCATCACCCTCGAAACCCATGAAAATGGCACCCATGACGAAAAAAATGATACCTATTGCAGCCGCCATCTTGGATTTACATTTCGATAGCACTATCGGCTTCATCACCCTCGAAACCCATGAAAATGGCACCCATGATGAAAAAAATGATACCTAATGCAGCCGCCATCTTGGATTTACATTTCGACAGCACTATCGGCCTCATCACCCTCGAAACCCATGAAAATGGCACCCATGACGAAAAAAATGATACCTATTGCAGCCGCCATCTTGGATTTACATTTCGACAGCACTATCGGTTTCATCACCCTCGAAACCCATGAAAATGGCACCCATGACGAAAAAAATGATACCTATTGCAGCCGCCATCTTGGATTTACATTTCGACAGCACTATCGGCTTCATCACCCTCGAAACCCATGAAAATGGCACCCATGACGAAAAAAATGATACCTAATGCAGCCGCCATCTTGGATTTACATTTCGACAGCACTATCGGCTTCATCACCCTCGAAACCCATGAAAATGGCACCCATGACGAAAAAAATGATACCTAATGCAGCCGCCATCTTGGATTTATATTTCGACGGCACTATCGGCTTCAACACCCTCAAAAACCATGAAAATGACACCCATGTTTTTTATTAGTGATCGATGCACCCATGACGAAAAAATTGATACCTATTGCAGCCGACATGTTGGATTTACATTTTGCCAGCACTCAACTTCAACGGGGCTTCAACACCCTCGAAAATCATGAAAATGACACCCATGACGAAAAAAATGATACCTATTGCAGCCGCCATCTTGGATTTACATTTCGACAGCACTATCGGCTTCATCACCCTCGAAACCCATGAAAATGGCACCCATGACGAAAAAAATGATACCTAATGCAGCCGCCATCTTGGATTTATATTTCGACAGCACTATCGGCTTCATCACCCTCGAAACCCATGAAAATGGCACCCATGATGAAAAAAATGATACCTAATGCAGCCGCCATCTTGGATTTACATTTCGGCAGCACTATCGGCCTCATCACCCTCGAAACCCATGAAAATGGCACCCATGACGAAAAAAATGATACCTATTGCAGCCGCCATCTTGGATTTACTTTTTGTTACTACTATTGCACTATCAGCTTTAAATAGCCTCAAAACCACCGCATTCTGGATTTACAAATAAGTTCACGAATTCATTATGATCGATCACACGGATTTATAATTCGATAACGATTATAACAATAACAATAAAAATCATTATTACCTTTGAAAATCAGCAGGAAGCTTAAAATACGTTAGCTCCGGTTTTGATGTCCGGATGAAGCCGAGTTCAAACAGCCGTATACTACGCAATACGTTCGCGGCATTTTTAAAGTCTTGAGGCGGCACTCGCTACTGAGAGCACCGCGACGAGCGCTTAGAAGCATCGTGGCGCATGTTTGTGTGAGTGTGCCGTTTCGAGCGTTTGTAGGAAGTTTCCTTACTGTTTCTACTATATATTTACTGTGACTAGGTGGATTAATTCCGATGAAGTACTAGTCGATACTGACACCGGCAACAACTTCGTAATACTTTAACCTTTGTGCACTTGCGTTTTTAAATGCATACCCGCCCCAGGGTAGGGAACGATTGTGTTGGAATTGCACAGACTAAAGCATTGTTGATCTACCTTGGCCCTTACAGGTAGGGCCTAGTAAACGCGCACGCATCATTAGGCCCATTCTTTTTACTTGGGAAAATGCCTACGTATACCCGCGAGTGTGAAGTCAGTAGCTTGATAGCAGCGGCTTGGTCGATTAGCGTATTTTTGTGACCGCTGCATCGGTTTCGCGCGGCCACGTTTTGGTTTTGTGGTCTAGAATTTGAGTATTTGTGCGCGTAACGTATATAACGTGCGTACGTAAATTAAACAATTTACTATTG